ATGATAGACAAAAATCTGTGACTATAGATACAGCCACAATACTGTAAACATGTACTTAATCTGACGCAATCAGATTTTTCAGGCATTTTATCATTATATTTCTTTGAAAATTAGTGATGAAAAAGCATGTCCATAAAACTTGTATATCACTAAGACACAGAAAGAACAGCAATAAGTGATGAAAAGCATTAAATAAGATTAGATTATCAGTTATTTATAAGTGGTAAAGTTTTCGAGATCGTGAAATATCACCCGGATATAATGAATCATAAACTAAAATCAATTTGACAAGCTCTAAATTTATACCATCAATAATTTACCCACACATATTCTAGTGTAATCCTGTCACACAAAAGTCAGGGGCTAAAAAATCAACATTTAAATCTCATCAGAAAAATCTTTCAAAAAATAAACTGAATATATTTGCTGAGATGAAATCTGACTAGAAACTTCAAAAAAAAAAAAAAAACTATTTCAGAGGATGGAATGATAAAACATTTACACAACAACATCAAATTATTATTATTATCTTGGTCAACTTCAATTTTAATTAATAGAAATGATCTCCGACAAGTATAGACACCATTACTGAAGTCCCATTGGGGACCAATATGAAATGTGAGATTACCCTAACATATAGATTAAATGCGACTTATATGTGAACCAAATAGAAAAAATCGCTCAAAACCAGCCCTGAGGCTTATGCTCGGGTGCGGTTTATAGCCCAGAAAATATGGTATAACACGGTAAATCAAGATTATAAATATATGTATGTAAGAAAATTAATCTAATGCCAAAGCGAAAGGTGGAAAGCATATATTCCATGGCATGGACTAGTCACTAATTAAACAAATTAGATACACAAAATAATGTCTGGGGTATTAACAATATACGACAGACATAACATACATAACCTTAGTAGGTAAGTAGCTTCTAAAAGACTCTTATAAATGTGCTTTATCTTCAGAGTCTTGACTCCGTAAGATGTATGCTTGTGTTATGTAATTGGGCATTGCAGCCATTTTGTAATTTAATCATCAAATTACATGTAATTAATCTTACATTCAATTACAAATTACACTGAATTACTTACACAGTGGTACCATGATATATGTAATTGTGATTGATTACCATTACATTTCCATTATACCATACCTACATTGATATCCCCAAAGGTACAAACCAGAAATGGTACCAGGTATGTGCTATTTGGCATTAAAGTTTTTTATGGCAGTAGGGTACACTGTAAAAAATCTACAAATATATTCACCCTTCCTATAAAAATAGACATGTTTTACAAGAATTTACTATCAGTAACAAAATTTGCTAATGTTTATCTGATCTGGCTGGACAATTATCGACCAATCACATTGATGTCTCTACTGACAAACGTGTTTCCCTTCCCTGTCCAATATTACAAGGCTGACAAAACAATGATTGAAATTACATAGATCGACTGATGACTGAATAAATAAACATTGAACAATACTACAGGTCATTTATCAGTACATAATACCACACTCTGGTCAATCAACCGCAAAAATATACCCTTGGCCATTTATAGTCCGAGAATCTGTTGTCATGTATTACAGTTGACAACAAACTTGTTTCCTTTTTCTATAGTTGTGAATTATAAAGTGTGACATGCATGTTTTACGGACATTAATTTAAAATAAATTGTGAAGTCAAATCTCTCATAGAAACAGAGAAAAGTGGCCTTATACAGAAGTGACCTTTATAAACAGGTTCAATTACTAGTAACATGGTACATTATATCAGAGGTCTTTCTAGACAGGTAAATTCTGATAGTTTCAATTTTTTTTCCATAAATGGTATACCATTAGAACACTAAATCAGTAGCCATTCCAGACAGGTATACGTTTTACAGCCATTCCAGACAGGTATACGTTTTACAGCCATTCCTGGCAGGTATACGTTTTACAGCCATTCCAGACAGGTATACGTTTTACAGCCATTCCAGACAGGTATACGTTTTACAGCCATTCCAGACAGGTATACGTTTTACAGCCATTCCAGACCCAGACAGGTATACGTTTTACAGCCATTCCAGACAGGTATACGTTTTACAGCCATTCCAGGCAGGTATACGTTTTACAGCCATTCCAGGCAGGTATACGTTTTACAGCCATTCCAGGCAGGTATACGTTTTACAGCCATTCCAGACAGGTATACGTTTTACAGCCATTCCAGGCAGGTATACGTTTTACAGCCATTCCAGGCAGGTATACGTTTTACAGCCATTCCAGACAGGTATACGTTTTACAGCCATTCCAGACAGGTATACGTTTTACAGCCATTCCAGGCAGGTATACGTTTTACAGCCATTCCAGGCAGGTATACGTTTTACAGCCATTCCAGGCAGGTATACGTTTTACAGCCATTCCAGACAGGTATACGTTTTACAGCCATTCCAGACAGGTATACGTTTTACAGCCATTCCAGACAGGTATACGTTTTACAGCCATTCCAGACAGGTATACGTTTTACAGCCATTCCAGACAGGTATACGTTTTACAGCCATTCCAGACAGGTATACGTTTTACAGCCATTCCAGACAGGTATACGTTTTACAGCCATTCCAGGCAGGTATACGTTTTACAGCCATTCCAGGCAGGTATACGTTTTACAGCCATTCCAGGCAGGTATACGTTTTACAGCCATTCCAGACAGGTATACGTTTTACAGCCATTCCAGACAGGTATATGGTTTTACAAAGGGTTGCCTCCTTGGCAGGTCTGACTTTGTTCATAATGAAATTTCAATGAATGTGGCTTAAATGAGTTATAACTGACCTTTTAAAAACTGCTATATTTATTAGTAGTTTTTGGTGGGTTTAGACACCCGGCTCTGCAGCAAGACACCCGGCTCTGCAGCAATTCTGTGTACATTTCTTCAGGGGCATTTCACTTCATTATGTAGTTCGTAAGTCACCCAAGAATTCTATCTGGCAGTAAATAGTTAAGTTGCCTCTCTTCAGGTACATAGCTCGGCCAGCAGCTTCGATATCTTGACATCTATTTAAGCATTTACTTGTTGGCCGGGTAATACTGAAGCACTACAGCTGTACTAGCCCCTTAGCCCATATTATTATAATGTAATAAACTATTAAGATTCCCCGCAATGTGCCGCTGCGAATTGGTTCATAAAATGTAGTTTTTGGTGACAGTTTTAACTTGTTGGTCAATATATTGTGGTACACATGTATTTACCTCTTGTAAAAGTCTAGACGATGTTAAAATCAATAAAACAGCACATAAAAAAAATTTAGTTTACTTTGGCAGTACAGAGTAAAATCAGAGACTTAATAACTAATCAGACATCACAACTTATCATAAATTCACACTTCAATCAAGAATTTTAACAAATGACAAAAATTCCTAAAATCACAGTGTTGTTAGTTTCATATGTGCTGTAGTTAAGTTTATCTACATACAAACAAACGATGTATTTTACAAGTAACGCATGTGTGTTTAACAAAAATATCACACAAAATAACATGTTTTTAAAAAATGATAATGAACAAAAAGGAAACAATTGGACAAAACCGTTGATTTTTTAACAACTACGATTGGCTGCAGAAAGTAATATAAAACTTCTTGATCCAAAAGCAAGTATTTTTGTATAAGTATTGTTGGGGAAAAAATACCGTAAAAAGCAGTGTACATGCCTGTGTAATGTAACTTTTGGGTTGAACTGCTGAAAAACTACTTCAATCTTTCTATTCTACACTCTTATATCAAAATATTCTGTCAAAAATGATGTCTGGGAGATCCAAGGTATGTAAAGCATGGTCATTGGTGGATTAAAGTCTACCTGAAAATATGACAGTCAAATGTTACCCTTAAATGCTGATTGACTGCACACATAGAGCAATTAAGTTAATCAAGGATTAGGCAGCTAAATTTACATATACTGGTACACAAAACCCAGTTCCTCTCCATTAACACTTCATCCTGATCTCACTACTAGTATTCCTATGCCTGGTTGGAGGTTGTCCTTCAACATTCAACATTTTACAAATAATTGAACTTTTAATTCAACATATCTTCAATAGCCAAAGATTAACTTAAAGAGTTTACGGCTGACCTTCAACATATTGTCAATATTTCTGACCTTCAACATATTGTCAATATTTCTGACCTTCAGCATATTGTCAATATTTCTGACCTTCAACATATTGTCAATAGTTCTGACCTTCAGCATATTGTCAATAGTTCTGACCTTCAGCATATTGTCAATAGTTCTGACCTTCAGCATATTGTCAATAGTTCTGACCTTCAGCATATTGTCAATATTTCTGACCTTCAGCATATTGTCAATATTTCTGACTTTCAGCATATTGTCAATATTTCTGACCTTCAACATATTGCCAATATTTCTGACCTTCAACATATTGTCAATATTTCTGACCTTCAACATATTGTCAATAGTTTAGGATTGCCCTACCATACAGACAGACATTTACTATTGATCTTCAGTATTATGAGTTTACGTTGACCCTACAAATTGTGAGTGTTGTATGAGTTACAACATTATGGACAGTGCAGCATATGAATTTATCTTTTTTAGCACCAAATCAGCAGACTTAGAACAATGTTCGATAATTTGAATTGAAAAAGATATGACCAGCAGTATAGACTATAAAACACACTAAGTGTATGCTACATCAGCATCACAGACTGACAGCATTCTAGAACTGAACCACATCTGTGATCCTAGAACTGAACCACATCTGTGATTCTAGAACTGAACCACATCTGTGATTCTAGAACTGAACCACATCAGTGATTCTAGAACTGAACCACATCTGTGATTCTAGAACTGAACCACATCTGTGATTCTAGAACTGAACCACATGTGATCTTAGAACTTAAAAACATCAGTGATCTTAGAACTAAACCACATCTGGGATCTTAGAACTGAACCACATCTGTGATTCTAGAACTGAACTACATCTGTGATTCTAGAACTGAACCACATCTGTGATTCTAGAACTGAACCACATCTGTGATTCTAGAACTGAACCACATCTGTTATCCTGGAACTGAACCACATCTGTGATTCTAGAACTGAACCACATCTGTGATCTTAGAACTTAAAAACATCAGTGATCTTAGAACTAAACCACATCAGTGATTCTAGAACTGAACCACATCTGTGATTCTAGAACTGAACCACATCTGTGATTCTAGAACTGAACCACATATGAATCTTGTAAACATCTGCAGCTAGAATTCTACCTGTTTAGTAAAATTACCCTAGATCTTTGTTCACTTGAACTGAACTGCACATGAAGAACATGAACCTGTGTTGTAATCATACAAATAATGTTGACAACCATACATCTTCAAAATTCATCAGAAGTATGATAAAATTCACATGTAGTATATGAAGATTTTACAGGTACTAGTTGACCCAAAGCACTTGTGTGTTGTTGTTTCTGATCTTCAGTACAGGACCAGCAGTAATTACATAAAGCCTTCAGTGTATAAAGAGTGATGTGTTGACCTTCAACAGCTCTGTATCAGGATCCCACGACCACAGATTGGGTTCACCATGGAGACCGAACATGTAGTCAGGGAAACGCTCCTCCAGATCTCTCATATCATGTAAAATCTGTAGAAAATGAAATGAAAGCATTACATACAAACATATTGTCAAGCTTATCTTTATGGTTGGGGATCTAATCAACGAAGTGCATTAAGTGATATCAGATTCTGGGAACAGCCCGGCAACATCTGCCTCTCCTCACACGCTCTCTTCTTTGGAAGATGAATATTTAACCTACATTTGATATCTAAAATGGAATGGGCAGCAATTTTTTTGACAAATCTTTTCATTAACAAAGACCAAGACACAAATATAACATTACGAACTTGTTCTCTCACAGTAAGTTCTCATTCTCCACACTTATCATTCACACTGTCACAGGAGGGCTCTCATTCTACACACACATCATTCACACTGTCACAGGAGGGCTCTCATTCTACACACACATCATTCACACTGTCACAGGAGGGCTCTCATTCTACACACACATCATTCACACTGTCACAGGAGGGCTCTCATTCTCCACTCTCATCATTCACACTATCACAGGAGGGCTCTCATTCTACACACTCATCATTCACACTGTCACAGGAGGGCTCTCATTCTCCACACTCATCATTCACACTGTCACAGGAGAGCTCTCATTCTCCACACTCATCATTCACACTGTCACAGGAGAGCTCTCATTCTCCACACCAATCATTCACACTGTCACAGGAGAGCTCTCATTCTCCACACTCTTCATTCACACTGTCACAGGAGAGCTCTCATTCTCCACACTCATCATTCACACTATCACAGGAGAGCTCTCATTCTCCACACCAATCATTCACACTGTCACAGGAGAGCTCTCATTCTCCACATTTATCATTCACACTGTCACAGGAGGGCTCTCATTCTACACACTCATCATTCACACTGTCACAGGAGGGCTCTCATTCTCCACTCTCATCATTCACACTATCACAGGAGGGCTCTCATTCTCCACACACATCATTCACACTGTCACAGGAGGGCTCTCATTCTCCACACTCATCATTCACACTGTCACAGGAGAGCTCTCATTCTCCACACTCATTATTCACACTGTCACAGGAGAGCTCTCATTCTCCACACCCATCATTCACACTGTCACAGGAGAGCTCTCATTCTCCACACTCATCATTCACACTGTCACAGGAGAGCTCTCATTCTCCACACTTATCATTCACACTGTCACAGGAGGGCTTTCTCCTACACACACATCATTCACACTGTCACAGGAGGGCTCTCATTCTCCACTCTCATCATTCACACTATCACAGGAGAGCTCTCATTCTACACACACATCATTCACACTGTCACAGGAGGGCTCTCATTCTCCACACTCATCATTCACACTGTCACAGGAGAGCTCTCATTCTCCACACTCATCATTCACACTGTCACAGGAGAGTTCTCATTCTCCACACTCATCATTCACACTGTCACAGGAGAGCTCTCATTCTCAACACCAATCATTCACACTGTCACAGGAGAGCTCTCATTCTCCACACTCATCATTCACACTGTCACAGGAGAGCTCTCATTCTCCACACTTATCATTCACACTGTCACAGGAGAGCTCTCATTCTCCACACTCATCATTCACACTGTCACAGGAGAGCTCTCATTCTCCACACTCATCATTCACACTGTCACAGGAGAGCTCTCATTCTCCACACACATCAACCACACTGTCACAGGAGGGCTCTCATTCTCCACTCATCATTCACACTGTCACAGGAGAGCTCTCATTCTCCACACTCATCATTCACACTGTCACTGGGGAGCTCTCATTCTACACACACATCATTCACACTGTCACAGGAGGGCTCTCATTCTCAACTCTCATCATTCACACTATCACAGGAGGGCTCTCATTCTACACACACATCATTCACACTGTCACAGGAGGGCTCTCATTCTACACACTCATCATTCACACTGTCACAGGAGAGCTCTCATTCTCCACACTCATCATTCACACTGTCACAGGAGAGCTCTCATTCTCCACACCCATCATTCACACTGTCACAGGAGAACTCTCATTCTCCACATTTATCATTCACACTGTCACAGGAGGGCTCTCATTCTACACACTCATCATTCACACTGTCACAGGAGAGCTCTCATTCTCCACACTTATCATTCACACTGTCACACTACACACACATCATTCACACTGTCACAGGAGGGCTCTCATTCTCCACTCTCATCATTCACACTATCACAGGAGAGCTCTCATTCTACACACACATCATTCACACTGTCACAGGAGGGCTCTCATTCTCCACACTCATCATTCACACTGTCACAGGAGAGCTCTCATTCTCCACACTCATCATTCACACTGTCACAGGAGAGCTCTCATTCTCCACACCAATCATTCACACTGTCACAGGAGAGCTCTCATTCTCCACACTCATCATTCACACTGTCACAGGAGAGCTCTCATTCTCCACACCCATCATTCACACTGTCACAGGAGAGCTCTCATTCTCCACACACATCAACCACACTGTCACAGGAGGGCTCTCATTCTCCACTGATCATTCACACTGTCACAGGAGAGCTCTCATTCTCCACACTCATCATTCTCATTGTCACAGGAGGGCTCTCATTCTTCACACACATCATTCACACTGTCACAGGAGAGCTCTCATTCTCCACACTCATCATTCACACTGTCACAGGAGGGCTCTCATTCTCCACACTCATCATTCACAATGTCACTGGGGAGCTCTCATTCTCCACACTCATCATTCACACTGTCACTGGGGAGCTCTCATTCTCCACACTCATCATTCACACTGTCACAGGGGAGCTCTCATTCTCCACACTCATCATTCACACTGTCACAGGAGGGCTCTCATTCTCCACACTCATCATTCACACTGTCACAGGAGAGCTCTCATTCTCCACACTCATCATTCACATTGTCACAGGAGAGCTCTCATTCTCCACACTCATCATTCACACTGTCACAGGAGAGCTCTCATTCTCCACACTCATCATTCACACTGTTACAGGAGGGCTCTCATTCTCCACACACATCACTCCCACTGTCACAGGAGGGCTCTCATTCTCCACCCTCATCATTTACACTGTCACAGGAGGGCTCTCATTCTCCACACTCATCATTCACACTGTCACAGGAGAGCTCTCATTCTCCACACTCATCATTCACACTGTCACAGGAGGGCTCTCATTCTACACACACATCATTCACACTGTCACAGGAGGGCTCTCATTCTCCACTCTCATCATTCACACTATCACAGGAGGGCTCTCATTCTACACACACATCATTCACACTGTCACAGGAGGGCTCTCATTCTCCACTCTCATCATTCACACTATCACAGGAGGGCTCTCATTCTACACACACATCATTCACACTGTCACAGGAGGGCTCTCATTCTCCACACTCATCATTCACACTGTCACAGGAGAGCTCTCATTCTCCACACTCATCATTCACACTGTCACAGGAGAGCTCTCATTCTCCACACCAATCATTCACACTGTCACAGGAGAGCTCTCATTCTCCACACTCTTCATTCACACTGTCACAGGAGAGCTCTCATTCTCCACACTCATCATTCACACTGTCACAGGAGAGCTCTCATTCTCCACACCAATCATTCACACTGTCACAGGAGAGCTCTCATTCTCCACATTTATCATTCACACTGTCACAGGAGGGCTCTCATTCTACACACTCATCATTCACACTGTCACAGGAGGGCTCTCATTCTCCACTCTCATCATTCACACTATCACAGGAGGGCTCTCATTCTCCACACACATCATTCACACTGTCACAGGAGGGCTCTCATTCTCCACACTCATCATTCACACTGTCACAGGAGAGCTCTCATTCTCCACACTCATCATTCACACTGTCACAGGAGAGCTCTCATTCTCCACACCCATCATTCACACTGTCACAGGAGAGCTCTCATTCTCCACATTCATCATTCACACTGTCACAGGAGGGCTCTCATTCTCCACACTTATCATTTACACTGTCACAGGAGGGCTCTCATTCTCCACACACATCACTCACACTGTCACAGGAGGGCTCTCATTCTCCACCCTCATCATTTACACTGTCACAGGAGGGCTCTCATTCTCCACACTCATCATTCACACTGTCACAGGAGAGCTCTCATTCTCCACACTCATCATTCACACTGTCACAGGGGAGCTCTTATTCTCCACACGCATCGTTCACACTGTCACAGGAGGGCTCTCATTCTCCACTCATCATTCACATTGTCACAGGAGAGCTCTCATTCTCCACACTCATCATTCACACTGTCACTGGGGAGCTCTCATTCTCCACACTCATCATTCACACTGTCACAGGGGAGCTCTTATTCTCCACATGCATCGTTCACACTGTCACAGGAGGGCTCTCATTCTCCACTCATCATTCACACTGTCACAGGAGGGCTCTCATTCTCCACACTTATCATTCACATTGTCACAGGAGGGCTCTCATTCTCCACACACATCATTCACACTGTCACAGGAGGGCTCTCATTCTCCACACTCATCATTTACACTGTCACAGGAGGGCTCTCATTCTCCACACTCATCATTTACACTGTCACAGGAGGGCTCTCATTCTCCACCCTCATCATTTACACTGTCACAGGAGGGCTCTTATTCTCCACACACATCATTCACACTGTCCATACTTCCAAGTTACATACATATACTTCTTTAAACAGGTACATCATTCTTTACTGTATTTAAATATTTTAACGATTAACACTCATTTTATATACTCACCTTCCTGTTATAACTATATAAACATCATTCAATGGGGAGCAATCTGGTTAATTAAGTTGGGGAAGACAAGATGAAATAAAGACCGCAAGTATAGTTTTTCTTTACAATGATCACACAAAGGAAATAGAAAGTAAGGAGGAGGAGTCAACGTCAGGTGGAAATCGGTGGGTTTTCTTAGTGTGGAACTTGGCGCTAGGTATGGATACCTCAAAAGCATGCAGGGCAGTTATAGAAAATAAACTTTTTTTGAGAGGGAATGATAACCGTAACCAACCGCGTTACCAATTAGTAGAAACTTTGTCTTCACAAGGTCTTCACCAAGTTATTATTCCTTCTCTATAAAGGAAATACAAAGAACAACTCTTCTTTATCCTGCAGGTCTGAGTGAATATTGTAACTGTTAACATGGCAATACTAAACAATCTACTCTCTTTAGCTTGATCAGTTGAGAGTATGACTGGTAAACAATAAGTCCCTGTTTTGATCGTTGTCTGCAGGATTTATTACGCTATCATTGTCATAGGTACACGTAATAACAATTCTGTAAAATGTCTTTAAGATCTAAGACTTAAAACATGTTCACACTTACATTGTAGGAGTTAAGTGAGGTGCTGATCTGGAAGATGAACAACGCCAAACAAACAGTCATTCCAAATAAAGTCAGCAGTCGAATCGGCAGGAAATCGTGGGCTGATAAACTAGGAAGAATTCAATCAGATAAACATTTAGATTTACTTAAATCGTATCCGTTTACAACTTTTTATTAAGATAAGATTATTTCTGGTTCAGGACTTGTCATAGTCCTCTATACCAGACTCATTACAATACAGTATGAATTCATAATCAAATACATTATCTTCAACAAATTTGTATTGAATTACAATTAAACAAAATGGATGGTAAAGTGGCATGGTTACTGAAATTCGACTTTCACAATTGCATCGCTCAGACTGGAGTCCCACATATGACATCAGGTTGTATATATATGGGACCACATGCATTTCCCCAGGTACTCAATCATATGTTTTAATCAATATCTTTCATGATATATATAACCCAACACCATGATATCTTGTGTCCTGTAACTTTTTATCAATTAAATAAACTTTAATAACCATTTTATATGTTTAGACAAATATGAAACTCCTACAGGGTACATTTTTGGCGTATGTGGTAAAAATTCAACATCACATCAAGTAAACAAAGAAAACATAACAGTTGATGTTTTAATAGGCTGACTCTCAATCAATGATGCAGGATATAGTCAGTGTTTTAAAATATATGCTGTATTAAGGCGAGGGTGAAGAAAGACAAAAGTGACGAGCCACTTTTTTTCTTTCTGTCCCAAGCCAAAATACAGCTAATATTTTAAGACACTGATAATGTATTCTCTATATGGACAATATTAGATATGCTTACAACTAGGCTTAATTATTCATTGACATTGAGAATACTTATGCATGACAGGTGAAGCGAAGATATCAGGCCCTAGTTATTCATTGAACGTAGTTGGCATAACATCTGTAAGACTTATAATGCTTGTGTAACTCATATGTATAAATAGAAATAGTTGTCAAATGTGACCTTTGACCCCTTAACCTTAGCCAACCTGATATGATATGCGTATAACATGACGTTAGGACACTATAGGTAACTATGAACCGAATCTGTTGAGAGGGGCTCATGGTATGATATGATCCTGAACTGGACATGCCATCAAATGATGGGGACATAGAAATCAATTTTATGTGAGAAATATAGTATATATAAAATCAATAAAAACCGGCTTATCCCGAGTCTGATGTGATTGACTTCTATACAGAGAAAGTTGTTTTAAAGTAAAATGCCAAGCAAAAATCAGTTACAAAAGCATTGGAAGTATTTTCAGTTGGAACTGGTATCTTAAGTTTAAGTACAATATAAAAATATAATAAAGTATTTTAATGTTTAGATGTTATATTGCTATCATTTTCTTTTATTACTTTTTCAGACAAATGACATAGAAGATGGAGTATCAACACCTGGATTCCATGGTTTTATAATAAGTTTACATATTTCGGCTAGCCAACAAAAGTCCGATGGGAATATGGTATGAGAATATGAATGGATGGCCAGTTAATCATGTCAAGCTCAATCAAGATTTCACCTGCATTGATTTTTCTTTTTTTCTTGTCATTTATAATAACTCTTGTCGTTAGTTTTAACAAACACACCATATGTCAAAACTGGTAGATTGTTATTCCTGTACAATTATATACTATAACCTCACTTAAAAAATATTATTCATGTCATGTGTCCTTGCATGTGTCTACATAATAGACATACTGCCTTTTACATTTTAGAAACAAACTTTGTAGTTAAAGTTATTATGCATGTGACTATGATGAATCCAGTCAACTGTGTACACAGTAAGCCTTGGGGCCCTATCAGTCTCCAGTGCCTCCTAATATCTAGGCTAACATGTAGTTGTTATAACTATGTTAATATACAATACACGTTATAACAAAACATGTATACACCTTGTCTATTATTGATACCATGGGTGTGGCAGGGTGCCAAACTAAAGTCACGTGTGATTATTTTGCACGCGCAGGCATTGACGCCTGTCATTGTCAGACGCAAAGATGGATGCTGCAAAGAAAATAACTAAATCAAAACAATGGAATCTGGAAAACACCCCGGCCACAAGGGAGAGCTTACTAGGAGGTAGAGTAGCTGCAAAATGACATATGCATATCGAAATATTTATACGAGACATTAATGACTTACACATACGTGAATGGAACTGTCAAATTTTTAAACAATAGGGCTAGTGGTTAGCCAAACATCAGAAATTAATGAATAACCGCTGTGTCTAGTAGTTTGACAGTGTTGTCAATATGAAATAAAATAACGTACACATCAGGGAATAAATCAAGTTAACGGAGTTCTATCGTGCATTCATTATATTGTATGTCATAAGAAAGATTCAAAATAACGATAATAAACAGAACAGCGAGTCTGAGTTGAAAACCACCAATACATTCTCCTAATGAGCATTGCTAAAATACTGAACATGTTGCCATGGTTACATACATTGATTCATCTTTTGTTCTCCTATATTTCCTCTTTTTTCGTTTTCTTTTCTCTGGACTCTCGGTGTTACATTCGGTGACTGTTTTCGCTACATCTTCAGACATTTCAGTCACTTTCCTCCATAACATGCAGAGTTATCACCCTTTATGTCTGTGGAGCTCTTATTCGTTGACCTCTCACCTTTCTGATAATGGATAGCAACATGTCTTCCGGAACTAACAGTAGTTTTTCTCGCATCCTAAGCAGAGAACAAAATGGAGTCATTCAGCCGATTCTCACAGGTAATCACAACATTTCGTTTTTAAGTAACTTACATATGACATACTTGATATGTTTCTAATACGTTTCCGTCTGATGTAAATCAATGTTACGAAAACTAAAAGCGCGCACCTTGCATATTTCAGTTTCATTTTCACCTGCCTTGCTGTGATGAACAAGTTTATACTGGAACCGCTATGTCCAAAAAATCGATATGAATTTCACAACCGGCTTTATAACGAAGGCCTTGATTCTTTATTTTTAGGACAGCTATTAAAGTAATTGATGGAAAATAAATGCAAAATTATCAAAGAGGAAATAAATCAACATGTCTTTGTGAAGTTTCCATGTATTTCAATTACAAAATGAAAGTGAAATTGTCCAAAATAGTAATTGACATTTTCAGAAAATCTACTAGTATATGTATAGATTTTTAAATGTTTTTTGAAATAAGTAGTTACATGTTGAATATTATTACTTCATGTATTTTTTTAATATATATTTTACAAAACCTGGATTAATCTGTTTACAAATATTAATAAAAATTGAGTGTTTTTCGTGTAATGATCATTTTTCAGTAGATTAGTATTCCACCAAAACAGATACTTTAGAATTGACAGCTCAGTATCATATTTTTGATTTTGATAAATGAACATATGGTGCAGATGTACATATTTCCAGCTTTAGTTTATGTACCAAGCTCAACATCTTAGAGTGACATATGTTTTTTTTTTTATCCAAAACTATCAGGAAATTCATAATCTTGGGTTGTACCTATATGTTGGGAAAACAGTCAGACCCATGTACATGTACATACAGCGAAACCCCAGTTACTCAAACCCATATTTTTCAAATACCCCCAATTTGGTTGCTTGGTCTCGACCACATATTTTATATTTTACTTAATCTTGGATTTCTTGACCTGTTATTCCTTGAACACCCTTTCATTCCACAAATTCATTTTGATCCCCACCTCTTTATCTTCACAGTATATTTCCTTCTTTATTCATTGAAGTGACTTTCCATCATTTATCTGTATTGCGCATGACTGCATCCAGTTTCAGGGTACCAGTTCCAATCATTTCTGTGTATTTATACAAGTATATGGCAGGACAGGAGATAATTATGGGATTAATGGTAGTATGATTAGATACCAGTTTTCGGGCCTGTTACATAATTTGATTATCTAATCAGGATATTTCCAATACATTTAGTTCGGTGTTTTTTTACATAAAAGTCAACTTTGTTTGAAAGGAAAGTTTGTAAACCAAGTAACATAATGCTGCATAGCAGAAGGGTACAAGTGAATAAAGATAATTTTCTTTTTACATTAAATAGTTTACTTCTTGTTTAAGTGAAGGATGTTTATAACATGTTAGTAGCATGCTAGCTCAAGTATGTTTATGTCAAGACTGTTTGCATTGTTACTTTTATTCTGCAAATTCATCTTAACAAAAGCATAGAGGATACACTATATTTGGTCTCATAACACTTTTCCTTGTGATTTGGCATTAATTATTCAACAGTAAAAATTATATGCTGTAAATCTTTCCACTTTTGTTTTCTACCTACGCCATGCTCAAGAAACCATTATCCTTAATGACATGTATTCTGCAGAAAACTGGTGCAGTGTTTTACCGTTTCCATAAATTTCATTTCATTAAAATTTTAGACAAATTGAAGATATAAGTCAATCAAAACTTCACAATAATCATGAATTGGATGGTCAAAGAATTGTGTATTAAATATGTCATTCACGGACACAGATATAAGGTAGTTGATGATCTAGACCAAACTCAGATTACTTGAATACACTGTGTTCCTCAAACTATTGACATGGTCCAAAGGAGTTTATTGTATAACTTAGATGTAGTCCTTCATTTATAGAAATTTAAGAATTTCACAGCACAATTTAGAAATAACGGAATTTAAAGGTCACCAGCAGTGAAAATAAAAAAAGTGTTTTTTTTTTCATGCAAAATGGGTGGACATGCAGTAGCAACTGTCATTATGATGTTTGATATCTAAATCAGTGAAAATAATATGTGTTGGGTTATACAGCAGACAGATTAGAACATAAAATAGCACGATAAAAACATAGTATACAAAGAAAAAATAAACCATTGAAATACTGATGAATATTGATTCCTTTGAAATTAAAGATTGAATAATACAAAAATGTCATTTAACTGTACTGGCTTTTTATAGATCTAGCTACATCTTACTATTGTATAAAACATCATTGATCACGATTAAACAGCCATGGTTAGTAAACATATAAACTTTAGTAATCATTAACTTTACAGGTAGCACATATATATCGTTGAATATCTGATAAGTGGTGATTATAAGTACAGAAAATGAACCTGTATGATGGGTTAAGTGTCATACAGAATCTATGGATCTTGACCCTTGTGAATCTCATTCCATGACTGGTCTAGATACTGGATGAGACTATTGGCCCATTAGATGCCCCTTATAAAGTCCATGTTTCTGCTGAATAATGTGTTTGGTTTTGAATATTATGAAAAATTGATTTTTATTTTCCTATCAACTCTACTTACCTTGTAGAGGCTGTGTGTATAAAATGACATCTGTCATTTTGTAGTAAAACTACTGATACTGTTATTGGATGTAAAATACCATGTAAACTTGCACAGGAAAAATAGTTTTGTAATGATAAAATGCTTTTAGACAAATCATAGATTATTTTCATTAAATATTCATTTGTTTGTCTTTAACCAGCTGCTCTTTAACCGAGTCTCTGAAAAGCTTGCCTGTATCATAAAAACACAGACAAGTCTTTATCATGGGGAAACACATAGACATAGAAACTGTAATGATGAAAAGTTGCTCTTGTACCATTTTTTGTCCTGTCTGAAAGAATATCATCAAATATAGATATATGTTGGTTTTACCATCACAGTGGTTTGTAACAATCTACTGTATTTTGTATTTTATTTCTTTAGATAGTGTCACGTCAAAAACAAATATTAAATATAGCTGCTTTTTTAATAAAAAGAAAATGGTATAAGCAAGATCTAAGATTTTTTATCTTGAAATTGTAATGCTGCTTTAAAAAGGTAATTAGAATTCTACACATAATGATATTTTCAACAAAAAAAAAAAGAAAGAAAAGGTAAATCAGATCATATGTATTCCTGTTCTGTAGAAAAGTGTAGAGATTATTAACAGATTAGGCAAAACTCCAGTTTTGTTTTTGTTTTTGTTTTCGTTATTTTTTAAAACAAAACTATACTTTGACAATTATTCAGACTTGAACAAGATGATATGCAATGTTTATATCTAGAGGGTATTGTAGGGAAAGGAGATAACCCTATTGTTATAGAATATCACTGAATCCCTCACTGTCAGTAAAGGGATGTGATCAGTGTTGTGTGGCCAGATCACCTATCAACATGTTCAGTCATGAGGATTGACTTAGATATAGAGGAAATGGATATCAGTTTTATACAGCCAGGTACGTCTGTAATAATCATCTTATCTAGCCTATTTCTAGGGGTCAAACAATTTATTTTGATTTAAATATCAGTCAGCTTTTAACATATCTAAGTATTACTTACCTAACTTAAATATTTATTTTCTAAAACTTACAGAATTTATATATATATACACTTAAGTTGCTAAATGAGTTGATGTGTAAGTTATCATTTTTATAAAAGAAAATTTCAAAATATACAAACATTATTCAAATGCAGAAGTTGAAAAAATTTCATTAAGAATTTCTGTGTTGTTGAATTTAATATCTAAACGTATTTGTCATGGTTATATTCTTTAGCTAATATAATGCTGACTGATCTGTTATGTTGTCATTTTTTCTAATTGCACTTTTTTTTATTTAGAAAATATAGATTGAATATTGAATATGCTAATCATGAATACAGTGTCGGAGAAATTTCATACATAAATATATCAGAGCAGCAGAGATCAGTGATAATACAATGGGTATCATTATTCTAAAGTTTTTAATGTCGACTGGTAATTTGCATCCACTCAGCTCAGAGCATTTTCCAAATTTGTGCATTAAGCTTAAATTGGTATCTGAAAGTTTTACTCCCTTGGTAAAATTTTACAGATATACATATTGATGAATTTGTGCACCCATAATTTAAAATGTTATTGAAAGCAATTTACAAAAACCCATTAGGTTGTACAATGGTTATTTTTAGATTTCAGAGGAAGTGGATCAGTGTGAAGTATTCTTTAAATTCAATCTGTTATGCAGATGTCATTGAATGCTAATGATACAGAAAATTTCTACCCATCATAAGCTTACTGGCTTTCTGTTTCACAGTCACAACAAGTCTGTAGTTGGGTACAACTGCCTAAACACACTGGAATAATGCAGTATCTTTGATCATGGCTGGGACACACAAATCATTGTAATGGACATAAAAAACTGTCATTGGGAAAACTTCAAAAGATGGAAAATCCGATAAAACTATCTAATGGTAGAAATAATTATTTTGATAAAAAAACTTCAAATAATTATGAAAAATAAAGTGTGATTGTTTTTTCATGTGAAGTTTAGCAGCACAACGATGTCAATATTCCGGCATTAAATGGAATATGAATCTCTTGGAGAGTCACTCATGGTATTATAATCATCCTGCAGCAACAAATTAAAAGAAAGAGGGGTCTGAAGGTGTGACTTATTGTCTATATATTTATCTAAATTTTATTTAGAAAAATAAAGAAAAAAATATGAAATGTCATGTATATGTGAAACAAAAATTTCTGAAGGAAATTCATGCCCAGTTCACACCTTGTTACCAAAGTAACTGCAGCTGAAGTGACAACAAATGTAAACAAAGCTCTCTATACAACAGCCGCATTAATTAAATGTTTCCGTATGAGATCAGGACCCTTATTCATGAATCCATTCTCGTGCTCAAGCATAGACTTTCTGCTGTAGCAGACTTTTTTATAATTCGCCCAAATCATATAAAATAATACAAATGTCAACTATAAATATTGAATATAACTTTGACTTGAAGCCCTTCGATTTTTTTTTAATCTTTGGAAAAATCAGTCTTATTTATTAATTTTAGCTTAAACAAAACATAAGGCTTGAGCACAAAATTCATGGTGGAGCATGAGAACGGTTTCATGAATACGGGCCCTGATCTTGGCAATGTTCTAAACATATGGTTATTACATAAATTATATCGTTGATATTTTTGAAAAAGTTACCAGATAATGAAAGTTGATCACAATTATATATATATTGGGGAGTTAAAGGATATACATATAACACCCAAATTTGGTGTAGGGCTGGATTGGTCATGGTGCATTACACATTTCATAATAAACATCATAAGACTCCACAATTATTTTGTACACTGTCAATAAAGAAGTTACTTTGACATTGAAATATATAATGTTAGAATATATATGGTTTTAACCTCATTCTATCTTGCTTTTTTAATGAACGAAAGTGGGGAAAATAAAACAAAATTCAATGGAGTTCCTGTATTTACAGATCTCTACCAAATCACCATGGCTTATGCCTATTGGAAGAGTGGCAAGAAGACAGACAGGGCCGTCTTTGACCTTTACTTCCGTAAAAATCCATTTAAAGGAGAATTCACTGTGTTTGCTGGACTTGAGGAGTGTATCAAGTTTCTACAAAAGTTCTGCTTTACAGAGAGTGGTAAGTTCACCAATAATTATGAATTCTCCCTTAGGGTAATCAGGCACCAGGATGTCCCTGAAACATCTGTGTCCATAGACAATATATTTCTTCCTGGTTTTACCTTCAGACGAGTAATCCTAGTAAGTCTTCTATTTTATTGTTGTGAATTTGTTATCATAAATGATCTATTTTGGACAAAGGTTAGTATGTCTGGATGCATTTTGACATTTAGAAAAAGTTAAAGGACCTGTAAGGGATTGAAATTTTATTTTAAGCAGTATATAAACGATTACAACTGAAAATCAACCAAGCCCTGAGATACTGTTCTTTAATTAGGAAGTCTGTCAATGTTTATACATATTGATTCAAAAACAAAAGCTGCTGTGAAATCTTGCAGCGTTACGATTGTGAAATGTGTTTGGATTGATTTACTGGTGATATACATTGTGGATGGTCTTGCTTACTGTATTGATTTCTATGTCACTTGGCACAATGTTTCATTGAGCCATATTTAATGCTGAGTATATGTAGTGGTCCTATTATAAAGAATTTATGGATAACAACATTTTCTTTTGTACTGTTTTGTACTGTACTAGCGTCACTGTAGAGTGTAAAAATTACAAGACCATCTGACATGTACATTAAGATTGATGATGACTTTTCTACACACGCTTGGATACTTTGTGTGATATGTTGCTGGTGATTGGCTGGTATATAGCTCACGTGATCTGTGATATGTTGGTGGTGATTGGCTGGTATATAGCTTACGTGATCTGTGATATGTTGGTGGTGATTGGCTGGTATATAGCTCACGTGATCTGTGATATGTTGGTGGTGATTGGCTGATATATAGCTCATGTGATCTGTGATATGTCGGTGGTGATTGGCTGGTATATAGCTTCTGTGATATGTTGGTGGTGATTGGCTGGTATATAGCTCACGTGATCTGTGATATGTTGGTGGTGATTGGCTGGTATATAGCTCATGTGATCTGTGATATGTTGGTGGTGATTGGCTGGTATATAGCTCACATGATCTGTGTGATATGTTGGTGGTGATTGGCTGGTATATGGCTCTCATGATCTGTGATATGTTGCTGGTGATTGGCTGGTATATAGCTCACGTGATCTGTGATATGCTGGTGTTGATTGGCTGGTATATAGTCACATGATCTGTGTGATATGTTGCTGGTGATTGGCTGGTATATAGCTCACGTGATCTGTGATATGTTGGTGGTGATTGGCTGGTATATAGCTCACATGATCTGTGTTGCTGGTGATTGGCTTTTATATAGTCACATGATCTGTGTGATATGTTGGTGGTGATTGGCTGGTGTATAGCTCACATGATCTGTGATATGTTGCTGGTGATTGGCTGGTATATAGCTCACATGATCTGTGTGATATGTTGGTGGTGATTGGCTGGTATATGGCTCTCATGATCTGTGATATGTTGCTGGTGATTGGCTGGTATATAGCTCACGTGATCTGTGATATGCTGGTGTTGATTGGCTGGTATATAGTCACATGATCTGTGTGATATGTTGCTGGTGATTGGCTGGTATATAGCTCACGTGATCTGTGATATGTTGGTGGTGATTGGCTGGTATATAGCTCACATGATCTGTGTTGCTGGTGATTGGCTTTTATATAGTCACATGATCTGTGTGATATGTTGGTGGTGATTGGCTGGTGTATAGCTCACATGATCTGTGATATGTTGCTGGTGATTGGCTGGTATATAGCTCACATGATCTGTGTGATATCTTGCTGATTATTGGCTGGTATATAGCTCACATGATCTATGTGATATGTTGCTGGTGATTGGTTGGTATATAGCTCACATGATCTGTGATATGTTGGTGGTGATTGGCTGGTATATAGTCACATGATCTGTGTGATATATTGCTGGTGATTGACTGGTATATAGTCACATGATCTGTGTGATATGTTGCTGGTGATGGGCTGGTATATAGCTCACATGATCTGTGTGATATGTTGCTGGTGATTGGCTGGTATATAGCTCACATGATCTGTGATATGTTGGTGGTGATTGACTGGTATATAGTCACATGATCTGTGTGATATGTTGCTGGTGATGGGCTGGTATATAGCTCACATGATCTGTGTGATATGTTGCTGGTGATTGGTTGGTATATAGTCACATGATCTGTGTGATATTTTGTTGATTATTGGCTGGTATATAGCTCACATGATCTGTGTGATATATTGCTGGTGATTGGCTGGTATATAGCTCACGTGATCTGTGTGATATATTGCTGGTGATTGGCTGGTATATAGCTCACGTGATCTGTGATATGTTGGTGGTGATTGGCTGGTATATAACTCACATGATCTGTGTGATATGTTGCTGGTGATTGGCTGGTATATAGCTCACATGATCTGTGTGATATGTTGCTGGTGATTGGCTGGTATATAGCTCACATGATCTGTGATATGTTGGTGGTGATTGGCTGGTATATAGCTCACATGATCTGTGTGATATGTTGGTGGTGATTGGCTGGTATATAGCTCACATGATTTGTGATATGTTGGTGGTGATTGGCTGGTATATAGCTCACATGATCTGTGATATGTTGGTGGTGATTGGCTGGTATATAGCTCACATCATCTGTGATATGTTGCTGGTGATTGGCTGGTATATAGCTCACATGCTCAGACACATAAATGTCATTCCTAGTCAATCAGACCTTTAAGATTTTCATTTAAATGAAGATCACAATATTTGACCATTATTTTTATATAAAATTTTGGTGGTCAGATGGCACAATTGTAACTTTATCTTTCACCTAGATGTATGGAATACCCTGAGTGACATGATAAGGTATGAGAATCATCTGCCTGATCATGTGGGTTTTCTCTGTGTAATCAGCTTTCCTTCCATCATAAGACTCTTCACATGCCTCCATCCACACCAGCCAGATTGATTAATAGTGGATAGGTTGTTTTACAATTTTTGTAAAAGAAAGTTAACATTTTGATATGATATAGAATCTGACCTAGACAATATTTCAAGGTCATAGAGGCCAAATATGTTTTAAATTTCTAACCATGTAACATTATGAAGCTTTGATGGTGAGGTTTAGATTACATGCCATCAATAACTATTAAGTTCTCACATGATGGACATTGTCTTCGGGTCAAATAAAGTAACACATATTCAAAAGTGTGAAGAACATTCTTACATGTAGCAAAATGCACCACACCTGGCAGGGTCAATGTATTTTGTATAAACGACCTTGAATGACTTTCAAGGTCATAGAGGTAAAATGGTAACTGAATGACCTTATGTAGAAGGTAAAATTTACACATAAGTATGCAGATTAGAAAACGATACAGGGAATGATTTTGCCTGTGCAATGTATGTTGTAATTATGTCAGAGGTCAAAGTTGATTTCCAGAAATGGTCAAAGTTTAACTTTGTCTATAATTCGAAAAAAACTTTAAAGGAATAATCTCTACATGCTCTAGAATATACAATAAGAATGGAAGATTGGCAAGGTTTTGTAAATAAGTAAACATTATGATGTCATTTACCTATTGACATCATTATATGAATATTTTGATAAAAAAAATTCTACAATTGTTTATGTTGCAGATATAAACTACTTACGGACAGTCCTTCCTAGTAACATAGAGTCCGAATTCTTTGACTACCTGCAGCAGATATCTACAAAGGATGTAAAACTGTATGCCATTGATGAAGGGACTGTTGTGTTCCCCAAGGTACCCCTTCTGACTGTTGAGGGACCCTTACCTATTGTACAGTTGATGGAAACTCCCCTCCTAAACCTTGTCAACTACGCCAGTTTGGTGGCAACTAATGGCATGCGTTTCCGTCTAGCAGCTGGGCCAGAGAAAATCCTCCTGGAGTTTGGTCTTAGGAGAGCCCAAGGACCTGATGGGGCACTGTCAGCATCTCGTTACTGCTACCTAGGAGGTGAGCTTAAATATGTACACTACGCTAACAACTGATTTACTATACGGATGATTACTGTTTATTAGTTTCCTTCTGCTTGTTGTTGTATTCCTACAAGTTTGAAGGATATTCACTTTCTATGGTGCTAACCACATACATACCAAAACTGTTACTATGGTGATACGGGGTACATAGTTCACATATATACATACCAAAACTGTTACTATGATGATAAGAGTACATAGTTCATACACATACATACCAGAACTGTTACTATGGTGATACGGGGTACATAGTTCACATATATACATACCAAAACTGTTACTATGATGATAAGAGTACATAGTTCACACACATACATACCAAAACTGTTACTATGATGATAAGGGTACATAGTTCACACACATACATACCAGAACTGTTACTATGGTGATAAGGGTACATAGTTCACATATATACATACCAAAACTGTTACTATGATGATAAGGGTACATAGTTCACACACATACATACCAAAACTGTTACTATGGTGATAAGGGTACATAGTTCACACACATACATACCAAAACTGTTACTATGATGATAAGGGTACATAGTTCACACACATACATACCAAAACTGTTACTATGATGATAAGGGTACATAGTTCACACACATACATACCAAAACTGTTACTATGATGATAAGGGTACATAGTTCACACACATACATACCAAAACTGTTACTATGATGATAAGGGTACATAGTTCACACACATACATACCAAAACTGTTACTATGATGATAAGGGTACATAGTTCACACACATACATACCAAAACTGTTACTATGGTGATAAGGGTACATAGTTCACACACATACATACCAAAACTGTTACTATGGTGATAAGGGTACATAGTTCACACACATACATACCAAAACTGTTACTATGGTGATAAGGGTACATAGTTCACACACATACATACCAAAACTGTTACTATGGTGATAAGGGTACATAGTTCACACACATACATACCAAAACTGTTACTATGGTGATAAGGGTACATAGTTCACACACATACATACCAAAACTGTTACTATGATGATAAGGGTACATAGTTCACACACATACATACCAAAACTGTTACTATGATGATAAGGGTACATAGTTCACACACATACATACCAAAACTGTTACTATGGTGATAAGGGTACATAGTTCACACACATACATACCAAAACTGTTACTATGATGATAAGGGTACATAGTTCACACACATACATACCAAAACTGTTACTATGGTGATAAACATGTTCACACACATACATACCAAAACTGTTACTATGGTGATAAGGGGTTCACACACATACATACCAAAAGTGATCACACACATACATACCAAAACTGTTACTATGATGATAAGGGTACATAGTTCACACACATACATACCAAAACTGTTACTATGGTGATAAGGGTACATAGTTCACACACATACATACCAAAACTGTTACTATGGTGATAAGGGTACATAGTTCACACACATACATACCAAAACTGTTGTTCACACACATACATACCAAAACTGTTACTATGGTGATAAGGGTACATAGTTCACACACATACATACCAAAACTGTTACTATGGTGATAAGGGTACATAGTTCACACACATACATACCAAAACTGTTACTATGGTGATAAGGGTACATAGTTCACACACATACATACCAAAACTGTTACTATGGTGATAAGGGTACATAGTTCACACACATACATACCAAAACTGTTACTATGGTGATAAGGGTACATAGTTCACACACATACATACCAAAACTGTTACTATGGTGATAAGGGTACATAGTTCACACACATACATACCAAAACTGTTACTATGATGATAAGGGTACATGGTTCACACACATACATACCAAAACTGTTACTATGATGATAAGGGTACATGGTTCACACACATACATACCAAAACTGTTACTATGATGATAAGGGTACATAGTTCACACACATACATACCAAAACTGTTACTATGGTGATAAGGGTACATAGTTCACACACATACATACCAAAATGTTACTACAGGGTACATAGTTCACACACATACATACCAAAACTGTTACTATGGTGATAAGGGTACATAGTTCACACACATACATACCAAAACTGTTACTATGGTGATAAGGGTACATAGTTCACACACATACATACCAAAACTGTTACTATGGTGATAAGGGTACATAGTTCACACACATACATACCAAAACTGTTACTATGGTGATAAGGGTACATAGTTCACACACATACATACCAAAACTGTTACTGATAAGGGTACATAGTTCACACACATACATACCAAAACTGTTACTATGGTGATAAGGGTACATAGTTCACACACATACATACCAAAACTGTTACTATGGTGATAAGGGTACATAGTTCACACACATACATACCAAAACTGTTACTATGGTGATAAGGGTACATAGTTCACACACATACATACCAAAACTGTTACTATGGTGATAAGGGTACATAGTTCACACACATACATACCAAAACTGTTACTATGGTGATAAGGGTACATAGTTCACACACATACATACCAAAACTGTTACTATGGTGATAAGGGTACATAGTTCACACACATACATACCAAAACTGTTACTATGGTGATAAGGGTACATGTTCACACACACATAAGGTAACTGTTACTATGGTGATAAGGGTACATAGTTCACACACATACATACCAATACTGTTACTATGGTGATAAGGGTACATAGTTCACACACATACATACCAAAACTGTTACTATGGTGATAAGGGTACATAGTTCACACACATACATACCAGAACTGTTACTATGGTGATAAGGGTACATAGTTCACACACATACATACCAAAACTGTTACTATGGTGATAAGGGTACATAGTTCACACACATACATACCAAAACTGTTACTATGATGATAAGGGTACATAGTTCACACACATACATACCAGAACTGTTACTATGGTGATAAGGGGTATATAGTTCACACACATACATACCAAAACTGTTACTATGGTGATAAGGGTACATAGTTCACACACATACATACCAAAACTGTTACTATGGTGATAAGGGTACATAGTTCACACACATTCATACCAAAACTGTTACTATGGTGATAAGGGTACATAGTTCACACACATACATACCAGAACTGTTACTATGGTGATAAGGGTACATAGTTCACACACATACATACCAGAACTGTTACTATGGTGATAAGGGGATAAGGGTACATAGTTCACACACATACATACCAGAACTGCTTATTTTGTTTATATGGGTACATAGTTCACACACATACATACCAAAACTGTTACTATGGTGATAAGGGTACATATTCCACACATACCAAACTGTTAAACAAAATATTGAAATGAAATCTAATATAAAAATATGACTTTTCATTTTGAAGGATTTGATGGTACAAGTAATGTTCTGGCTGGGAAACTGTATGGGATTCCTGTCCGGGGTACACATGCCCATGCTTTTGTTACTTCTTTCACTGATCTTGAGACGATCGCTGACGAGGTAGGTCTGAAGCATTTCTTTGTTCCTACTGGTCAGTAGAACTTTTGTTAATCATGTTAAGCATTATCAAATCCTTGGTTTTTTCTATCATTTAGATAATGTCTGGAGATGTCTTCCCTGATGGTTCAACCAATCTCGTTCACACTTTTTTTTTCAGCAGCAATGTCTTCCCTGATGGTTCAACAAATCTCGTTCACACTTTTTTCTTCAGCAGCAATGTCTACCCTCATTGTTCAACCAATCTTGTTCACACTTTTTTTGTTCAGCAACATTGTCTGCCCTGATTTTTCAACCAATATCATCACCACTTTTTTCACACTACAGCAATAACAAGTAACTGTTTTCCAGAATGGAACTTTTGATTCTGCAATCAATAGAAGACTCATTGCCCTTTGTTATTTTCATGAGTTTAAATATTCTGGACATCTCTGGAGTTTTAAATCTCTTTGAAAGTGGTATGCTATATCATTTTTGTTTTTCTATTTTGATATCATAACTGACCTATCTTATTAGGCCCCACAGTCCTCTGGTCAGAGGAAGAGACTTTCCCAAGTATATGATAGATTACTGACAATTACTTGTAAGTAAACTGTTAGTACAAGAACATACTTATCTTTGAAATACGTAGTTATTTCAATGATCTCTATTTCAGACCCTGATGAGAAAGGGAACCGAGGAACCTGTCAAGTTTCTGCCAATTTGTAAAAAATGGCAAAAAAAGCTCACAAGCATTTTAGGTACGATTAGCTTATCTCCTAATGTGTTCTGATTTTTTTATGACAACATTTTGAAAGAAAATAGAATTATCAGTTTTTATACCCTCTGTTAAATGATGTATGAAGTATCACAATGTCTGTTCATTCATCAGTTGATGTGTACAAGAGATCTGTTAAATGATGTATGAAGTATCACTATGTCTGTTCATTCAGCCGTTGGTGTGTACAAGAGATCTGTGAATCCCACAACAGATGATGTTAAGGTCTACCCTGAAATCACTTTATATTCATGTTCAAAGGATTGAACAAAAGACACAATGAAAGAAAAAAATGAATTTAATATTCCACCTACAATCTCAAAAAGATTGAACAGAAGACACAAGTAAAGAGAAAAAATGAATTTAAATGTATCAGCTACAGTCTCAAAGGATTGAACAAAGGACACAAGTAAAGAAAAAGATTAATTTAGATGTACCACCTACAATCTCAAATAATGCATCTGTTTTGTCCTCCTATCACTCTAGTGCACTATAGCATTTGGAGGGATCAGAGGAAAATTTTGTTCAACTGAAATCATTGTTGAAATAAAAATCTAGTTCTGACAGTAATTAATAACTATGTAAATTGGTGTGTTTAGATTTTTCCTTGAAAGTAAGAAAAATAAAAGCCCCACAAATGTTAATAATTCTGCAGTATCCTGTACTGAAGTGGTTCCATTGTAACCTCAATTTAATGATGAAGGTGTTGATATTCTAGGTTTCCTTGATGACCAGGTGAGTGATGGGGAGTTAGCAGCCTTTATATCCTACGCTTCTGCCTTCCCTGATGGCTTCCTGGCTCTTATAGACACCTACGATGTCATCAAGTATGTCACATGTCAAATCAGCTTCATACAAATTGTTTTTAATGGTGTAACTTTACTCAGAGTTGTAGGACAGCTTCATACAGGTGTAAAATACAGCTTGATTTAAACATGTAGTACAGCTTCATACAGGTGTAAAATACAGCTTGATTTAAACATGTAGTACAGCTTCATACAGGTGTAAAGTACATCTTCATTCAGACATGTAGTACAGCTTCATACTGTTGTAAAGTACATCTTCATTCAAACATGTAGTACAACTTCATACAGGTGTAAAGTACAGCTTGATTTAAACATGTAGTACAGCTTCATACAGGCGTAAAGTACATCTTCATTTAAACATGTAGTACAGCTTCATACAGATGTGAAGAACAGCTTCAACTATATACATGTAACCCTTGTAAATACTAGCTGCAATATACTGCTTATCTAGAAAGGACTCTAGCTAGTAAACCAGAGGTCCAGTATTTGGCAGAGACATTGAATTGAAGTATCAACAATTCTACATATTCGACGGAGATGAATTACAGTTACACTCAGACACAGACAGATTTGTATTTCAGCATTCACTGAGACATGAATTGCAGCTTCATACACATCCAAAGAACAGCTTCAACTATATACATGTAACCCTTGTACAGTTTGCAATATACATCCAAAGAACAGCTTCACTGTGACATGAGGTCCAGGATTTGGCACAGACATTGAATCCAAAGAACAGCTTCACTGACATGTAAGTACAGTTTCATACACACAAAGAACAGCTTCGCTGTGACATGAATTGCAGCTTCATACACATCCAAAGAACAGCTTCACTGACATGAAGTACAGTTTCATACACATCCAAAGAACAGCTTCACTGACATGAAGTACAGTTTCATACACATCCAAAGAACAGCTTCGCTGTGACATGTAGTTCCGTTTCATACACATCCAAAGAACAGCTTCACTGACATGAAGTACAGTTTCATACACATCCAAAGAACAGCTTCGCTGTGACATGTAGTTCCGTTTCATTCAACCATTGAACGGATGGCAGATAGGATTTCTTGTCTATTTGATTGCACTCTTGGTGACAGATATGTAAACTGATATCCGATTATAAAAATGATCATTTTGTAGATCTGGACTGCCAAACTTCTGTACAGTTGCGCTGGCCCTACATGAGTTAGGATATGAGCCACGTGGTGTGAGATTGGACAGTGGAGATCTCTCCTACCTATCTAACCATGTCAGGTTACACTTCAAAAAAGTTGCTGACAGGTAAGTTAGTAATCTTCATTTTCACTTCAAAAGGCCTCTTTAACAAGTTACACAATCTTATTCAGGCAGAAACCTTTTAACTGTTGAGATCTCTTGATGAAACTTGAAAAAATATTTACATCATCCACACGCAGTGATCAGGTGAGTAAAATTAGGTAACTTTGACTTTCACGACAAGTTCAAAGGTCAACAATTTTGATAAATAAACAGAATTATCTATTTCAATTAATTTTGTATAGAACATAGCTGTTGAGCCATTATAGATATCATGTATATATAAGTAGGGAAAACTTACTTCACAATTGTTGTGAAATAAATAAAGTTTATAATTATTATAGAAATCAAGATAAAAGTACAAAACATCACATAATTAGGCCAATGTGACCTTCATCTAATGTTCAAAAATAGAAAACATGCATTTTCTTCAGTATTGTTTTTGGTCCAGGCCATGAACTTTAAACTGTTAGAGATAAATTGATCTAAAGTCACCTGATTACGTGTCAGTGTTGTCAGGTCAGAGGTCAAGATAAATGTCAAATTTTAAATCTGTTGAATTTCTTTTTGTAACATTCTCAAGCAAAATTGATGCAGTAAAACTGGCAAATTGCAAGAATTTTCTTGTTCATTGATAAACTTTCCAGTCACTTATTAAGTCAAATCAGACTACTGGTATCAGAGCTGCATTTTTACAGTATACAATTCAGATTTGTTGCTATATGATCAATATTTTTCTGTTCTAGTCTAAGTCTACCTTGGTTTGGTAAACTGACTATTGTAGCCAGTAATGACATCAACGAGGACACTATACACTCGTTAAATCAACAGGTAATTTCCATTTCTATCTACCTTCCCATCATAATATTGTATCATGCACTTTGTAGACACCAGAATATTCAAACTATGGAAAATGTTAAATTCATTAATTTTTATGGGAGATTTATTTTTTAATTGATTTTGTATATAGGCTTAATCCAAGATTCCATGAACTGAGATTTATTGCATTGGATTTCTCCATGAAATCAAGTATCAATGAAATAGTTTGACATGCCATGAAAATTAGGCCTCACAAAAATTTAGGATTTTACAGTAGTCACTAATATATAGAGTAGAGTGCTGGCACTCTAGTTTCTGACATGACCTAAAACTTGTGATTAACCTTTGATTAGAGTCTAGAATAATAGTGCAGGTGTCATTATTTGAACAACACCAGACTGGGAAAGTCTTTAATTCACTGGTGTTCTAAATTTCCATGAAACCCTCAAGTCTGGATCACTATTGTGATATTAAGGTCAAATTACAGAATTGTGATACTGGGATAAAACTAAAGAATCCTATTGAGTTTAAATGGAAGCAGTACATAGAGGATAATGAGACTAAATAAACGAAGTTTGATTTTGATTGCAAATGATAGTAGTTTGATTCTAGGCCTAAACACAGACATGGTGAAAATAGGCCTGGATTACGATTCTAGGACTAAACACAGACATGGTGAAAATAGGCCTGGATTACGATTCTAGACCTAAACACAGACATGGAGAAAATAGGCCTGGATTACGATTCTAGGCCTAAACACAGACATGGTGAAAATAGGCCTGGATTACGATTCTAGGCCTAATCACAGACATGGTGAAAATAGGCCTGGATTACGATTCTAGGCCTATACAAAACAAAAGTAGGCCTGAATTACAATTCTGGGCCTAAACAAAAAGATGGCAAAAATAGGACCAGCTGTGTGGCATTTCAGAAAACAATGCGTGTTCTTAAATACTACACAGCTGACCATTCTTTATCTGAAATACTGTACAGCTGGCCATTCTTGTTCTGAAATATAACACAGCTGGGCATTCTTGTTCTGAAATATCACAAGCCGGGCATTCTTGTTCTGAAATATCACACAGTTGGGCATTCTTTTTCTGAAATAGTGTATAGCTGGGTATTGTTTTTCTGAAATACCACAGAGCTGGCCATTCTTTTTCTGAAATACCGTACAGCTGGGCATTCTGAATCTGAAAAATCACACAGCTGGGCATTCTTTTTCTAAAATACCACACAGCTGGGCATTCTTGTTCTGAAATATCACACAGCTGGGCATTCTTGTTCTAAAATAAATATCACACAGCTGGGCATTCTTGTTCTGATATACCACACAGCTGGGCATTCTTGTTCTAAAATAAATATCACACAGCTGGGCATTCTTGATCTGAAATATCACACAGCCAGGCATTCTTGTTCTGAAAAAGTCACACAGCCGGGCATTCTTGTTCTGAAAAAGTCACACAGCTGGGCATTCTTTTTCTGAAATATTGTACAGCTGGGCATTCTTGTTCTGAAATATCACACAGCTGATATTGCTGCATTTAGTTTTGTCATATTTGCTCCCTTAATGCAATATAGTATACCTAGCGCTCCCTTAATGCAATATAACATACCTAGTGCTCCCTTAATGCAATATAACATACCTAGCGCTCCCTTAATGCAATATAACATACCTAGTGCTCCCTTAATGCAATATAACATACCTAGCGCTCCCTTAATGCAATATAACATACCTAGCGCTCCCTTAATGCAATATAACATACCTAGCGCTCCCATAATGCAATATAACATACCTAGCGCTCCCTTAATGCAATATAACATACCTAGCGCTCCCTTAATGCAATAATATAACATACCTAGCGCTCCCTTAATGCAATATAACATACCTAGCGCTCCCTTAATGCAATAATATAACATACCTAGCGCTCCCTTAATGCAATATAACATACCTAGTGCTCCCATAATGCAATATAACATACCTAGAGCTCCCTTAATGCAATATAACATACCTAGCGCTCCCTTAATGCAATAATATAACATACCTAGCGCTCCCTTAATGCAATATAACATACCTAGCGCTCCCTTAATGCAATATAACATACCTAGCGCTCCCTTAATGCAATATAACATACCTAGCGCTCCCTTAATGCAATATAACATACCTAGCGCTCCCTTAATGCAATATAACATACCTAGCGCTCCCTTAATGCAACATAACATACCTAGCGCTCCCTTAATGCAACATAACATACCTAGCACTCCCTTAATGCAACATAACATACCTAGCGCTTCCATAATGCAACATAACATACCTAGCGCTCCCTTAATGCAATATAACATACCTAGCGCTCCCTTAATGCAATATAACATACCTAGCGCTCCCATAATGCAATATAACATACCTAGCGCTCCCTTAATGCAATATAACATAGCTACCGCTCCCTTAATGCAATATAACATACCTAGCGCTCCCTTAATGCAATATAACATACCTAGCAAACATTTTTAAAGTGGACAAATTTCTTATAAAAGATTTCTATACCTGTATACTTGGATAACAATTTTTAGGGTTCTATAAAAACTGGAACATCCATGAAATATTAGCACGACAAAATCAAGCGAATATCCAGTAGATTTATCTGCTTGATTAAAGTAGATGTACAGAAAAGGTTTGGCAGTTCGTAGCTAAGTAAGCTGAGTTCACAATATCCACACTCGACTGGTTATTTTACATTTCCTGTGATTAATCTAAGCTCTATTTTCGACTTAACAGGGACACGAGATCGATAGCTTTGGTATAGGAACTCACCTGGTCACATGTCAGAAACAGCCAGCTCTTGGTGGTGTTTACAAGGTAATATTATTTAGTAAAAATTTCAGCTAAAATGTTCATCACTGAACTTTTCGGTGAAATTTATCTGTGATAATTTATCTGTGATAATTTATCTGTGATAATTTATTTGTCAAACATGCAGATCTCGATAATTGAATTAGAAAATTGTATAAATCAAAGCTTCTGGAATCAGTCATAAAAGAAAACAGTTCCTTTTTTTGGCCGAAAATTGTTCAAAGATGAAGCAAAGTGAAACCAAAAATTTGTTTCCAGCTGGTTGAGGTGAACCAAAGGCCGAGGATTAAACTTAGTGAGGATGTGGAGAAAGTCACCATCCCTGGACGGAAGATTGCGTATCGCCTGTTTGGTGCTGATGGTAATGCCCTTGTTGATCTGATGTTACAACCAGACGAGTCTCCTCCCAACCTCAACACCAGGATACTATGTCGCCATCCATTTCAGGTAAATGCACATGCTTACCTCATTGTATCTCCTCAATATTTGAGGTCGAGGTTGTGAAAGCTTAATTTTTAGCATCTCAGACTTTCCAATCTTGGGTGAAGATCCGAGGTGTGTGGTTCAATGGTTCTACAGGAAACTGATTTAATAATACCGGCTTGTGCTGTCGTGGTTTTGTCCTTGCGTTGAACGGCGTGTGATGGATCTATCACATGATTCAGTGAGTTAGCTTTATGCTGCTACAAGACGACAACTTTCAAGATGACCTTGGCTGTTAATTGGGCAATAAACAGCCAAACAAATTGCATGTTAGATAAACTGTCTGTCATCAACAGTTAGTATTGTTTCATTGTAATATCTTTTCCAGTTCTCAGAATATCATTGAATGGTTTTAATTTGAGGTTTGAGAAATAAAGACAGATGGTATATCTGTTTTAGTGTTGTGTAACTTTGTAAAGGAGTATAAAGCAAAATTGACCAGGTTTCTGATCACAATTGTTTTGAATTTAAACTCAAATAAACATTTTGTGTTCTTTTTCAGGAGTCAAAACGAGCCTATGTTTGTCCTGCTAAAATGGAGCAACTTCATAAGCTGTACTGGGACAATGGGAAGGTGAGAAAATGATCAGTATTGTTATATTCCATACCATCCAGTGGGACATGCTGAGGTGGGACACAGATAGGTTCCACTGATGGGCTATGTTTGTCCATTCACTCACCTGTGGGACATGCTCAGGTGGGACACACAGATAGGTCCCACTGATGGGCTATGTTTGTCCAATCACTCACCTGTGGGACATGCCCAGGTGGGACATGCTCAGGTGGGACAAACAGATAGGTTCCACTGATGGGCTATGTTTGTCCATTCACTCACTTGTGGGACATGCCCAGGTGGGACACAGATAGGTTACACTGATGGGCTTTGTTTGTCCATTCACTCAATTGTGGGACATGCCCAGGTGGGACACAGATAGGATCCACTGATGGGCTATGTTTGTCCATTCACTCACATGTGGGACATGCCCTGGTGGGACATGCCCCGGTGGGACACAGATAGGTTCCACTGATGGGCTATGTTTGTCCATTCACTCACCTGTGGGACATGCCCAGGTGGGACACACAGATAGGTTCCACTGATGGGCTATGTTTGTCCATTTACTCACCTGTGGGACATGCCCTGGTGGGACATGCCCAGGTGGGACACACAGATAGGTCCCACTGATGGGTTTTGTTTGTCCAATCACTCACCTGTGGGACATGCCCAGGTGGGACACAGATAGGATCCACTGATGGGCTATGTTTGTCCATTCACTCACATGTGGGACATGCCCAGGTGGGACACACAGATAGGTTCCACTGATGGGCTATGTTTGTCCATTTACTCACCTGTGGGACATGCCCTGGTGGGACATGCCCAGGTGGGACACAGATAGGATCCACTGATGGGCTATGTTTGTCCATTCACTCACATGTGGGACATGCCCAGATGGGACATTACATGTTGTAATAGGGATACTGGGACATGGTGTTCCCCTCACACACTAGTGGGACATGTCCAGCTCGGATACAGCCCTTTAAAAAGAAGTATTTTATAGATTATGTTTCTGGGAGGTAAATTAAAGTTATCATATGGTCTGAGATTCAATAAACTGAAATCTGAAAAAAGAGTCTTTTTTGACAAATTGGTTTCTGATATCCATTGAGATGGTTGAGATGCTGTTAGCTGATGGATTGAACAAAGAAAAATTTTTGTTGTTTCAGTTAGTACGATCACTCCCCACTCTGACAGAGCTGCGATCAAAAGCTATGGCATCTCTAAACAGCATGAGACAAGACCACAAACGGGCTCTCAATCCCACACCATACAAGGTAAATACTATTACTGATAGCAAGGAGATATTGGAGGGTATTTATAATGGGGGGGGGGGTATTTATAATGGTTTTGGGAAGTGGTGTATTTATAATGGTTTTGGGGGAGTGGTGTATTTATAATGGTTTTGGTGGGGGGATGTATTTATAATGGTTTTGGTGGGGGGATGTATTTATAATGGTTTTGGGGGAGGGGTGTATTTATAATGGTTTTGGGGGAGGGGTGTATTTATAATGGTTTTGGGGGAGACGTAGATTTATAATGGTTTTGGGGGAGTGGTGTATTTATAATGGTTTTGGTGGGGGGATGTATATATAATGGTTTTGGTGGGGGGATGTATTTATAATGGTTTTGGGGGAAGGGTGTATTTATAATGGTTTTGGGGGAGGGGTGTATTTATAATGGTTTTGGGGGAGACGTAGATTTATAATGGTTTTTGGGGAGTGGTGTAGTTATAATGGTTTTGGGGGAGGGGTGTATTTATAATGGTTTTAGGGGAGGGGTGTATTTATAATGGTTTTGGGGGAGTGGTGTATTTATAATGGTTTTGGGGGAGGGGTGTATTTATAATGGTTTTGGGGGAGTGGTGTATTTATAATGGTTTTGGGGGAGAGGTAGATTTATAATGGTTTTGGGGGAGGGGTGTATTTATAATGGTTTTTGGGAAGTGGTGTATTTATAATGGTTTTTGGGAAGTGGTGTATTTATAATGGTTTTGGGGGAAGGGTGTATTTATAATGGTTTTGGGGGAGAGGTAGATTTATAATGGTTAGGGTTAGGAATACTATGTCTGTTTATGTTATAAAAGCTGTGGATTGCTGTAACTGAAACCATTTTATTATATGTTTTTTTACAAAATATTTCCTATCTTACAGGTATCAGTTAGTGCGAACTTGTACCAGTTTCTGCACGACTTGTGGCTGGAGAATGCACCTATAGGAGAGCTGGCTTAGCTAGCTATATAACCTTCAGAAAAATTACTACCCAGAATTTGTGGTGTTGGAAGTTAATTGTAAGCTGCTGTTTCTTGTGCATGGACCAGTAAATGTTTTTGAAAATATAAAGAATTGAAAAGCTGATGACCGGTCAGTAAAAGTTTTTGGTGAAAAATTGTAGTGATTGGACACTACTTTTTGAGGTTAGATATTGAATACATTTTTAGGAGAAAAAATAAAACAGATTGTGACTGAAGAAGGGATGATTTTCAAGTAATATATAATTGAGGGCATGCGATTTTCTTCAAAGAGGGGTGTTAGATAGGGAGGGGGCACTCAGAAAAAATATTATATTGAAGCCTGATTGAAATACGTAGGTTAAAGGAGATCATTGTTGTGTTACACATCTTATCAGATTTTCTGGGAAAGTGACCTCTGGGGAATCCATCAGCATTTCACTCATTCTAGCTTAATAGAAGGAAAGCAAAAAGGAGATAATTCTAGATGTTTATGTCTTAGTGTTTCCTAATACGGTATTTCTGAAGAGAAAAAAAATATTGTGATATAACCAGAATGGTGAGAACTTGTATCTACTCAAAGGGTAGGTGTTAGTACATTAAACCAGATAACATAATCCAGCAGTGGGGATGTCGGCGTTTATTGTCCAGAAGAGGGATAGTGATGGTGTTCAGCCTCTTAAGTTTTACTGATTAGAAATGAGTGTATTTTACTGTTAATTGATTAAAGCTTTGAGCATTCCTGTATTTGTATAGTAATGCTTGATATATAGCTACGTGTATAGAGGACTTTCATTGTTTCAACGTTTAATTCAAACAAAGAAAAGTGTGAAAAATATAAAAAAGGTTTATAACAGACAAGGAAAGATGTACAAATGTTAAACAGAAGTCATTAACTGTAAACAGATATTAACGCCTGACACAAGAAGAACAAAGAAATATATGTTATACATGAAATGTTGCAATCTTTTTAATTTTTTAACTACAAAACCAAAAAGATATAAGAGACATTCCAATTTTAATGCTACTTTTGTTTCTTAATCATAAATTGAATGTTGTGGACATTTTTTTCATTAAGATGTTGTTATTCAGTCCTTTCAATTTTAAAATCGTAGAAGATTTTTTGTAACTAATATGATGGCCATAGCCCTCTTGTAAAGACATGCATGACCTATTATAAAGCCTGAAGGTTCATTTTATACCCAAGACTGTGTATCAGTCCTTGTTCTTTGTTATTTTAGATCTAACCAACAGTTGGAGAACATTTTTTTGTTCCTCAATATTGTTTGCTTTGTTTAAACGTGTATAGCTGGCTATTTTTAATTTGAATTTTTAAGATGTTTGGGGAGTGTTTCCAATATCTACCCATCCCATTCTTGACTCATTATCATCATAAGGTGGTCATTGGTCATGGTTAATGGGTCAAAGCTAATATTCACCATGAAGACTTTTATGAAAAGGACATTCAGTCCTCAGCATTTTCTAAATTTTAATTTCTGTGTGTTCAAAACCATAATTTTTGCATTTTTCAGAGAGAGAAATTTTTTGTGCAATACATGTACTGCTCTGCGATCTTTTTTTGGCATTGTAGAAAAACTTTATAGGAAATTCAAATTCATTTATCTTATCAATTTGATCAACTGTAAATACTGTTGAAGCTGATTTTAAAATCAAAATGCTACAATCCTGTTTAGTGATTAAATCAGACATATATCAATAGATATAAACCAGAAAATAAAACAGACAGAAGCATATCATTTTTTCTTTTCAGTTTAACGGGGATTTGGAGAAGGTATTCATTAGTTTGTCTTTTAATGAAGGAAAACTCCACCAATATTTGTTGTTAGCCATTTTATGTGTTCCAAGTGAAATTACAGGAATGTTGTGTTCATTTTCACCAAATGTTATCTTTGTCTTGTCTTGTAATAAGTCCAGGGTTTCAACATATCATTTCTGCTCAGAGCTCAGAGTTAAAATGTAGGCTTATTACAGGACAGTGATAAATATTTGTTGATATTTATGTGTAAGACTTCAAGACTTTTATACACATTGATTAAATACAAGATAAGAATCTATTGAAGAAAAAACTGAGAAAAAAAGCAAACACACCCTGCCCCCCTCCCCCACCTCCCCCTTCCATCCAAAATCAATGAAAACTTTTTAATGAATGGAAAGTTCTGAGGGATGACAAAATACAACTTCGGAAGAAGAAGATCAGTACAGATTTAAAATTATGTATCTATACCCAATATGATTTAGACAACTTGGTTTTGTCAACTTGCTTGATCAAAGCCTCTTTTCATATTCATCCGAGTATGGCACTCTCATTCAGGGAGTGTTTCATTATCGTGACAGGGTCTGAAAACAATGAGCTATGATGGGAAGACTTTCTCATGACAAAGGGGGATAATTCAATATCACATTAACAAAATGCTGTTCTTGATGGAATACATACCTTTTTAAAAGAGGTTAGTATTCAGGGGTAGAAATAAGAAATTGTACTTATATTACTTATGGTTAAAAGAAAAATACTATCAGAATTTATTTATCAGATTTATTTTGTATTTTGGTTGGATAAGATAAATTTCTATCCGTTAAGTTTGGTGTATTTTTTAATCAAAATATATTTTGAACATTTTCAATTTAACTAGAGTTTATGATGTAAGTACATAACTGAGTAAAAGTTGTACATGATCCTAACACACACTAGTCAGATTATACAATAATTTACTTGGATTTTATACAGAGTTTTTTCCCTTTAATTCATGTATTTGAAGTAAATATTAGCCAAAATAGATATTAAACAGTTCTTTTATTGTTCAACTCCTTTGTAGAGGAAATAAAATTCTGATTGTCCTGACATAAATCCTTTAGGTTTTCTCAAAATCACTGTGTAATACAAGGCAGATATTTTATGCATTTCTAATGGGTGTGAATTTCACAAGTCATAGTAGGTTACGTTTTCTGTTGTTGTAACTGACTGCTCCACAGTGTGGAGAACCACGTTTTATAGGCTCCTAGCATTTATTGTTGTATGTGTGATTTACAACTTTATTGTTTGGTATTAACAGGAAACTGCTGACATTTTAGTGCAATATCATGTGTTTTGCCATGACTTAGAAATATTATACTCTGGCAAAATCTGTATGGTTTGTCTTATTCTAGAAATATTGTACAAATTGTGTAAACACTGTGTTTTGTCTTAAACTCTCTGAATCCTTATGACCCAGAAATAATACATATTTGGTTTGGCTTAATCAGTTTAGTGTATAACAATGAAAAAGTTGACAAGATGCATTTCAAGTAGAAACTTCACATTCGTATGATAGTTTTCTGTCCTGTCCCAACATAGTATCATTGCTTATGAAACCTTAATTTAAGATCTTTCAACAGAATTTTAATCTTGTGATCAGTTTTCTGTCCTGTCCCAACATAGTATCATTGCTTATGAAACCTTAATTTAAGATCTTTCAACAGAATTTTAATCTTGTGATCAGTTTTCTGTCCTGTCCCAACATAGTATCATTGCTTATGAAACCTTAATTTAAGATCTTTCAACAGAATTTTAATCTTGTGATCAGTTTTCTGTCCTGTCCCAACATAGTATCATTGCTTATGAAACCTTAATTTAAGATCTTTCAACAGAATTTTAATCTTGTGATCAGTTTTCTGTCCTGTCCCAACATAGTATCATTGCTTATGAAACCTTAATTTAAGATCTTTCAACAGAACTTTAATCTTGTGATTAAAAGAAAAGACAAGTACTGATTGTATTTCTTATGAATCCATATTTCTGGGTTTGAAGGTCAAGGTCACTGATGAATAGGTAAGTTAAGTATCCTCACCTAAAGAAATCTTCATTGGGTACCAATGTCAAGGTTGTTACTATTTATAGGAAAATGTCCAACATTAACACTTGTGACAAAAGCAGAAAAAAACATGTGTCATGTACATAGACAGTAAAATCAATTACAACAATTACTGACATCATTGCTGGAACATTCTGGCTTTAGAAATTTTCCAATTTGTGCAGATTACAAAACTCATAAGTTTACATGTTTGAAAAGTGTTAATAAATAATCTGATGTGTTCTTTGAAATTCCAATAATGAGCCAGAGCAGCAATATGATCTGTAGAGTGTTTGTAAAAATATTTATGTTTAGACCAGTGGTAGATGTTCTCAGGTCAGTGATGTAAGGTTAAACACAAACATAGTAGTACTCCTATTTAGTGTAAAGGTACATACCATTTCCAGTTGTACATTAGTGCACAAATTCTTTTCTTAAATGTTAGTGTTATTGTGAACATTTTCCAAATTATATTTACAAATTTCCGTAGCTAAAGGGAATAATGTTAATTTTTTACCCTGAAATTTTCCATTGAAAGCATGGTGGTCTCCTAGTAGATTGTATGTATGGATGGTGATAAAGAAGGTACTTGACTGACATGTCACACAAACAATGTGTTGTAGCCTCAGAAAACATTTTTCAATCTGCAAATTCCAGTAAACTTGGCTGAGTACATGAATGTGCCAGAAATGTTTTGTAACAGTTGTTAGAGGCGGATGACAGCTCAAGCTTAATGCTCCACAGGGTGTTGAGAAAGATTCTCACTAGTAGCAAATTGCCCAATATCTTAGGCAGGATAATAATTTGTGAACCACTTTGAAACAGCTGAATGTGATCTTGTGGTATAACTTCAAATTATTATAATTGGTATCGTATGTTTTGGAAAACTGTCACAAAATGTGTGGAACAGGTGGTTTAAGTAATAGATGTAACTAATTCCAGCGATACTTTCTGAAGAAAAATCCAAACTTCATAACAAATTCCCAGAGACAATAAACTTGATAATACTTGCCAATAGACAACTCCATAACACTTTCCCATAGACAACTCCATAACACTTTCCCATAGACAACTCCATAACACTTTCCCATAGACAACTCCATAACACTTTCCCATAGACAACTCCATAATACTTTCTCTTAAACAACTCCATAACACTTTCCCATAGACAACTCCATAATACTTTCCTAATACTTTCTCTTAAACAACTCCATAACACTTTCCCATAGACAACTCCATAATACTTTCTCTTAAACAACTCCATAACACTTTCCCATAGACAACTCCATAATACTTTCTCTTAAACAACTCCATAACACTTTCCCATAGACAACTCCATAATACTTTCCCATAGACAACTCCATAACACTTTCCCATAGACAACTCCATAATACTTTCTCTTAAACAACTCCATAACACTTTCCCATAGACAACTCCATAATACATGTATTCAGAGTAATCAATTATTTCAAGTGTTAAAAATAATGGGTTTGAATTCAGATCGGACCTTTTGTAATCATCTGTTTCAAGTTTGTTCAGATCTTTGGTTAAATTTGATGTTCTGGATCCAATCTTGGTGAAGCCTGGTTCAGATCTTTGGTTAAATTTGATGTTCTGGATCCAATCTTGGTGAAGCCTGGTTCAGATCTTTGGTTAAATTTGATGTTCTGGGTCCAATCCTGGTGAAGCCTGGTTCAGATCTTTGGTTAAATTTGATGTTCTGGATCCAATCTTGATGAAGCTGTGTTCAGATCTTTGGTTAAATTTGATGTTCTGGGTCCAATCCTGGTGAAGCCTGGTTCAGATCTTTGGTTAAATTTGATGTTCTGGGTGCAATCTTGGTGAAGCCTGGTTCAGATCTTTGGTTAAATTTGATGTTCTGGGTCCAATCTTGGTGAAGCCTGGTTCAGATCTTTGGTTAGATTTGATGTTCTGGGTCCAATCTTGGTGAAGCCTTAATAACTGTACAGTTTTATCACTAAAGAGAGCTATGGGAATGTCTCATTTTATGATAGACTTGTCAATGTTGTATGTAGACAAGTGTTACAGTAGTCTGTGTGATATTATTTTTCTAAAGTCAAAGAAATCTTTATTGCAAAATAAAGTAATATATATCTAGAAGATATCTTTGTCTTGTTTTTTCTTAATACTGGGTGTAATGGTTTCTAGAAAGCCAGGATATCTCATCTGGTAGAAAATCAGAGATGTGTGGTTCGATGATCCCAACCCAGGAGGTTTGTTTCTCACGGTGGTGAGGTCATGAACCTGTGCTATTGTGGTCGAGTCCATGGGCAAGACTCTTTACCCCAATTGCTTTGGGTAGCATGTGATCACCTCCTGCATGATGTTCATTGAGGTAGTAACCAGTGGCTACAAGGACAACCACATACCTTGTTATATCAAGATAAGGGTCAGTATTCACAAAACCTGTCTCATGTTCAAGCATGAATTTTGTGCTCAAGCCTTATGTCTTGTTTAAGTTAAAAACTAATAAATAAGGCTGATTTTGCCAAAGATTTAAAAAAAAAAATTTGAAAGGACTTCAAGTCAAAGTTATATTCAAGGTTTATATTTGACATTTGTATTATTTTATATGAGTAAGGTGAATTATAAAAAAGTTTGCTTGAGCAGAAAATCTATGCTTGAGCATGAGAATGGTTTCATGAATACGGGCCCAGCTGATGAAACTCAGTTGGAATCACCATTCCAGTGATCAGCACAGCTAATGTATTACTGACCAATCAAATTGTATCTTTCTGCAACATTAGGAAATGAACAAAAATGGCAGAAAAAAATCACTCTTTGATAGATGTGGCAATACAAACTGTTTTACATGTTTTCAATAATAATTCGTTCCATTGAGGTACAGACATTACTTTTATTTCTGTTCTGCGTATGGGATACTTGGCAGAATTTTTTTTCATGACTCTGGCCTGAGACAAATGGACGGTTGGACTCCGATGTACTTTCCTTGAGCCAAATGGACGGTTGGATTCAGACGTACTTTCCTTGAGCCAAAAGGATGTTCAGATGTGCCTTTTCTTTGGTTGATTTCTACGATTATGTTGATGATTAAAGACCGTCCTGTGTGAACAGATCCAAAAGATCAGCTCCCCGTCTTCATAGTCTTTCTTGTGTTGTGTCCCATGTTGGCATTGCCCACTGTGTCGATTTCACCAGTGATGAGTTTGTCCCACCTGATGCCCATTAGCTGAGATTCTTCAACTGCGGGCCGGGTTTAGAATGAATTTGGATAGGTAGAGATCAATTACAAACATTTCGCAGCATGCATGGAATTGTCAAGTTGTAGGTGATGACAAGGCCTCAGGTGACCTATTTTGATCACATTTTGACGTCTGTTGTGCATCATCCATCATAAACAATTGAATTTTTATTTTTTTGATAATCAAAAGGCCTAGAGGGACCGTAACCTGATGGGATGAAGGGCTACAAAGTTTTTATAAATGGATAACCTTGACCCACTTTGAAGGTCACCAGGAACAAATATGCTGAAATATTACATGGCATCTTCTCAATAATCAAAAGGCCTAGAGTGCTGATATAGGACCTGTAGCATCCACTCATATCATAACCAGCATCCACACACTATAACCATCATCCACACACTCTGTAACCAGTATCCACACACATCATAACCAGCATCCACACACACTATAACAAACATCCACACACACCATAACCAGTATCCACACACATCATAACCAGCATCCACACACACTATAACAAACATCCACACACACCATAACCAGTATCCACACACATCATAACCAGTATCCACACACACCATAACCAGCATCCACACACACCATAACCAGTATCCACACACATCATAACCAGCATCCACACACACTATAACAAACATCCACACACACCATAACCAGTATCCACACACATCATAACCAGTATCCACACACATCATAACCAGCATCCACACACACTATAACAAACATCCACACACACCATAACCAGTATCCACACACATCATAACCAGTATCCACACACACCATAACCAGCATCCACACACACCATAACCATCATCCACACACATCATAACCAGTATCCACACATACCATAACAACCATCCACACACACCATAACCAGCATCCACACACATCATAACCAGCATCCACACACATCATAACCAGCATCCACACACATCATAACCAGCATCCACACACATCATAACCAGCATCCACACACATCATAACCAGCATCCACACACGCCATAACCATCATCCACACACATCATAACCATCATCCACACACACCATAACCATCATCCACACACACCATAACCATCATCCACACACACTATAACCAGCATCCACACACATCATAACCAGCATCCACACACATCATAACCAGCATCCACACACACCATAACCATCATCCACACACATCATAACCATCATCCACACACACCATAACCATCATCCACACACACCATAACCATCATCCACACACACCATAACCAGCATCCACACACACCATAACCAGCATCCACACACACCATAACCATCATCCACACACACTATAACCATCATCCACACACACATCATAACCGGTATCCACACACATCATAACCAGCATCCACACACACCATAACCAGCATCCACACACACTATAACCAGCATCCACACACATCATAACCGGTATCCACACACACCATAACCATCATCCACACACACCATAACCAGTATCCACACACATCATAACCAGCATCCACACACACCATAACCATCATCCACACACACCATAACCAGCATCCACACACACCATAACCATCATCCACACACATCATAACCATCATCCACACACATCATAACCAGCATCCACACACACCATAACCATCATCCACACACACCATAACCATCATCCACACACACTATAACCATCATCCACACACACATCATAACCGGTATCCACACACACCATAACCATCATCCACACACACCATAACCAGTATCCACACACACCATAACCATCATCCACACACACCATAACCAGCATCCACACACATCATAACAACCATCCACACACACCATAACCAGTATCCACACACTATAACCATCATCCACACACATCATAACCAGCATCCACACACATCATAACCATCATCCACACACATCATAACAACCATCCACACACACCATAACCAGTATCCACACACTATAACCATCATCCACACACACCATAACCAGTATCCACACACATCATAACCATCATCCACACACACCATAACAACCATCCACACACACCATAACCAGCATTCACACACACCATAACAACCATCCACACACACCATAACCATCATCCACACACATCATAACCAGCATCCACACACACCATAACCATCATCCACACACATCATAACCATCATCCACACACATCATAACCAGCATCCACACACACCATAACCATCATCCACACACATCATAACCATCATCCACACACACCATAACCATCATCCACACACACCATAACCATCATCCACACACACTATAACCAGCATCCACACACATCATAACCATCATCCACACACTATAACCAGCATCCACACACACCATAACCAGCATCCACACACACCATAACCATCATCCACACACTATAACCAGCATCCACACACACCATAACCAGCATCCACACACTATAACCAGCATCCACACACATCATAACCAACATCCACACACACCATAACCATCATCCACACACACTATAACCAGCATCCACACACATCATAACCAACATCCACACACACCATAACCATCATCCACACACACTATAACCAGCATCCACACACATCATAACCGGTATCCACACACACCATAACCAGCATTCACACACACCATAACCAGCATTCACACACACCATAACAACCATCCACACACATCATAACCAACATCCACACACATCATAACCATCATCCACACACATCATAACCATCATCCACACACACCATAACCATCATCCACACACACTATAACCATCATCCACACACATCATAACCAGCATTCACACACACTATAACCATCATCCACACACATCATTACCAACATCCACACACATCATAACCATCATCCACACACATCATAACCATCATCCACACACACTATAACCATCATCCACACACACTATAACCAGCATCCACACACACCATAACCATCATCCACACACACTATAACCATCATCCACACACATCATAACCATCATCCACACACATCATAACCATCATCCACACACACTATAACCATCATCCACACACATCATAACCATCATCCACACACACTATAACCAGCATCCACACACACCATAACCATCATCCACACACATCATAACCATCATCCACACACACTATAACCAGCATCCACACACATCATAACCGGTATCCACACACACCATAACCATCATCCACACACTATAACCAGCATCCACACACACCATAACCAGCATCCACACACACCATAACCATCATCCACACACTATAACCAGCATCCACACACATCATAACCAGCATCCACACACACTATAACCAGCATCCACACACATCATAACCATCATCCACACACATCATAACCAGCATCCACACACACCATAACCATCATCCACACACACTATAACCAGCATCCACACACATCATAACCAACATCCACACACACCATAACCAGCATCCACACACATCATAACCAACATCCACACACATCATACCAGCATCCACACACATCATAACCATCATCCACACACATCATAACCAGCATCCACACACATCATAACCAGCATCCACACACACCATAACCAGCATCCACACACATCATAACCATCATCCACACACATCATAACCAACATCCACACACACCATAACCAGCATCCACATACACCATAACCAACATCCACACACACCATAACCATCATCCACACACATCATAACCAGCATCCACACACACCATAACCAGCATCCACACACATCATAACCATCATCCACACACATCATAACCAACATCCACACACACCATAACCAGCATCCACATACACCATAACCAGCATCCACACACACCATAACCAGCATCCACACACATCATAACCATCATCCACACACATCATAACCAACATCCACACACACCATAACCAGCATCCACATACACCATAACCAACATCCACACACACCATAACCAGCATCCACATACACCATAACCAACATCCACACACACCATAACCATCATCCACACACATCATAACCAACATCCACACACACCATAACCATCATCCACACACACCATAACCATCATCCACACACACCATAACCAACATCCACACACACCATAACAAAGATCCACACACACCATAACAAACATCCACACACACCATAACCAGCATCCACACACACCATAACCATCATCCACACACATCATAACAAACATCCACACACACCATAACCAGCATCCACACACATCATAACCAACATCCACACACACCATAACCAGCATCCACACACACCATAACAAACATCCACACACACCATAACCAGCATCCATACACAATTAAATCTGATTAAAAAAGAATAAAAAAACAAAGATGTAAATTCCATTGACATAACAATGTCTTGTTTATATCTGTATATAAATTAAAATACACCATGTATTTCATCATACAATACATTCACAAACAAATATTGCACATAACCTGTTTGGCACCAAACAAAGCAATGATTGATAAAATCTTCCCCTATTGTGTACAACAGAAATCAGAAACTGGGGAGATATAATGGAATATTAAATTATCCTCATTCAATCTTGATGATGGAGAGAAAATAAACAAACTTTTATCTACATTAAAACTGACATAATTTGTGTTGTTTGGTGTTTTATTGATGTTATATATGTATATACAACACAGGAAAATCAGTTAAAAATGTCAAGTTTTGCTATGTAAAGATATTATTTACCAGCTTTCCAATCACACTTAAGGGAGTAGTGTGATATCATACAAATCCTATAAGGCTTTTAACATTAGTGTCAATAATTACCAAAATACTTAATTTTTCAAACCAACAGTTCTAAGGGGGAATAACTCTTGTGAGTGTGACATTAAAAACAGACGGAACAAGTAACTATTACAAGAAGTGAACTGGTATTTTATAACCGAATCTGATTAAAATGAAGATCTCACATTGGCTGGTAAGGGGTCATGTTCAGATGACCTCAATGCTTACAATACAACTTGATATTTTAGGCAAACAAAACTCATCTCTTGTATGCCTGTTTGGTAGCGTGTTAAAATAGGAGGTTAAAAACGGGCAATTGCAGCAGTGTTGAAAATAATGAAAGCATCACTTCATTTCCTTCCGAGGTATTTATGATAATGGAAACGAAAGCCACAAGTGATGCACACAATAAACACAGTGTTTATAATAAGGCAGTTTGTGATGGATGCAGCCATCTTGGTGTGGATGAGACTCAGGAAAATCAGTTATTATCTATTTAATAATGATCAGCCATGATAAATGCCTAGGAGCAACATGCTCTGCTAACATTTTACCAGGCATGTTTTGATTTGTTGGTTTAAAGGTCATCTGAATGTGACCCCTTACAGTCCAATGCAAGACCTTCATAATGTAGTGTACAATGTATTTTAATCAGATTGGTTTATGACTAATACAACCAAACATTTTCCAAGAGTTTAACTCGATTTGAGGATCTTAAGGGTGATACCATTCACCCCTCAGCATAAAGGGTGATACCATTCACCCCTAAGCATAAAGGTTGATACCATTCACCCCTCAGCATAAAGGGTGATACCATTCACCCCTCAGCATAAAGGGTGATACCATTCACCCCTCAGCATAAAGTCGAATACCATTCACCACTCAGAATAAAGGGTGATACCATTCACCCCTCAGCATAAAAGGTGATACCATTCACCCCTCAGCATAAAGTCGAATACCATTCACCACTCAGCATAAAGGGTGATACCATTCACCCCTCAGCATAAAGGGTGATACCATTCACCCCTCAGCATAAAGGGTGATACCATTCACCCCTCAGCATAAAGGGTGATACCATTCACCCCTCAGCATAAAGTCGAATACCATTCACCACTCAGAATAAAGGGTGATACCATTCACCCCTCAGCATAAAAGGTGATACCATTCACCCCTCAGCAAAAAGTCTAATACCATTCACCTCATCAGCATAAAAGTAGGATTCATTTATACACTGCCAACATTGAGAGTCTGATTTTTTTCTAAATCTGGAATGATCATTCTTATTCTGTACAGCTGTCCAGTATGTAAAAGCACATATTTTTATCACAACTCATCATCACCTTTAATTCTGTAATTACATTATTCATTCATTAAATCAAACAGCAAGTAATTGCGTAATCTTTTCTTCAGGTTGTACACATTCATTAAACAAATGACCAAGATAGAAAATAAATTTCCAGAATTGTGGAATGATTTTAGCACAATGACCAGATCAGTTAATCCCTACATCAGGAATCTGATATGACATATGACTTGATGAGAAGATCTGATCCATTCAATAATCCCTGGGTATTGGGTATTTTTCACTTTAAATGAAATCAAAAGTAAAATGTTCTTGCTTTTGTAATCAATAAAATCAATATATCTGTTGCCACTTGGATTATTATCCTAGCGATGACAATGTTGATCATTTCACAAATCCAATTCGACTCTAACCCCCTTGCCCCTGTCCAAAAGAAACTACTGGTGCCGTACCAGACAATTCGACCCTAACCCCATTGCCCCTGTCCAAAAGAAACTATTGGTGCAGTACCAGACAATTCGACCCTAACCCCATTGCCCCTGTCCAAAAGAAACTATTGGTGCCGTGACCAGGTTAGCTCATTTGTGCCACTTCAGTAAAGATTCCCTTTGGTTTAGGTTTTAGTTGATCATCTTCTCCGACTGTGTCCTGTACCATCTGAAATGGATGCGTAAAATGAACGTGCTGGTATCATAATCATTTTAATGTAAATATATAATATGTACAAATACCAAATAAATTTTTAGGCGGTAACAAGACTTATGCTTATTTAAACAAATTTAGATGATAATTATCAAATCCATGTAAAATCACTGAGGTTATTGATATTTTAAGATCAAACCAAGTTTCAATCCTGCAAATTATCAATGATATGCAGAAAGGTTTTTACATTGGTAATAGTTTAATAAAGCTTTCATTCTACAGGTAATGTAGTTGATAAATGGACATTTAACCCTAACAAAGAAATGCAAATTAAGATAATGTTTGCTCTGAACTTTGATGTAAACAGAAACAGCATGAAACTGCAAATTACTGACAAGACACTCTACCAAACTGCTGGACTCTAGATCAGTAAAAGTGGAGCCTGACAGTCAACAGTTTCATTGTAGCTGACTCAGTTGTGAATTAGAAAAATACCTGTCTTGCTTCCACACGACTCATATCACCGCGCCCCATCAGGAGACTAATCAGCTGTTCTGTACGGATGTCAGGGTGTTTAACCGTCAGACCCTGTAACAGAGAATCAAACAAAATAATCAGACAGTTCTAACCATGTCAACTATCCAATCTGGATGTCTACATTGAAACCTCTGACTGTAAGTGTCAGGGATCCAACACGTCTCCTCTGACTGTAAGTGTCAGGGATCCAGTGTGTATCCTCTGACTGTAAGTGTCAGGGATCCAGTGTGTACCCTCTGACTATAAGTGTCAGGGATCCAGTGTGTATCCTCTGTCTGTGAGTGTCAGGGATCCAGTGTGTAACCTCTGACTGTAAGTGTCAGGGATCCAGTGTGTAACCTCTGACTGTAAGTGTCAGGGATCCAGTGTGTATCCTCTGACTGTAAGTGTCAGGGATCCAGTGTGTATCCTGACTGTAAGTGTCAGGGATCCAACATGTCTCCTCTGACTGTAAGTGTCAGGGATCCAGTTTGTATCCTGACTGTAAGTGTCAGGGATTCAGTGTGTATCCTTTGACAGTAAGTGTCAGGGATCCAGTGTGTATCCTTTGACAGTAAGTGTCAGGGATCCAGTGTGTAACCTCTGACTGTAAGTGTCAGGGATCCAGTGTGTAACCTCTGACTGTAAGTGTCAGGGATCCAGTGTGTAACCTCTGACTGTAAGTGTCAGGGATCCAGTGTGTAACCTCTGACTGTAAGTGTCAGGGATCCAGTGTGTATCCTCTGACTGTAAGTGTCAGGGATCCAGTGTGTATCCTGACTGTAAGTGTCAGGGATCCAACATGTCTCCTCTGACTGTAAGTGTCAAGGATCCAGTTTGTATCCTCTGACTGTAAGTGTCAGGGATCCATTGTGTATCCTGACTGTAAGTGTCAGAGGTCCAGTGTGTATCCTCTGACTGTAAGTATCAGGGATCCAGTGTGTATCCTGACTGTAAGTGTCAGAGATCCAGTGTGTATCCTGACTGTAAGTGTCAGGGATCCAGTGTGTAACCTCTGACTGTAAGTGTCAGGGATCCAGTGTGTAACCTCTGACTGTAAGTGTCAGGGATCCAGTGTGTAACCTCTGACTGTAAGTGTCAGGGATCCAGTGTGTATCCTCTGACTGTAAGTGTCAGGGATCCAGTGTGTATCCTGACTGTAAGTGTCAGGGATCCAACATGTCTCCTCTGACTGTAAGTGTCAGGGATCCAGTTTGTATCCTCTGACTGTAAGTGTCAAGGATCCATTGTGTATCCTGACTGTAAGTGTCAGGGGTCCAGTGTGTATCCTCTGACTGTAAGTATCAGGGATCCAGTGTGTATCCTGACTGTAAGTGTCAGAGATCCAGTGTGTATCCTGACTGTAAGTGTCAGGGATCCAGTGTGTATCCTGACTGTAAGTGTCAGGGATCCAGTGTGTATCCTCTGAATGTAAGTGTCAGGGATCCAGTGTGTATCCTGACTGTAAGTGTCAGGGATCCAGTGTGTCCTCTGACTGTAAGTGTCAGGGATCCAGTGTGTATCCTCTGACTGTAAGTATCAGTGATCCAGTGTGTATCCTGACTGTAAGTGTCAGGGATCCAGTGTGTATCCTGACTGTAAGTGTCAGGGATCCAGTGTGTATCCTCTGACTGTAAGTGTCAGGGATCCAGTGTGTACCCTCTGACTGTAAGTGTCAGGGATCCAGTGTGTATCCTGACTGTAAGTGTCAGGGATCCAGTGTGTATCCTCTGACTGTAAGTGTCAGGGATCCAGTGTGTATCCTCTGACTGTAAGTGTCAGGGATCCAGTGTGTACCCTCTGACTGTAAGTGTCAGGGATCCAGTGTGTAACCTCTGACTGTAAGTGTCAGGGATCCAGTGTGTATCCTCTGACTGTAAGTGTCAGGGATCCAGTGTGTACCTCTGACTGTAAGTGTCAGGGATCCAGTGTGTATCCTCTGACTGTAAGTGTCAGGGATCCAGCGTGTATCCTCTGACTGTAAGTGTCAGGGATCCAGTGTGTATCCTCTGACTGTAAGTGTCAGGGATCCAGTGTGTATCCTCTGACTGTAAGTGTTAGGGATCCAGTGTGTATCCTCTGACTGTAAGTGTCAGGGATCCAGTGTGTAACCTCTGACTGTAAGAGTCAGGAATGGGTTATTATTATTAACTATTAATACAACTTATATGAATTTCTATTTGATCTGCAATAAATGTAGACAGGTTTATTATCAAACATTGATAAATTGCCAAATAAATGTTTTTCCACTTTTTCCTTTGATCTAGTCTTAAAGGAGATCTTTTATCTCAACGTTTGTAGAAGAAAATCTTATATTAAAAAATTAAAATCAAATATTTTCAACAGCCTTATTTAAGCAAATTCAGTTGATGATCTCTTACTGTTATTTCAAGTTGCATCATTGAGGTATCTCGGAGTTTCCACACTTCAGCCAACAATTTCAGAGGTCCAAAATCTGTTTCCCCCTGAAAAGTAAACGTTTGTCATGTGATAAACAACCTCAAAACTTTGCATATATTTTTGAAAAATTTGATAAACATGTCATATACATCAAACTGACAGAAACGAATATGAAATATTTAAGTAAGTTTGTGAATTTATTCAATTAATATACATGTATATAGTATGAATCTAATTGATTTAAAAACTCTACACCTCTATTTATCAAAAGATAAAAACATAATACAAAAGCTTTATTCTTACTGCTTTTAAGTTCCCGTATTCTTTAAAAAGCTCTTTCAACTTATCAGCTTCCGAACATATTTTGTCAGCGACAGGTTTACGCTCGGAATAGTTCTTCAGCTGTAGCTTCCTGAGATAAATGAAATATAATTACTCACAATTTCATTTTATGTTCAAATACTTAACATCATCACTGTTCGACAAATTTCTATAAATAGAAAAGGCAACCTTGACCTTTGAACCCCAAAATGCCAACTCATTAAAAGGTATTCTCTTCGTCTAGTTTGATTAAAATTCTTTATGAAATAAAGTTGCTAGTATGTTGTCACTGACTGGGTTGTTTAGAGTGTAACAAATGTCATTGAATGAATTTTTTTTCTACAAATAGTAATGGTGACCTTGACCTTTGAACCCTAAAACATGAATGTATCCATGTTATTATCATGTTTTTCACATTAGTATAAAGTGTTATTGAAATCACCATAGAAACAAAATTACTGAGAATTGACAAATACTTAGAACAGGACGGATGTAGGCACCATTATATTCCTGTGACCCTTTCCGTTCTTGCGAAGGAAACGTGTAGATACCTGAATCTATTAATTTTCTAAATTTTCTTCAGGCAGGTTTCAGAGCTAAACACAACAAACATTCCAAGCCTTACTGTGAGATGCCACTTCAAGACTTAAAAATGTCTGTACGACATGAATGTCTCCTCCCTGCCAATTAGTACATGTATCAGTATTTAAGCTAATCACAGCATGAAAAGCCAACTCAACACTGCAGATGTTTCAGTTTATTAATGATTCATATACATTATTTACAGAAAACTGTAGTTGACCGGTTTCACCCCCTAGGGGGCGCTTCATCAGGGTCATTCTGTGATTATTATATTATAGTTAGCCAATCTCCCTGCATACTGTTTGGCATCCACTTCAGGTGTAGAAAATCACTGATAAACATCATTTATATACAACCGACATTGGCTCGGGATCACTTTTATTTAATATTTGACCTATAAATAGTAACTCTCAGCTTGACCTAAAGGTCATTCACACTTGGTTTTACTTACTTATTTATCTATTTATTTGAGCAGGTTATACGTCAACAATTACGACCTTTCGGTCTTTCAGCGGATTTTACTTACTTGGAGAGTATTGCTTTAATGTACTCTCGTAGCAATCTGCGTCGGGCTTCGACAACAAGCCCCACACTAAAGGGCTCCTTGAGGTGAACAAAGTCTCCGCTATAGTCCGCCCAAGTGGCGTAGATGATATCCACACAGTGAGACCCCTGACACCTAAAACACAAAGTAAACAACCTAGTGTTTTAGAAAACCTAGCAATACATACTTGTTTTATGTTATGTCACAAAATAAAAGCAAAATTCATGCTTGATAAGTTTAATGAATAAGACTGGATCTTATAATAAAGAAAAATTACAGTGGATTTACCAAATTTTTCATGTACTTATCAGTTTTTTCAGTGATCAATGATTGCTGACAGAAATTTATCTTGTCTGACACTTCAGTAAATCTCCCTATGGTCTGTATATGTAAAAAGCATGTATATAAAGATATAATAATGATTCAGAAAGGGAGACAACAGGACGAAACAGGACTGAGACGGGACAGAGACGGGACAGGACTGAGATGGGACAGGGACGGCACATGGATGACACAGGACGAGACAGGACAGGGACGAGACAGGACAGGGATGGAACAGGACAGGGATGGAACAGGACGTACAGGGACTAAACGCGATGGGACGCTGATGGGAAAGGACAGGGAGGAGACAGGGACGAGACAGGGACTGGACGGGACAGGGACGGAACAGGACAGGGATGGAACAGGACGTACAGGAACCAAACGTGATGGGACACTGATGGGAAAGGACAGGGAGGAGACAGGGACGAGACAGGGACGAGACAGGGACTGGACGGGACAAGGACGGAACAGGACAGGGATGGAACAGGATGTACAGGAACCAAACGTGATGGGACGCTGACGGGACAGGACAGAGACATGACAGGGACGAGACAGGGGCGAGACAGGGACAGGGATGAACAGGACATACAGGAACCAAACGTGATGGGATGCTGACGGGACAGGACAGGGACATGACAGGGACGAGACAGGGACAGGGACGGAACAGGACAGGGATGGACAGGACGTATAGGGACCAAACGTGATGGGATGCTGACGAGACAGGACAGGGACGAGACAGATCAGGGATGGAACAGGACAGGGATGGAGCAGGACATACATGGAACAAACGTGATGGGACGCTGACAGGACAGGACAGGGACATGACAGGGACGAGACAGGGACAGGGACGGAACAGGACAGGGATGGAACAGGACGTATAGGACCAAACGTGATGGGATGCTGACGAGACAGGACAGGGACGAGACAGGACAGGGATGGAACAGGACAGGGATGGAACAGGATGTATAGGACCAAACGTGATGGGATGCTGATGAGACAGGACAGGGACGAGACAGGACAGGGATGGAACAGGACATATAGGGACCAAACGTGATGGGACGCTGACGAGACAGGACAGGGACGAGACAGGAATGAGACAGGGACTAAACGGGACAGGGATGGAACAGGACAGGGATGGAGCAGGAAGTACAGGGACCAAACGTAATGGGACGCTGACGAGACAGGACAGGGACGAGACAGGAACGAGACAGGGATGAGACAGGGACTGGCCAGGACATGACAGGGATGAGACAGGGACTAGACGAGACAGGGACAGAACAGGACAGGGAGGAGACAGGAATGAGACACTGACAGGACAGGACAGGGAAGAGACAGGAATGTGACAGGGACTGGACGAGACAAGGATGGAACAGGACAGGGATGAGATGGGATTGAATTCTGATGGGACAGGACAGGGATGGGACAGGACAGAACATGGATCTTTCAGAGTGTCAAACAAGTCCCCTAAATTTCCTTTACTTTCAAAAGGACATGGTCCTATCTAGGATCCAGCCAGTTACTTACCAAGATTTGGTGAGTAGCTCGTCAATACATTTACTGTTTCGCAAGTCAATCCACACCTCATCCAGCAGTATATTACACCTGCAACATATTGTTCACTGATAAATGTTACCTTAAATATCCTGTCAATTTAATAACTTAGTTTTTGTCTAATTTTAGTGGCACAAAGATGGAACTGATGAGTTTATTACTGTGTGAAAAGTCCAGAGTAATTTTGGGTCTGATTGTAGTAGCCGTTGGTTTGTTATCTATAGTGTCCGAGACTCATATTATGTACATTTTCTAAATGTTTCCCTTGGAAATATAATCAAGGATAAGGCGAGCCAGTTAATTTATCAACAAGAGTCACAAAATATAATTTCACTGTAAATAGCCTGATCCTGTCGAATCAGAGATAAAGTGTTCAGTGTCCCCATGGGCTTATCATATGATAAATATTATCATGTTACTTATCACACTACTCAAACCTGTTACAACTTCAGCCATCTCTTTAAAGCTTGAATCTCACACTAACCCAAGGTTTGTGATTTGTTTGAACCTGTCTGTCAGTAACTGAAATCTCACACTAACCCAAGGTGTGTGATTTGTTTGAACCTGTCTGTCAGTAACTGAAATCTCACACTAACCCAAGGTGTGTGATTTGTTTGAACCTGTCTGTCAGTAACTGAAATCTCACACTAACCCAAGGTGTGTGATTTGTTTGAACCTGTCTGTCAGTAACTGAAATCTCACACTAACCCAAGGTGTGTGATTTGTTTGAACCTGTCTGTCAGTAACTGAAATCTCACACTAACCCAAGGTGTGTGATTTGTTTGAACCTGTCTGTCAGTAACTGAAATCTCACACTAACCCAAGGTGTGTGATTTGTTTGAACCTGTCTGTCAGTAACTGAAATCTCACACTAACCCAAGGTGTGTGATTTGTTTGAACCTGTCTGTCAGTAACTGAAATCTCACACTAACCCAAGGTGTGTGATTTGTTTGAACCTGTCTGTCAGTAACTGAAATCTCACACTAACCCAAGGTGTGTGATTTGTTTGAACCTGTCTGTCAGTAACTGAAATCTCACACTAACCCAAGGTGTGTGATTTGTTTGAACCTGTCTGTCAGTAACTGAAATCTCACACTAACCCAAGGTGTGTGATTTGTTTGAACCTGTCTGTCAGTAACTGAAATCTCACACTAACCCAAGGTGTGTGATTTGTTTGAACCTGTCTGTCAGTAACTGAAATCTCACACTAACCCAAGGTGTGTGATTTGTTTGAACCTGTCTGTCAGTAACTGAAATCTCACACTAACCCAAGGTGTGTGATTTGTTTGAACCTGTCTGTCAGTAACTGAAATCTCACACTAACCCAAGGTTTCCGATTTGTTTGAACCTGTCTGTCAGTAACTGAAATCGATCTTTCCTGATGTTATCCTCTTCCTCCTCTAGTCGATCATCAAACTCCTCTTTCAGGTATCGCTTCCTCAGCTCCTTCATGTAGTCACAGAAGGCAATCGTGTTGTTGATATTGGCAATCTATGATCAGTTGGAGAAGAATCATAAACCAACATAATGTTTAATTCTAATATAAATAGTGCTATTGTCATATATATTTTGTTTTTCAAAAATCAAATATATTTAATGAAATTTTTACTTTAACCAGCATTGAAAATCTGTTAAACATGAAAGTTGGTTACTAATAGTTTTCCTGTAGCATGTGTTTGTGAGCTGACTTTATTGTTCCATGAACAGGAGCCCCCCACCCACTTACAATCAAGGACAGACTGAGCCCCCCCCCACTTACAATCAAGGACAGACTGAGCCCCCCCTCCCCTACTTACAATCAATGACAGACTGAGCCCCCCCACTAACAATAAATGACAGACTGAGCCCCCCACTAACAATAAATGACAGACTGAAGCCCCCCACTAACAATTACTGACAGACTGAAGCCCCCCACTAACAATAAATGACAGACTGAAGCCCCCCCCCCCACTAACAATAAATGACAGACTGAGCCCCCCACTAACAATAAATGACAGACTGAGCCCCCCCCACTAACAATCAATGACAGACTGAAGCCCCCCACTAACACTAAATGACAGACTGAGCCCCCCACTAACAATAAATGACAGACTGAAGCCCCCCACTAACAATAAATGACAGACTGAAGCCCCCCACTAACAATTACTGACAGACTGAAGCCCCCCCACTAACAATTACTGACAGACTGAAGCCCCCCCACTAACAATTACTGACAGACTGAAGCCCCCCACTAACAATTACTGACAGACTGAAGCCCCCCACTAACAATAAATGACAGACTGAAGCCCCCCCCCCACTAACAATAAATGACAGACTGAGCCCCCCACTAACAATAAATGACAGACTGAAGCCCCCCACTAACAATTACTGACAGACTGAAGCCCCCCACTAACAATAAATGACAGACTGAAGCCCCCCACTAACAATTACTGACAGACTGAAGCCCCCCACTAACAATTACTGACAGACTGAAGCCCCCCACTAACAATCAATGACAGACTGAGCCCCCTCCCACTAACAATCAATGACAGACTGAGCCCCCCACTAACAATAAATGACAGACTGAGCCCCCCACTAACAATTACTGACAGACTGAAGCCCCCTCCCACTAACAATAAATGACAGACTGAAGCCCTCCACTAACAATTACTGACAGACTGAAGCCCCCCACTAACAATTACTGACAGACTGAAGCCCCCCACTAACAATCAATGACAGACTGAGCCCCCTCCCACTAACAATCAATGACAGACTGAGCCCCCCACTAACAATAAATGACAGACTGAGCCCCCCCACTAACAATTACTGACAGACTGAAGCCCCCTCCCACTAACAATCAATGACAGACTGAGCCCCCCCCCACTAACAATCAATGACAGACTGAAGCCCCCCCCACTAACAATAAATGACAGACTGAAGCCCCCCACTAACAATTACTGACAGACTGAAGCCCCCCACTAACAATTACTGACAGACTGAAGCCCCCCACTAACAATTACTGACAGACTGAAGCCCCCCACTGACAATAAATGACAGACTGAGCCCCCCCACTAACAATAAATGACAGACTGAAGCCCCCCACTAACAATAAATGACAGACTGAGCCCCCCCCCCCCCCACTAACAATCAATGACAGACTGAAGCCCCCCACTAACAATAAATGACAGACTGAGCCCCCCACTAACAATAAATGACAGACTGAAGCCCCCCACTAACAATCAATGACAGACTGAAGCCCCCCACTAACAATTAATGTCAGACTGAGCCCCCCCACTAACAATCGATGACAGACTGAAGAAAGCAGGATTTAACTTGTTGCACCCAAATAAGACAGACAGTGAAACATTGAAATGAAATAAAAAGGCATTTGGGGCCATGAAAAGCATCAGGTTTAAGGGCATTGTTAAATTGAGCATTTGAGATATTCCAGTAAAAAATATAATTGACACGAGGACTCCCAAAATATTTACATTTTATCTATGGTTTAGTTTCATGCTTCTTAATGCCGAGTAAATTATCATATATATATTCTATGACTTGTACCCTTAAACAAAATGTGGCGACTGGAGTAGGATAGATGTTTTACTGGAATATACCCCTTATCTATTCCATCATTGAAAAAGCCATTTTACTACAAAATTTAAAAAAATCTATTGTCAAAAATAATGTAAAACGCTGTGTGAAACAAGCTTTAAGAAAATAATGAAAGGAAACATCAGAGATCAATATGATCACAAGTGTGAAAATCTATTGTAAACTATGTTTATATCACAACAATTGTGAAACCAGTTTTAAGCTTATATAAATCACTCTTGTTGGCCCGGATGGAATCACACAGGGTCTTACTGTGGGAGGAAACCGGAGTACCAAGGGAAACCCACATGGTCGGCCAGGTGACCCCATATTTTTTCACGACTGTTGGGGGAATCACACCCTGGATGCCTAGGTGAAAGGCGAGTGAGTAACCATTGCGCAACCTGACCACCAAATGACAATACCATGTCATTCTGAATGTAATTCTGAGATTGGAAACTGATTTTTTGACAGGAAACCTTGTTGTAAATCTTGGTATTCTAACAATGTGGACAAATTTTCATGAAAAATGATGTCAGGCGTAACCTTTGGGTTACAACTTATGACACCCACAAATCACAGAAATAATAGACATATTACCAAGTAGTGGATGAAAAACTTGGGCTCACTTCTGTCCATCAAATGTCTTTCCTTGTAGCTTTGAATTTCACCTGAAAAAACCAACATGGCAGTTTTACTATCCAACATTTCTCCAGTGATTGGTAGGCTCTGATGGTGATATCATGTAACAGCGTCTATTGTCTGATTGGCCGAAATCAATCACAAGCCATAGCAGCCATGTTATTTTGTTCTGTCAGGAGAATCAGATTAATCATTTCAATATTCCAACAACTGATCCTGATTCAACAATTCATGGAATTTATATCCCCCAGCTTTCCAAACGTATTGTGATTCAACAATTCATGGAATTTATATCCCCCAGCTTTCCAAACGTATTGTGATTCAACAATTCATGGAATTTATATCCCCCAGCTTTCCAAACGTATTGTGATTCAACAATTCATGGAATTTATATCCCCCAGCTTTCCAAACGTATTGTGATTCAACAATTCATGGAATTTATATCCCCCAGCTTTCCAAACGTATTGTGATTCAACAATTCATGGAATTTATATCCCCCAGCTTTCCAAACGTATTGTGATTCAACAAGCAAATTCATGGAATTTATATCCCCCACTTTCCAAACGTATTGTGATTCAACAGGCAAATTCATGGAATTTATATCCCCCACTTACCAAACATATTGTGATTCAACAGGCAAATTCATGGAATTTATATCCCCCACTTTCCAAACGTATTGTGATTCAACAGGCAAATTCATGGAATCTATATCCCCCACTTTCCAAACGTATTGTGATTCAACAGGCAAATTCATGGAATTTATATCCTCCACTTTCCAAACGTATTGTGATTCAACAAGCAAATTCATGGAATTTATATCCCCCACTTTCCAAACGTATTGTGATTCAACAAGCAAATTCATGGAATTTATATCCCACACTTTCCAAACGTATTGTGATTCAACAAGCAAATTCATGGAATTTATATCCCCACTTTCCAAACGTATTGTGATTCAACAGGCAAATTCATGGAATTTATATCCTCCACTTTCCAAACGTATTGTGATTCAACAAGCAAATTCATGGAATTTATATCCCCCAGCTTTCCAAACATATTGTGATTCAACAAGCAAATTCATGGAATTTATATCCCCCGCTTTCCAAACGTATTGTGATTCAACAAGCAAATTCATGGAATTTATATCCTCCACATTCCAAACGTATTGTGATTCAACAAGCAAATTCATGGAATTTATATCCTCCACTTTCCAAACGTATTGTGATTCAACAAGCAAATTCATGGAATTTATATCCTCCACTTTCCAAACGTATTGTGATTCAACAAGCAAATTCATGGAATTTATATCCCCCAGCTTTCCTAACGTATTGTGATTCAACAAGCAAATTCATGGAATTTATATCCCCCACTTACCAAACGTATTGTGATTCAACAGGCAAATTCATGAAATTTATATCCTCCACTTACCAAACGTATTGTGATTCAACAGGCAAATTCATGAAATTTATATCCTCCACTTTCCAAACGTATTGTGATTCAACAAGCAAATTCATGGAATTTATATCCTCCACTTTCCAAACGTATTGTGATTCAACAGGCAAATTCATGGAATTTATATCCCCCAGCTTTCCAAACGTATTGTGATTCAACAGGCAAATTCATGGAATTTATATCCCCCAGCTTTCCAAACGTATTGTGATTCAACAGGCAAATTCATGGAATTTATATCCCCCGCTTTCCAAACGTATTGTGATTCAACAAGCAAATTCATGGAATTTATATCCCCCAGCTTTCCAAACGTATTGTGATTCAACAAGCAAATTCATGGAAGTTATATCCCCCACTTTCCAAACGTATTGTGATTCAACAGGCAAATTCATGGAATTTATATCCTCCACTTTCCAAACGTATTGTGATTCAACAAGCAAATGGAATTTATATCCCCCACTTACCAAACATATTGTGATTCAACAAGCAAATTCATGGAATTTATATCCCCCAGCTTTCCAAACGTATTGTGATTCAACAAGCAAATTCATGGAATTTATATCCCCCACTTTCCAAACGTATTGTGATTCAACAGGCAAATTCATGGAATTTATATCCCCCAGCTTTCCAAACGTATTGTGATTCAACAGGCAAATTCATGGAATTTATATCCCCCAGCTTTCCAAACGTATTGTGATTCAACAGGCAAATTCATGGAATTTATATCCCCCAGCTTTCCAAACGTATTGTGATTCAACAGGCAAATTCATGGAATTTATATCCCCCAGCTTTCCAAACGTATTGTGATTCAACAGGCAAATTCATGGAATTTATATCCCCCGCTTTCCAAACGTATTGTGATTCAACAAGCAAATTCATGGAATTTATATCCCCCAGCTTTCCAAACGTATTGTGATTCAACAAGCAAATTCATGGAATTTATATCCCCCACTTTCCAAACGTATTGTGATTCAACAGGCAAATTCATGGAATTTATATCCTCCACTTTCCAAACGTATTGTGATTCAACAAGCAAATGGAATTTATATCCCCCACTTACCAAACATATTGTGATTCAACAAGCAAATTCATGGAATTTATATCCCCCAGCTTTCCAAACGTATTGTGATTCAACAAGCAAATTCATGGAATTTATATCCCCCACTTTCCAAACATATTGTGATTCAACAGGCAAATTCATGGAATTTATATCCTCCACTTTCCAAACATATTGTGATTCAACAAGCAAATTCATGGAATTTATATCCCCCACTTTCCAAACGTATTGTGATTCAACAAGCAAATTCATGGAATTTATATCCTCCACTTTCCAAACATATTGTGATTCAACAAGCAAATTCATGGAATTTATATCCCCCACTTTCCAAACGTATTATGATTCAACAGGCAAATTCATGGAATTTATATCCCCCAGCTTTACAAACGTATTGTGATTCAACAAGCAAATTCATGGAATTTATATCTCCCACTTTCCAAACGTATTGTGATTCAACAAGCAAATTCATGGAATTTATATCCCCCGCTTTCCAAACATATTGTGATTCAACAAGCAAATTCATGGAATTTATATCCCCCGCTTTCAAAACGTATTGTGATTCAACAGGCAAATTCATGGAATTTATATCCCCCAGCTTTCCAAACGTATTGTGATTCAACAGGCAAATTCATGGAATTTATATCCCCCAGCTTTCCAAACGTATTGTGATTCAACAGGCAAATTCATGGAATTTATATCCCCCAGCTTTCCAAACGTATTGTGATTCAACAGGCAAATTCATGGAATTTATATCCCCCAGCTTTCCAAACGTATTGTGATTCAACAGGCAAATTCATGGAATTTATATCCCCCGCTTTCCAAACGTATTGTGATTCAACAAGCAAATTCATGGAATTTATATCCCCCAGCTTTCCAAACGTATTGTGATTCAACAAGCAAATTCATGGAATTTATATCCCCCACTTTCCAAACGTATTGTGATTCAACAGGCAAATTCATGGAATTTATATCCTCCACTTTCCAAACGTATTGTGATTCAACAAGCAAATGGAATTTATATCCCCCACTTACCAAACATATTGTGATTCAACAAGCAAATTCATGGAATTTATATCCCCCAGCTTTCCAAACGTATTGTGATTCAACAAGCAAATTCATGGAATTTATATCCCCCACTTTCCAAACATATTGTGATTCAACAGGCAAATTCATGGAATTTATATCCTCCACTTTCCAAACGTATTGTGATTCAACAAGCAAATTCATGGAATTTATATCCCCCACTTTCCAAACGTATTGTGATTCAACAAGCAAATTCATGGAATTTATATCCTCCACTTTCCAAACATATTGTGATTCAACAAGCAAATTCATGGAATTTATATCCCCCACTTTCCAAACGTATTATGATTCAACAGGCAAATTCATGGAATTTATATCCCCCAGCTTTACAAACGTATTGTGATTCAACAAGCAAATTCATGGAATTTATATCTCCCACTTTCCAAACGTATTGTGATTCAACAAGCAAATTCATGGAATTTATATCCCCCGCTTTCCAAACATATTGTGATTCAACAAGCAAATTCATGGAATTTATATCCCCCGCTTTCAAAACGTATTGTGATTCAACAAGCAAATTCATGGAATTTATATCCCCCACTTTCCAAACGTATTGTGATTCAACAGGCAAATTCATGGAATTTATATCCCCCGCTTTCCAAACGTATTGTGATTCAACAAGCAAATTCATGGAATTTATATCCCCCAGCTTTCCTAATGTATTGTGATTCAACAGGCAAATTCATGGAATTTATATCCCCCAGCTTTCCAAACATATTGTGATTCAACAAGCAAATTCATGGAATTTATATCTCCCAACTTTCCAAACGTATTGTGATTCAACAGGCTAATTCATGGAATTTATATCCCCCAGCTTTCCAAACGTATTGTGATTCAACAAGCAAATTCATAGAATTTATATCCCCCGCTTTCCAAACGTATTGTGATTCAACATGCAAATTCATGGAATTTATATCCCCCAGCTTTCCAAACGTATTGTGATTCAACAAGCAAATTCATGGAATTTATATCCCCCAGCTTTCCAAACGTATTGTGATTCAACAAGCAAATTCATGGAATTTATATCCCCCGCTTTCAAAACGTATTGTGATTCAACAAGCAAATTCATGGAATTTATATCCTCCACTTACCAAACATATTGTGATTCAACAAGCAAATTCATGGAATTTATATCCCCCAGCTTTCCAAACGTATTGTGATTCAACAAGCAAATTCTTGGAATTTATATCCCCCGCTTTCAAAACGTATTGTGATTCAACAAGCAAATTCATGGAATTTATATCCCCCACTTACCAAACATATTGTGATTCAACAAGCAAATTCATGGAATTTATATCCCCCGCTTTCAAAACGTATTGTGATTCAACAAGCAAATTCATGGAATTTTTATCCCCCACTTGCCAAACATATTGTGATTCAACAAGCAAATTCATGGAATTTATATCCCCTAGCTTTCCAAACGTATTGTGATTCAACAAGCAAATTCATGGAATTTATATCCCCCGCTTTCAAAACGTATTGTGATTCAACAAGCAAATTCATGGAATTTATATGGCCCCGCTTTCCAAACGTATTGTGATTCAACAAGCAAATGGAATTTATATCCTCCACTTTCCAAACGTATTGTGATTCAACAAGCAAATTCATGGAATTTATATCCCCCAGCTTTCCAAACGTATTGTGATTCAACAAGCAAATTAATGGAATTTATATCCCCCCGCTTTCCAAACGTATTGTACGTAAATATTTTTGAGGTTAAGAGTAAACATGTCATAATGCTATGTAGAATGATATAGTTTGATGACAAACTGATAATATTTGTGGGACTTCAAGTTACATCTAAATCAGATAATAAGGAAAGTTAGAGCACAAAAACTGACTGACCAAAGAAATTAAAGGATACCTAATTAGTATGCATAGATATTAACAGATGATGATGATTGCTGAACTCAGTCTTATGTACCCTAATATGCATCTGCTGACCATCTAAATTGGATTACATTTAGGGAAGTTTGAGCAGGGAAATGAGCCGACCAATGAAATCAAAGGATACCTCTTTAGTATGCATAATCATTAACAGATGACACTGATAGTCAAACGCAGTCTTAATGACCTCAAGATGCATCTGCTGACCAAGTTTCACCAAAATTGGATGATATTTGGGGAAGTTAGAACATAGAAACAAAAGTGTGACAGACCGACAAACCCCTATATTAACATCCGCCGTTTCGGTGAAAGTGGGGGATAAAAAATGATCTTGAAATGTTCCAATAAAATCAAATTTATATGCTTTATAACAAGTTTTAGAAGTGGAGGGTGAAGGAACCCACAACCCACTCAACTAGAACGGATGACGTTGGCTCTATAACCCAAATTCTGTCTTACAAACTTGTATCCATTATCATGTCCAATTGACTGTCACGTCAGACAGTGGGCGATATATTATCAAATTTCACATTTTTTAGACTCTTGGATTTTGAAAAGAAATAAAAATTCTGCAGACAAATTTGGTAATCAACTACTGCTGTTAATAGCATAGACAAGCTTCCTCTGTGTTGGGATTTACATCAAGTCAAACTGATGGCTCAAAATTTCAGTGTCAGCATATATAGATATAGTAGTGGGTGAGGCTATTCTTATACACTCACTTTGATATTCCTTAGCAAACATATTCAACTCATCTGCAAACAATCCGAGAACTTTCTTCACCAGATCTTCACCAATCATTTGTGCAACTTGGAGCTGAAATGAAACAAGAGGTGAAACCTTTGGTCAATCTAAATAAGTAAAGTAACTTTCTCAAAAGAGAACAAGGTACACAACAATGGAACCAACAGGCAAACTAAGGAACATCTGATATGGTCAGCTTCATATTGCAAAAAGAAAAAGAATATTTCTGAATGAGATCGCTATGGCAACCATAAAACTTCCTCATAATTTTTATCATCCTGCATCTTTTGAAATCCTATGTTACAAGTTTGCCCATCAGTTGACGACTTCTTAAAGGAAAATCGTGATAATGGGAATAGGCACTTGAACATCGAATCAACTGCAACATATAAGTATCATAGGTTGGGGGTGCAGGAATATTGTTATCCAGAAAAGGAAAATTAAGGTAATTTCACAAATTAATATTTCGGCTTTACAGACCTTAAACAAAATACTTAGTTCCAAATATATGACTTGTTTCTGATTTACAAGCCTTGTAAGGAAAAGTAACTCAATAAAACTGTGACAGATACAACAATATTATGTAATATTGTCTGAACACATAATAACTCACATTCTGTTCCATCATTTGGAATAAGATAACGGGCAGTGAAGTTGAATAGAATCCGTCCCCATCAGCATCTGGATGTTCTTCCCGGAACCAGTCCTGTACAATATATATGTTAAGATTTCTGTCTACTTTTATCACAAAATTCCAAAGAGATTTTATCAAATAAATGTTGATATCCTAAAACAAAGATTATTCAGTATATATTGATCCTCAGTCTTGTACTTGTTTTTTTAATCAAAAAAGAATTATGTCAACTTTCAAATGACTAAATCATAATAAAATGGCAATGTTCCAAAATGAAATTTTACTAATATTCAGGAGTACAGGCACTGCTGAAAGGTAAGAAGCCCTGTGATTGGTTACGTGCAGTACAATAGGCCAATCAGATAACAGTTTCTAAAAGATTATGTAATCATGAGCCAAGCAGAGACATGTATCAGATTATGTAATCACAGGCCAAGCAGAGATATGTACCTGATTATGTAATCACAGGCCAAGCAGAGATATGTACCTGATTATGTAATCACAGGCCAAGCAGAGATATGTATCAGATTATGAATGAATATACAGTCCCTTCCATATTTGGTATCCTTTAAATGGGAGTAAATGAATTATCCATGCATGTACACAAGAAGGGTCTCAACACAATAAATAAATCCAAACACTTTTGTACAGTAAGTAGATCATATTTGTCCATTTTCTCTATTTTCTCAGTTCTGCAATGACCCTAAACTCTAAACATTTGAGCTGTAATCTGTATATTTATGAGCTGTAATCTGTATATCAATGAGCTGTAATCTGTATATTTATGAGCTGTAATCTGTATAATTATGAGCTGTAATCTGTATAATTATGAGCTGTAATCTGTATAATTATGAGCTGTAATCTGTATAATTATGAGCTGTAATCTGTATAATTATGAGCTGTAATCTGTATATTTATGAGCTGTAATCTGTATATTATGAGCTGTATCTGTATAATTATCTGTAATTTATGAGCTGTAATCTGTATATTTATGAGCTGTAATCTGTACAATTATGAGCTGTATAATTATGAGCTGTAATCTGTATAATTATGAGCTGTAATCTGTATAATTATGAGCTGTAATCTGTATATTTATGAGCTGTAATCTGTATAATTATGAGCTGTAATCTGTATATTTATGGGCTGTAATCTGTATATCAATGAGCTGTAATCTGTATATTTATGAGCTGTAATCTGTATAATTATGAGCTGTAATCTGTATATCAATGAGCTGTAATCTGTATATTTATGAGCTGTAATCTGTATAATTATGAGCTGTAATCTGTATATTTATGAGCTGTAATCTGTATAATTATGAGCTGTAATCTGTATATCAATGAGCTGTAATCTGTATATTTATGAGCTGTGTATAATTATGAGATGTGTATATTTATGAGCTGTAATCTGTATAATTATGAGCTGTAATCTGTATATTTATGAGCTGTAATCTGTATAATTATGAGCTGTAATCTGTATAATTATGAGCTGTAATCTGTATAATTATGAGCTGTAATCTGTATATTTATGAGCTATAATCTGTATATTTATGAGCTGTAATCTGTATATTTATGTGCTGTAATCTGTATAATTATGAGCTGTAATCTGCATATTTATGAGCTGTAATCTGTATAATTATGAGCTGTAATCTGTATATTTATGAGCTGTAATCTGTATATTTATGAGCTGTAATCTGTATATTTATGAGCTGTGGTGTATATTTATGAGCTGTAATCAGTATAATTATGAGCTGTAATCTGTATATTTATGAGATGTAATCTGTATAATTATGAGCTGTAATCTGTATATTTATGAGCTGTGGTGTATATTTATGAGCTGTAATCTGTATAATTATGAGCTGTAATCTGTATAATTATCAGCTGTAATCTGTATATCAATGAGCTGTAATCTGTATATTTATGAGCTGTAATCTGTATAATTATGAGCTGTAATCTGTATATCAATGAGCTGTAATCTGTATATTTATGAGCTGTAATCTGTATAATTATGAGCTGTAATCTGTATAATTATGAGCTGTAATCTGTATAATTATGAGCTGTAATCTGTATAATTATGAGCTGTAATCTGTGTATTTATGAGCTGTAATCTGTATAATTATGAGCAGTAATCTGTATAATTATGAGCTGTAATCTGTATATTTATGAGCTGTAATCTGTATAATTATGAGCTGTAATCTGTATATTTATGAGCTGTAATCTGTATAATTATGAGCTGTAATCTGTATAATGAGCTGTAATCTGTATAATTATGAGCTGTAATCTGTATAATTATGAGCTGTAATCTGTATATTTATGAGCTATAATCTGTATAATTATGAGCTGTGTATAATTATGAGATGTGTATATTTATGAGCTGTAATCTGTATAATTATGAGCTGTAATCTGTATAATTATGAGCTGTAATCTGTATATCAATGAGCTGTAATCTGTATATTTATGAGCTGTAATCTGTATAATTATGAGCTGTAATCTGTATAATTATGAGCTGTAATCTGTATATTTATGAGCTGTAATCTGTATAATTATGAGCTGTAATCTGTATATTTATGAGCTGTAATCTGTATATTTATGAGCTGTAATCTGTATAATTATGAGCTGTAATCTGTATATCAATGAGCTGTAATCTGTATATTTATGAGCTGTAATCTGTATAATTATGAGCTGTAATCTGTATATTTATGAGCTGTAATCTGTATAATTATGAGCTGTAATCTGTATATTTATGAGCTGTAATCTGTATAATTATCAGCTGTAATCTGTATATCAATGAGCTGTAATCTGTATATTTATGAGCTGTAATCTGTATAATTATGAGCTGTAATCTGTATATCAATGAGCTGTAATCTGTATATTTATGAGCTGTAATCTGTATAATTATGAGCTGTAATCTGTATATTTATGAGCTGTGTATAATTATGAGCAGTAATCTGTATATTTATGAGCTATAATCTGTATAATTATGAGCTGTGTATAATTATGAGATGTGTATATTTATGAGCTGTAATCTGTATAATTATGAGCTGTAATCTGTATAATTATGAGCTGTAATCTGTATATTTATGAGCTGTAATCTGTATAATTATGAGCTGTAATCTGTATAATTATGAGCTGTAATCTGTATAATTATGAGCTGTAATCTGTATATTTATGAGCTATAATCTGTATAATTATGAGCTGTAATCTGTATAATTATGAGCTGTAATCTGTATATTTATGAGCTGTGTATAATTATGAGATGTGTATATTTATGAGCTGTAATCTGTATATTTATGAGCTGTAATCTGTATATCAATGAGCTGTAATCTGTATATTTATGAGCTGTAATCTGTATATTTATGAGCTGTAATCTGTATAATTATGAGCTGTAATCTGTGTATTTATGAGCTGTAATCTGTATATTTATGAGCTGTAATCTGTATAATTATGAGCTGTAATCTGTATATTTATGAGCTGTAATCTGTATATTTATGAGCTGTGTATAATTATGAGCAGTAATCTGTATATTTATGAGCTATAATCTGTATAATTATGAGCTGTGTATAATTATGAGATGTGTATATTTATGAGCTGTAATCTGTATAATTATGAGCTGTAATCTGTATAATTATGAGCTGTAATCTGTATATTTATGAGCTGTAATCTGTATAATTATGAGCTGTAATCTGTATAATTATGAGCTGTAATCTGTATATTTATGAGCTGTAATCTGTATATTTATGAGCTGTAATCTGTATATTTATGAGCTGTAATCTGTATATATATGAGCTGTAATCTGTATATTTATGAGCTGTAATCTGTATAATTATGAGCTGTAATCTGTATAATTATGAGCTGTAATCTGTATATTTATGGGCTGTAATCTGTATATCAATGAGCTGTAATCTGTATATTTATGAGCTGTAATCTGTATAATTATGAGCTGTAATCTGTATATCAATGAGCTGTAATCTGTATAATTATGAGCTGTAATCTGTATATTTATGAGCTGTAATCTGTATATTTATGAGCTGTAATCTGTATAATTATGAGCTGTAATCTGTATAATTATGAGCTGTAATCTGTATAATTATGAGCTGTAATCTGTATAATTATGAGCTGTAATCTGTATATTTATGAGCTGTAATCTGTATATTTATGAGCTGTAATCTGTATAATTATGAGCTGTAATCTGTATAATTATGAGCTGTAATCTGTATAATTATGAGCTGTAATCTGTATAATTATGAGCTGTGTAATTAAGTTAAGAGAATACCAGGTAAATTATAAGCAAGGTATAACAAATGTCACTTACTATAAAATTTTTAACTTGATTCATTTTACAACAATTCCAAATCAAGTTATTTCAACTTATACTAATCATTCTTGTTGGCCGAGATGTAAGCGTGTGAGGGGTATTATTGTGGGTGTAAACCTGAGTACCCGGGGAATGAGGGGTCATATTGTGGGTGTAAACCTGAGTACCCGGGGAATGAGGGGTCTTATTGTGGGTAAACCTGAGTACCCGGGGAATGAGGGGTCTTATTGTGGGTGTAAACCTGAGTACCCGGGGAATGAGGGGTCTTATTGTGGGTAAACCTGAGTACCCGGGGAATGAGGGGTCATATTGTGGGTGTAAACCTGAGTACCCGGGGAATGAGGGGTCATATTGTGGGTGTAAACATGAGTACCCGGGGAATGAGGGGTCATATTGTGGGTAAACCTGAGTACCCGGGGAATGAGGGGTCATATTGTGGGTGTAAACCTGAGTACCTGGGGAATGAGGGGTCATATTGTGGGTGTAAACCTGAGTACCCGGGGAATGAGGGGTCATATTGTGGTTGTAAACCTGAGTACCCGGGGAATGAGGGGTCATATTGTGGTTGTAAACCTGAGTACCCGGGGAATGAGGGGTCATATTGTGGTTGTAAACCTGAGTACCCGGGGAATGAGGGGTCATATTGTGGGTGTAAACCTGAGTACCCGGGGAATGAGGGGTCATATTGTGGTTGTAAACCTGAGTACCCGGGGAATGAGGGGTCATATTGTGGGTGTAAACCTGAGTACCCGGGGAATGAGGGGTCATATTGTGGGTGTAAACCTGAGTACCCGGGGAATGAGGGGTCATATTGTGGGTGTAAACATGAGTACCCGGGGAATGAGGGGTCATATTGTGGGTGTAAACATGAGTACCCGGGGAATGAGGGGTCATATTGTGGGTGTAAACCTGAGTACCCGGGGAATGAGGGGTCATATTGTGGGTGTAAACATGAGTACCCGGGGAATGAGGGGTCATATTGTGGGTGTAAACCTGAGTACCCGGGGAATGAGGGGTCATATTGTGGGTGTAAACATGAGTACCCGGGGAATGAGGGGTCATATTGTGGGTGTAAACATGAGTACCCGGGGAATGAGGGGTCATATTGTGGGTGTAAACCTGAGTACCCGGGGAATGAGGGGTCATATTGTGGGTGTAAACATGAGTACCCGGGGAATGAGGGGTCATATTGTGGGTGTAAACATGAGTACCCGGGGAATGAGGGGTCATATTGTGGGTGTAAACATGAGTACCCGGGGAAAACCCACGAGGTAAATGTCACTTATCAAGCTGCTTACTTTTTTATCCTGAACCAAGGAATTCTTTGTCCAGTCCATGATATTTGATCTCATATTCTTCAAGTACCTGTTGAAGTAAAACAAACTCACAGTCTAGTTAAAAAAGAAGTTTAAAACAGCAATATATTTCATTATATTTTGGATTTAGCCAAGTCATTTGGAAGTCTATCCATTGTCTAAATAGCAGAAAGATTTTTACAAAAGAGAATAAGGCTATGAATGGAGAAGAATGTACCAGGTATTGATACAAAAACCAACAAAATATTGATTTCGCAATATGTATTAATTTCCTGAAGTATTACATTTTCTACACTTATTCCTGTCTGCACCAAACTTTATTGGGAATATCAAAAAAGAAAATGCTTTGTCATTTATTTCTACTGTAACAAATGAAGCAAAAATCTATGAAATTTGTGACAAAATGTTTAGAAAAAACTCTGAACTTTCTGTTCAGAATATCATTTCCGTAATTTGACTTTCTATGACCTTGACCCTTCATAGTTGGACCTGCAATATCCTCATCACAATGTTGATATATTATACTGTTTCACTTTACAATATTTAAATAATATTCTTTGGATCTGTAGGTAAACATAGTCTATACCATTATCAAGAGAAAATGTCAAGAGTAGGGTATGCTGACATTTAACTCCTTGATGTGACTTGATTTGACCTTGACCTTGAGGACCTGTATTTGGTTTCTAATGCATCAGTTTGCAAAAATACACATATCTATGAATCCTTTGTGGTACATACTGGTTCTGAAGGTCATCTATAACATTCGGCTCCAACAGCGGCCCTAGATCTTTGATGTCAATGTTCAGGTCGGGATGTTTCAAAAGTTCTGGGGAGCTGAAAAAAATAAATGACATTATCAGTGTCTTAACTTATCAAAATGAACATTTCCAGTATCAGCTTCTGTAATACAGGTTATGATAGTTGATTTGTTTGTGTGCTGGATTTATCATCCTGTGACCAGTCAAGATCATTTAAAAGTCTTAATGTAGTGGTAGGTGGCTGTCTCAATTAAAAACATGTGGGAAGTCTGGTACAGAATATAAAATGGGACCATGCTCAAGGATACCAGCTATATATAGCTCAGAATGGTCCATGATTTCAGTTTCCTGAGAAACACAAACTGCACTGCGAATAGAATAACCAAACCTGACACCTTAAGTCTTCAGACCTTCACCAAAGGTTGCAATGTCTGATGTGTAATATACTGCTCAACATCCCATCAGAGAGAAAGAAGGAAAGGGAGTGGGAACAGAAAGGAGTTCAGAATGGGGGACACATGTGTGAGGCAGAGAGAGAAAGAAAGGGAATGGGAACAGAGAAGAGTTCAGAATGGGGGTCACATGTGTGAGGCAGAGAGAGAGAATGAAGGAAAGGGAGTGGGAACAGAGAGGAGTTCAGAATGGGGGTCACATGTGTGAGGCAGAGAGAGAGAGAGAAAGAAGGAAAGGGAATGGGAACAGAGAGGAGTTCAGAATGGGGGTCACATGTGTGAGGCAGAGAGAGAGAAAGAAGGAAAGGGAATGGAAGCAGAGAGGAGTTCAGAATGGGGGACACATGTGTGAGACAGAGAGAGAAATAAAGGGAATGGGAACAGAGAGGAGTTCAGAATGGGGGTCACATGTGTGAGGCAGAGAGAGAGAATGAAGGAAAGGGAGTGGGAACAGAGAGGAGTTCAGAATGGGGGTCACATGTGTGAGGAGAGAGAGAGAGAGAGAGAGAGAGAAAGAAGGAAAGGGAATGGGAACAGAGAGGAGTTCAGAATGGGGGTCACATGTGTGAGGCAGATAGGGAGAAAGAAAAAAAGGGAGTGGGAACAGAGAGGAGTTCAGAATGGGGGACACATGTGTGAGGCAGAGAGAGAGAAAGAAGGAAAGGGAATGGAAGCAGAGAGGAGTTCAGAATGGGGGACACATGTGTGAGACAGAGAGAAAGAAGGAAAGAGAACGAAAACAGAGAGGAGTTCAGAATAGGGGATACATGTGTGAGGCAGAGAGAGAAAGAAAGGGAATGGGAACAGAGAGGAGTCCAGAATGGGGGACACATGTGTGAGGCAGAGAGAGAGAAAGAAGGAAAGGGAGTGGGAACAGAGAGGAGTTCAGAATGGGGGACACATTTGTGAGGCAGATAGAGAGAAAGAAGGAAAGGGAGAGGGAACAGAGAGGAGTTCAGAATGGGGGTCACATGTGTGAGGCAGATAGAGAGAAAGAAGGAAAGGGAGTGGGAACAGAGAGGAGTTCAGAATGGGGGTCACATGTGTGAGGCAGATAGAGAGAAAGAAGGAAAGGGAGTGGGAACAGAGAGGAGTTCAGAATGGGGGTCACATGTGTGAGGCAGAGAGAGAGAAAGAAGGAAAGGGAGTGGGAACAGAGAGGAGTTCAGAATGGGGGTCACATGTGTGAGACAGAGAGAAAGAAGGAAAGGGAATGGAAGCAGAGAGGAGTTCAGAATGGGGGTCACATGTGTGAGGCAGAGAGAAAGAAGGAAAGGGAATGGGAACAGAGAGGAGTTCAGAATGGGGGTCACATGTGTGAGGCAGAGAGAGAGAATGAAGGAAAGGGAGTGGGAACAGAGAGGAGTTCAGAATGGGGGTCATATTCGTGAGGCAGAGAGAGAGAAAGAAGGAAAGGGAATGGAAGCAGAGAGGAGTTCAGAATGGGGGTCACATGTGTGAGGCAGAGAGAGAGAATGAAGGAAAGGGAGTGGGAACAGAGAGGAGTTCAGAATGGGGGTCACATGTGTGAGGCAGAGAGAGAGAGAGAGAAAGAAGGAAAGGGAATGGGAACAGAGAGGAGTTCAGAATGGGGGTCACATGTGTGAGGCAGAGAGAGAGAGAAGAGAGAGAGGAGTTCAGAATGGGGGACACATGTGTGAGGCAGAGAGAGAGAAAGAAGGAAAGGGAATGGAAGCAGAGAGGAGTTCAGAATGGGGGACACATGTGTGAGGCAGAGAGAGAGAGAGAAGAGAAGAGAGGAGTTCAGAATAGGGGATACATGTGTGAGGCAGAGAGAGAAAGAAAGGGAATGGGAACAGAGAGGAGTTCAGAATGGGGGACACATGTGTGAGGCAGATAGAGAGAAAGAAGGAAAGGGAGTGGGAACAGAGAGGAGTTCAGAATGGGGGACACATGTGTGAGGCAGATAGAGAGAAAGAAGGAAAGGGAGTGGGAACAGAGAGGAGTTCAGAATGGGGGACACATTTGTGAGGCAGATAGAGAGAAAGAAGGAACGGGAGTGGGAACAGAGAGGAGTTCAGAATGGGGGACACATTTGTGAGGCAGAGAGAGAGAAAGAAGGAAAGGGAATGGGAACAGAGAGGAGTTCAGAATGGGGACACATGTGTGAGACAGAGAGAAAGAAGGAAAGAGAACGAAAACAGAGAGGAGTTCAGAATAGGGGTCACATTTGTGAGGCAGAGAGAGAAGGAAAGGGAATGGGAACAGAGAGGAGTTCAGAATGGGGGTCACATTTGTGAGGCAGATAGAGAGAAAGAAGGAAAGGGATAGGGAACAGAGAGGAGTTCAGAATGGGGGTCACATGTGTGAGACAGAGAGAAAGAAGGAAAGGGAATGGAACAGAGAGGAGTTCAGAATGGGAGTCACATGTGTGAGGCAGATAGGGAGAAAGAAAGGGAATGGGAACAGAGAGGAGTTCAGAATGGGGGTCACATTTGTGAGGCAGAGAGAGAGAAAGAAGGAAAGGGAATGGGAACAGAGAGGAGTTCAGAATGGGGACACATGTGTGAGACAGAGAGAGGAAAGAGAACGAAAACAGAGAGGAGAGAGATACATGTGTGAGGAGAGAGAGAAAGAAAGGGAATGGGAACAGAGAGGAGTTCAGAATGGGGGACACATGTGTGAGGCAGATAGAGAGAAAGAAGGAAAGGGAGTGGGAACAGAGAGGAGTTCAGAATGGGGGACACATGTGTGAGGCAGATAGAGAGAATGAAGGAAAGGGAGTGGGAACAGAGAGGAGTTCAGAATGGGGGTCACATGTGTGAGGCAGAGAGAGAGAGAGAAAGAAGGAAAGGGAATGGGAACAGAGAGGAGTTCAGAATGGGGGTCACATGTGTGAGGCAGATAGGGAGAAAGAAAAAAAGGGAGTGGGAACAGAGAGGAGTTCAGAATGGGGGACACATGTGTGAGGCAGAGAGAGAGAGAAGAAGAAAGGGAAAAGCAGAGAGGAGTTCAGAATGGGGGAACAGAGAGGAGAGAAAGGAAAGAGAATGAAAACAGAGAGGATGGGGGACACATGTGTGAGGCAGAGAGAGAAAGGAAAGGGAATGGGAACAGAGAGGAGAGAATGGGGGACACATGTGTGAGGCAGAGAGAGAGAGAGAAGGAAAGGGAATGGGAACAGAGAGGAGTTCAGAATGGGGGACACATGTGTGAGACAGAGAGAGAAATAAAGGGAATGGGAACAGAGAGGAGATCAGAATGGGGGACACATGTGTGAGGCAGAGAGAGAGAGAGAACAGAGAGAGGAGTTCAGAATGGGGGACACATGTGTGAGGCAGAGAGAGAGAAAGAAGGAAAGGGAATGGGAACAGAGAGGAGTTCAGAATGGGGGACACATGTGTGAGGAGAGAGAGAGAGAGAAGGAAAGGGAATGGAAGCAGAGAGGAGTTCAGAATGGGGGAACATGTGTGAGGCAGAGAGAGAGAAGAAGGAAAGGGAGTGGGAACAGAGAGGAGTTCAGAAACAGAGTGTGAGGCAGAGAGAGAAAGAAAGGGAAGGGCAACAGAGAGGAGTTCAGAATGGGGGACACATGTGTGAGGCAGAGAGAGAAGAGAAGAGAAAGGGAATGTGTGAGGCAGAGAGAGGAAAAAGAGAGAGTTCAGAATGGGGGACACATGTGTGAGGCAGAGAGAGAGAGAAAGGAAAGGGAATGGGAACAGAGAGGAGTTCAGAATGGGGGACACATGTGTGAGGCAGAGAGAGAAAGAAAGGGAATGGGAACAGAGAGGAGTTCAGAATGGGGGTCACATGTGTGAGGCAGAGAGAGAAAGAGAAAGGAAAGAGAATGGGGGGGAACAGAGAGGAGTTCAGAATGGGGGACACATGTGTGAGGCAGAGAGAGAGAATGGGGGACATGTGTGAGGCAGAGAGAGAAAGAAAGGGAATGGGAACAGAGAGGAGTTCAGAATGGGGGACATGTGTGAGGCAGAGAGAGAGAAAGAAGGAAAGGGAATGGGAACAGAGAGGAGTTCAGAATGGGGACACATGTGTTTGACAGGGAGAGAGAAGGAAAGAGAATGAAAACAGAGAGGAGTTCAGAATGGGGGACACATGTGTGAGACAGGGAGAGAGAAGGAAAGAGAATGAAAACAGAGAGGAGTTCAGAATGGGGGACACATGTGTGAGACAGGGAGAGGAAGAAGGAAAGACAATGAAAACAGAGAGGAGTTCAGAATGGGGGACACATGTGTGAGGCAGGGAGAGAGAAGGAAAGAGAATGAAAACAGAAAGGAGTTCAGAATGGGGGACACATGTGTGAGACAGGGAGAGAATGAAGGAAAGGGAATGGAAGCAGAGAGGAGTTCAGAATGGGGGACACATGTGTGAGACAGAGAGAAAGAAGGAAAGAGAACGAAAACAGAGAGGAGTTCAGAATAGGGGATACATGTGTGAGGCAGAGAGAGAAGGAAAGGGAATGGGAACAGAGAGGAGTTCAGAATGGGGGACACATGTGTGAGACAGAGAGAAAGAAGGAAAGAGAACGAAAACAGAGAGGAGTTCAGAATAGGGGATACATGTGTGAGGCAGAGAAAGAAGGAAAGGGAATGGGAACAGAGAGGAGTTCAGAATGGGGGACATGTGTGAGGCAGAGAGAGAAAGAAAGGGAATGGGAACAGAGAGGAGTTCAGAATGGGGGACATGTGTGAGGCAGAGAGAGAAAGAAAGGGAATGGGAACAGAGAGGAGTTCAGAATGGGGGTCACATGTGTGAGGCAGAGAGAGAGAAAGAAGGAAAGGGAATGGAAGCAGAGAGGAGTTCAGAATGGGGGACACGTGTGTGAGACAGGGAGAGTAAGAGAGAAAGGGAATGAAAACAGAGAGGAGTTTAGAATGGGGGTCAGGTGTGTGAGACAGTGAGAGAGAAAGAAGGAAAGGGAATGAAAACAGAGAGGAGTTCAGAATGGGGGACACATGTGTGAGACACAGAGAGAGAGAGAAAGAGAGAAAGGGAATGGGTACAGGTAGGAAAAAAAATAAGATTATTGAAACGAGGACTGCAGGACAAAGGAAAGAAAGACTGAAAAAAGAATATCAAGGAGGGAAAAAGTGAAGTTACAAAAGAGAGGGATAAAATGAAAATACTGAGAAGGGGCAGAGAACGAAAGAAGAAGAGGATAGAAGGTTTTAGATTTAGAAAAAGGTTAAAAAAGGAGCTTTGATTAGAGTAATTTACATACTTGTAAGCATTGATCCAGCTGAGAAGTGTGACATACTCATTACCTTCCAAACCCTGGGCTATCATGTCTGTGATCTGAAACAGTACAACCACATTGATAGTTCCTGTCTACCTTCTAATGATAATGTTAACATTGTTACTTCATTATATCAGTTCAAATAGTGTCCCCATCTCTACACAAGAGAAAGGAAAATTAATGTAAAGCAATGTTTTGAGTCTAACAGCAATTTTCACATTCATGGTGGCAAAACAGAGTGATCATCAATCAAGGATAAATGTTCTTGATTTGACATGAGATCTACAGTGAATAATTCTTTATATAGGTCATGTTGTAATACCCTCACACATTTTATATAGGTCATGTTGTAATACCCTCACACATTTTATATAGGTCATGTTGTTGTAATACCCTTGATTTTACAAGTTTTTAATTTATTTTAGCAATCAAGTGACAACTCCGTCAGCAAATAAGTTGAAATTAATAAGTTTAAATACACAAAACATTTTACTTTCAAATTTTATTAGATTTTTTATTTACTGCAATCCCAACCCTCCCACCCCTCCTCAAAAAAATATCAATCAATCCGAGTCATATGTAGCCCAATGCATGTATGAACTGTGATTGATATATAGGTCACATTTATCAACCCTATACTTACATGATTAGCAATCCCTGCATGGTACATCTTTACATACTTATCAACAATGGCATATGACGGGGGAAACACAGGAGGAAGCATCGTCTGAAAAAAATCATTCAAATTAGGAAACCAGCCATATGAAATCTATCATATGTTAACTAAAATTTAGGAACAAAAACTTGGATTTTATATCATTTGACAAGTATATTGATTACCTATTGTCAATCCTTTGTAGATTTTTCTTTACTGATTTGCTGGGCATGCAAGCAATGCTTTATTTTGCAAATATCACCAACAATAGAGACATGAGAAAGAATGATTCCCAGTGGATATCACCTCTTCAGGAAACACAAAAATGAAAATCTGCGAAAAAGCAAACTTTGCAAATGCTTTGAAAATCACACCATTTCCCACACAATATATGATCCACAGAGACGGACATTAATAATAAAAAAAAATGATTACCTTGACGACACGAAGGTCATCAATCATGAGTTGACGAGTGATCTCTAGATGTCGAACAAGCCACATTTTGTTGGTGTCTCGGTCTTCCATCTGGTTTCCTTCGATTCTACGAAACAAAAAAACTTAAATCATAACCGATGTTTTCATCAATGAACTTAAAACTTAAAAGTTTAGTAGACCTGTCTACCCCACATCGTGTCTCCATTTTTTTTCACACTAAACTGCCACCCAATAGTTTCTGGTACGTCTTTCTTCAAAATCGTGCTTTTTCTTATATTAAAGTGCATGCTCAATTAAGCACTGAACCACGTTTGAAAAGGGCACTGCTTAAGCACCAAACTTCATGATATGTCATTTATGGTGGTGATAAATGACAACGTGTAGCAGGCAAACATCATACTGTAAATCACTTAGATAAACAAAGACCCAACCTTCTATAATACTTACTTGTATGTAATTGTGCGTTCCAGAATTTCAAATGTTTTCTGCTTCCAGCGTTTTGGCCGCCCCACAGGAAGGAATCCTGTTTGCTCTTTTCTTTTCATAACAATCTCATCTCGTCTAATATGTAAAATATAAGTATACTGTCTTGTTAGTGACTTCGAAAATATTTATTTAATATGCTGTTCTGGAGATTTCTAGCATTCTTATCAGGAAGCCAAGGAGGAACTCCATCACAATTTTTTTGTTTTTAAGAAGTCATTCAAACAACTGTATCTCCAGCTATTTCTGATGCTATATAGATTGAGCTACCATGGCTCTATATCACTATTACTGGTAGTGTTGAGTACTAGACACTTCTAATACATCACTACAGAAGACAAGACCGGAACATGACAATCACGTCATACTATTATTACTGGTTCTTGGAGGGAACATGACAATCACGTCATACAATTATTACTAGTTCTAGAAGGGAACATGACAATCACGTCATACTATTATTACTAGTTCTAGAAGGAAACATGACAATCACGTCATACAATTATTACTGGTTCTAGAAGGGAACATGACAATCACGTCATACAATTATTACTGGTTCTAGAAGGGAACATGACAATCACGTCATACAATTATTACTAGTTCTAGAAGGGAACATGACAATCACGTCATACTATTATTACTAGTTCTAGAAGGAAACATGACAATCACGTCATACAATTATTACTGGTTCTAGAAGGGAACATGACAATCACGTCATACAATTATTACTGGGAAGGGAACATGACAATCACGTCATACAATTATTACTGGTTCTAGAAGGGAACATGACAATCACGTCATATAATTATTACACATTATCATACAATTATTACTGGTTCTAGAAGGGAACATGACAATCACGTCATACAATTATTACTGGTTCTAGAAGGGAACATGACAATCACGTCATACAATTATTACTGGTTCTAGAAGGGAACATGACAATCACGTCATACAATTATTACTGGTTCTAGAAGGGAACATGACAATCACGTCATACAATTATTACTGGTTCTATAAGGGAACATGACAATCACGTCATACTATTATTACTGGTTCTTGGAGGGAACATGACAATCACATACAATTATTATTACTAAGAGTTCATTTGGCCACCTACACCAATCCAGTTCCGTAATAAACATGACAATACTTTCACTACACAGCCTACTACTAACAAAATTATGAAAAACCCTGGGTTCTAGAAGGAACATGACAATCACGTCATACTATTATTACTAGTTCTAGAAGGAAACATGACAATCACGTCATACAATTATTACTGGTTCTAGAAGGGAACATGACAATCACGTCATACAATTATTACTGGTTCTAGAAGGGAACATGACAATCACGTCATACAATTATTACTAGTTCTAGAAGGGAACATGACAATCACGTCATACTATTATTACTGGTTCTAGAAGGAAACATGACAATCACGTCATACAATTATTACTGGTTCTAGAAGGGAACATGACAATCACGTCATACAATTATTACTGGTTCTAGAAGGGAACATGACAATCACGTCATACAATTATTACTGGTTCTAGAAGGGAACATGACAATCACGTCATATAATTATTACTGGTTCTAGAAGGGAACATGACAATCACGTCATACAATTATTACTGGTTCTAGAAGGGAACATGACAATCACGTCATACAATTATTACTGGTTCTAGAAGGGAACATGACAATCACGTCATACAATTATTACTGGTTCTAGAAGGGAACATGACAATCACGTCATACAATTATTACTGGTTCTAGAAGGGAACATGACAATCACGTCATACAATTATTACTGGTTCTATAAGGGAACATGACAATCACGTCATACTATTATTACTGGTTCTTGGAGGGAACATGACAATCACATCATACAATTATTACTGGTTCTCACTGTTTTCCATAAGAGCCAGTCGCCGGCCAATTTGACCGGCTACTTTGATCATTTGGCCACCTACACCAATCCAGTTCCGTAATAATGTTCCGTACATGACTACATGCACACGGCAGGCCAGCCTCCTACTTTCACTACACAGCCTACTACTAACAAAATTATGAAAAACCCTGGGTTCTAGAAGGAACATGACAATCACGTCATACAATTATTTCTAGTTCTAGAAGGAACATGACAATCACGTCAGACAATTATTACCAGGTCTAGAAGAGAACGTGACAATGAGGCCATACAATTATTACTGGTTCTAGAAGAGAACATGACATTCACGTCATACGATTATTACTAGTTCTATGTATGTTATGATCTTTACCCTTCTTGTTTTCTTATCTGCTTAAATTAGTCATATGGCAACATCTTTCCACAACAGAAACTGACAAACAAAATTTGAGAATGACAGAGGCCTTTTCGGTTTGTCCGCCAAATGCATCATACATGACAAGAGACAAAGGGGAACCTACATGTGAAATCTGAAAAACATCCGTCCGGTGCTTCTCAAGAAATAGTGATAACAAACTTTTATAGTCAAAATGGCCGCCTGTCAACCATTTGTTTTTCTGATCAGTCCTAAAATCAATGAAGCAGAACCTGAGACAAAGAGGAACCTACACATGAAATTTGAGAAAGATTCATAAAACACTTCTTAAGAAATAGCAATAACAATGATTGTTTATGGACAAAGAGATGACAGACAACAGATGAAGGACATGGGCGACAGACCTCCCACGAAGGGTGATCAGTGGTAACAAGCTTGCCTTTCACCTTGCCATCTCGGGTTTGATTCCTAAAATGCACATGAATGTAGGGGTCACCTGCCTGACCATATGGGTTTTCCTTGGGTACTCCGATTTCCTCCCGCAATAAGACCCTTCCCGCGCTTACATCCAGGCCAACAAAAGTGACATGTATAAGCTGAAATTTGTTTCGCGATTTTTGTAAAATGAATAAAGTTTATATATGTTTGAAGGATGATTTGAACAGTCCACCAACTGATGATAGCTATCTGAAAAACTTCTTCTGAGACAGAGTCATAATTCATACATACTCATGATAAAATTAGAGCTATATAACTCCCTAAAATTGTTGACAGTATGATGGGAATACTTACTTTTCTTCTCGTTCTATAATACGCAGTGCTGTGACAATGAGAGTAGGTTCACGACGCACTGTAATAAGAACTCTGCCCATTATTATCCATAACTGTTTGCCTAGGTCCTCTGAAAGTTTCTCAACATCTTTAAAATATTTCGTAAGTGTCTGAAACAATGAAGCAGAACATTATTATCCATAACTGTTTGCCTAGGTCCTCTGAAAGTTTCTCAACATCTTTAAAATATTTTGTAAGTGTCTGAAACAATGAAGCAGAACATTATTATCCATAACTGTTTGCCTAGGTCCTCTGAAAGTTTCTCAACATCTTTAAAATATTTCGTAAGTGTCTGAAACAATGAAGCAGAACATTATTATCCATAACTGTTTGCCTAGGTCCTCTAAAAGTTTCTCAACATCTTTAAAATATTTCGTAAGTGTCTGAAAGAATGAAGCAGAACATTTATGTTCGTCTGTCATAAAAAATCTCTTTGCACTAATATCACTACCCTATTCGATCCAATAAGTGCCACGGGCGCTTAAAAATTGCAATTTAGGGGGCACTTATTAGAGACCATCTTAGATGTAAAAGAAACACATTCAGTAATAAAAAATCTACTGTACGGTTCATGTATTGATAAAATCACTAGTTTTTTTACATGCAATAAAACCATCTTAGACCATCTTTAATATAATTTTTTTTTACGTTTTTCTGGAGTACATCTCCTTATAAACCGACTTGTAACAATTCTTGATCGTGACTAAAAGGTAAGTAAATCTAGACTTTTAGCTATTTGATGGGGGGGAGGGGGCGCTTACAGGGATATGGTTGCTTATTGGGTCGAATACGGTATGTTGTTTATTTCGTAGCTGTGATGTTCATCGTAAACAACGTCCTACCAGAAAAGAAATAGGAAGAGTGTGGACATACTGATAACTCACATTGTTGTCTGTTGGAGACTTTTGCGGCTGTTTATGAAGCTCAAACATCAGATCATCTCGTGCCATTTCAAGGTCTGTCAAGCTGTCAAATATCATGAACATGTTAAGTTATTATTATTATTATCTTAATGGCCAGTCAACACATAAAAGGTGGTTAGGACCATCAACCCTTGTATTTAATATAAATATATTCCTCAACATGAAGAAAACTATATTTAATCAAGTATACAGTGAAATCTCATATTCAGTATGAAGGATAGACAAGTTGGAGATGATGACTTTCATTTCTGTAAAACATTAAACAAAACTGCAGTAAACTTACTGTTTATGTGCCTGTAAAAGCTTGCTCTCATTGATGAACTCCGCTGTCTTTCGAACACTTTCAGGTACAGTGAAAATATGCTTCAAATTTTCCATGGCAGATCCAAGCTATTGAAAGAAACAAATCCTCCATTAAGGCATGACATTTAGATACATGGATAAGACTTCTATTGAACTTATTACTAAGCAGAGAAACAGTCTGATAAACCTGATATAGACCAAATCATGACCTGCTCAATCCACAAACAGTGCTAGAATCATTTCATATTTCTTTCCTTTCAGTACTTCACAATTTCAAAATCATTTTGTTTGACCTAATATTTTCAAAATAATATTTAAAAATAGAATGCCATGTATATATGGATTTGATAAATATACAGTAGAGTTGATTATAAGATTTTTCCCGTGATATTCATTCAATACACCCATCATCCTTGATCTTGAAGAGCTGTGATTAGATATTACATAGCCAGAGGTTGGTGACATGGGGTGATTTTCAATTGCTAGGTTTACGTTGGTAGTATCTTGGCAGTCAAGATTTACATCAAGTGTATCTAGACATTACATGCTGTATTTTAACACAGTCAAGTAGTTCTTGAAAAGTTAGGATTTAAAATCGTTTGAAGAAGTATCCTGATTAGTGAGTATCGATAAGGAACATTTCGGTAATCGGTTGATATAATATCTAAGCACAATGTCACAATACACCTACCTGACAAAAACTATTGTTTTCTTTGTTAACAGCACTCAATTTATCTTTCAGAGGCTGAATAGATTTATAGGTCTCTTCAACTACATCCAAACTGAAAGGATATTCACAAATACACATGGTGTTGAATGTTAAGGTGCCAATACTTTTTAAACATAGAGAAAAAAACATGAAGAAAAAATAATTGTATCAGTTATACAGCCATATCATAAAAGTAATATTGTAAACATCCGTAATAATACTAATGTGACGTCATAATAAGTCCTATTTTGATGATGTCACATGATTACCTTGATAGTGCAATACATACCGTCCAATTTGAAATAAGTCTGTCTTTATGGAAATTAATTTGAGGGTTGTGAGAATATGAGATATATGATAAATAAAATCCTACATTATGTCTATGTAATATGGGGTTTCCACATATCAAACTTGTTAAATGATTTGATGTGTTGCTTGTCTAAAAGCTACCAGTATTTTATTTAATGACGAGTTTTATGAAATGGTCTGTTTGGGATTTCAGTCTGAAATAGATTAGACTGTATTGATAATATTGTGTAAATTCAATGTGCATGTAATTAACTACATGTATAACTAAATTTAGTACAGAACTGATGTAAAATTATATACACCTCTGTTTGATTTCATAAACATCCTGAAGAGCACTTTGTAACTGGTTCAGGCCAGTCCTGACTCCATCTAACTGTGATTGGACAGCAGACTTCAACATGGTGTCCACTGAAGCCTAGAAAAAAATATATTAAAGCAACATGTCATTATAATCACTGTTCATACAAATGTAGAGATAAAGATATTAATATTCAGATAGGTGGCATCAGATTTTCCAAGCATTATCCAGCAATAAATCTGTGTCTGGTAATGCGCCTATCTATTGCCATTTAATATCATTAATAACAAATATTATTTCAATGTCAATGTCCTGTAATAAGCCCATCCCTTAACTGTTAAAATGTTGACAATAACAACAACAACCAACCCCTCACAACAGTCAGCTGCTCAATAAATCTGACACCTTTTCTGATATGTGTAGTAAAATGTTGACAACAACAACAACCAACCCCCTCACAACAGCCAGCTGCTCAATAAATCTGACACCTTTTCTGATATGTGTAGTAAAATAAATTTACCTTCTTACGAGTCATTCTCCTCTTATACTGGTCTACCCTCTCCAACTGTTCTGGTCTCTGTGCAAACACACGTAAAAAAAGATTTGAGAAAAACATGAAATGAGCTGTTTGTCTCTCTTATACACTAACTTCACTAAAACTGATATATATCACACAAATGTTATGCACATGAACTCAGACCTTCATTCTCCAATGCCCTCCAATAAAGTTGTCTCAAAACTAGATGTCTAAAATATTCCATTGAAATTATCAAGAATCTTTTCCATTAGAAGATTTCACTGAAAAGCAAAAGCATTAAGCTGAAATGTGTTATTGATGGAAACTAATAGTGGTCAAAGACAAGAGATTTAATTCTACCTGTAGAATGCTAGCAATTCGCTTGGTTGCCGAGGCTTTTGCTTCCTCCTCCATACGGCCAAGGTCGAGTGGTGCTGGTGGACTCAACGTTGATTCTCCCGGCATTTTTCTGGTCTTCAATACAGGACTCTAATTAGTAGCAACTTATCTCAACTTCCACAGCAGCAGCTACAATAAGAACACAGCAAATCAAACATATGGAAAGAATTTACATTGGCTTGCTTGTTAGTTAATTCACATGACAGTGCTAACATGTCTTAATAAAACTTGTTTACATGATATGGTTGGAATAGAATAAAAGATCTGGTTCTTAAAAACTACAAACTTTATTTATTTTACAACAATTGCGAAACAATTTATTTCAACTTATATACATCAGACTTGTTGGCTCGGATGTAAGCGTGTGAGGGTCTTATTGTTGGAAGAAACCGGAGTACCCTGGGGAAAGTCCACGTGGTCGGACTGGTGACCCTTACCATTTCACGTCTGTTCCAGGAGTGGAACCCCGGACGTTTAGGTAAAAGGCGAGTGTGTTACCACTGCGCCACCCTACCACCCAAGATCTGGTTCTTTCAAACAAGTGGTCAAGAAGGATGTATCAATTTACCTGATCATTAAAAGCTAGTGATTTTTGGAACTCTGTTTCATGCATCTAAATCTTGAACTTATGCTTTTCATGTGGGACTCAGTCAAATTTTGAGAACCCACTATATCTCTTTGTAACTGGACTCAACAATTTTGGAAGTGGTGCTTTGAACTCACCAGAGAGAATCCTACCAAAAATTCTGAATAGCAACCATTGTATAATATTCTTATTCAAACATTAACAATGATAACTTGAAATATTTCCCATTTCAAGCTCTGTTTTTCTGCAACCATGTCTAGGCAATTAATTTTGTGTAGCAAGGAAATGAAGTAGTTTGACTACCCGGGTATATGACATGAATCCAATATATTCTATGACTATTTACAGTCCACCTAATGAATTCTGCAGAGAGATTGATGTGTACAGTATCTATGCCATTATGAGCAATGCTAATTTGAGAGAATCTATATATTTATACCCACAACACAGAAAAAGAATGTGAATGTATGTAAAGAAAAGATAAGTAAGCATCATTCAAACTAGTGCTATGTTGTACATAGCTCCAACCAAAAAAGCACTTGAACGGTGTACACAAAATGAAAACTTCTATAATGCAAAGAGATGAAATTTTGTATCAACAATTATATCTATCTAGCTAGCACTTATTGGTGATTTTCATAAATGCTTCATTGTATTAAAGTTGAGAGTAACATGCACACAATCTAAATGAATAGATTGGAATTTGGTATGGTGGGAATTTTTCTTTGCCTAAAGTAGTTGATTATCTGCCTTGAAAATAAAAGCTTAGCTTCAATCCCATATCTCTGTGTAGTTTTCTTGTTTTTCCATGAGATTTTACAGTGTTTAGAGGTCCAGATGTTCACATTATTATATATAAGCACTCACTGTCATGATCATGATCAGTGGGAAGTGCAGCAGAAAAAGCATCAAGAAAATACTAACATGTCAACATAATCATAATCCAAAGTCAAACTAGTGCAATATAGGAACAAAAGATTTACATAGGAACTCCAGAAAAAGTACAAGGAGAATAAGACCAGGTGTTCTGGAAGGGTAAGGGTCTTCTGCTTCATCATGTAAACATTGGTTATAGGGCTAAAAAGTAGTACCTAATATAATGTATATGCAAATTATAACTACATTACATAAACTGTGATACATTTATAGATTTTTGAATAATCTAGCACAATTTAATTTAATTCTATTTAAAATTAAGGAAGTATTAAGAAACGAAAGGTTTTCATCATATTATTCCCACATTATAAAATGAAATGTAATTAAAAACCAACATTATTTAGTAAAAGACAATCTGTTACAGGATAACCACAAGGACTATATATGAGTTAATCTTATAATTACCTATTGATTGTGTGATGGAGAATGGTTATTCAGTATAATTTCTGTGTACCCCCTCCTTCCCCCACCCACCCTCCAAACCAGCCAACCAACAATTAATTACCACGTCCCTGATATGCATAATCAACTACTTATAATCAACTCTCTTTAACTAGGTCACAGGTACCGGTCTCGTCTGTCAATACAATATATGAAATTAATCCATTACATTCTACATCTATCTGTATACTTCGTAGTGCATATATTGAATTAACACAAAATAAAGCCCAACAAGAGCGAGAGAGTGATTTAGAGGTAGATAATACGAAGTGGGAGTGTATTGACAGACAGGGCTTGGTACATGTGACCTAGAATAGCAGTTCCTGTCGTATTGCGATCAACAGATCAGCTACAGAGGACATCAAACAAACTAACGATTGATTAGCTGTTATATACTGATAAAAAATAATGTCGAGCATTCGTCTAACAAAAAGTGAGTTTGATATCCACGGGCACCTGCAGTCGTTTACAAACATCACCGCAGAGACTCATGCGTGAACGTCTATTTTTACCGGTTTCTGATAGTATAGATTATATTGTCCATCTAATAGTATAGCTTTACATACCTCCAACAGTACAAACATTCGCTCTGTAGAATTAACGAAACAAACGTTTCTGAATAATTAAGCTAAAGTTGACAAAATACAGCCCAACGTTGACGTTTGTTTATATTCTGACATCCTACTTCCGCTTTCCGCCGTTTGTCGTCTCGCGACTTCACGCCATATAGTCACGTGATAGTCGTTTATTTACGTGTGTACTGCGAAACGTTACATGACGTCACAAAGCAGGCCGTACTCATGGAATAAATTTGGACGTCCATCTTGAATACAGGGACTAAATGTTACGTTTTGTACATAGAAACATTGTAAGATAATGTCTTGAAGCACACGAGCAGAAAACGTCTTCAGAAACGAAAGGTAAACGTTAACAACCAGGAAGTATTTGGGTCGGTCATGCTGCGTTGTGTTTAGCAGCTTCGTGGAAAGTAGAATGGATAATGTAGACGTTACGTCATCAGTTCCTCTTTTCTTATGGAAACGTTGTTGTGTGTTCGGTTGTCTTTGTGGGCCATCTAAGACAAATGTTAACAAATAAACCAAGAACGTTGGTAATTCATTGACGTTTGAAATTCGGTTTGGCTGCGGGCACTGCCATGCCTGCATGTAATGTATAGACACAAACACAACTGTCGGTGGTCGGCATGACTGAATCATAGTAATGAGATGCTCATTGCAGCATGTTTATAATCATTGTTTATCAAATTCAGATGACGTTTTCTGATTTATTTACATGACAGATCACACATTAAATTTCTTGTTTGTTTTAATGAGTTTCAAATTCACTTAAACTGTTGAAAAAATTAACATGAAGTTGGAAAAGTGTGATGTATGCTACTTTAACAAGTGTGAGATTTATGTGAAAAGTATTAATTTGATCAACTTCAGTCATTTATTCTGCATTTTGAAATTAGATCTTACAACAATATGTGGGTAAACCAGACTGATTTTAGCCTGCCTTGAAGTTTTCTGACAATTTATTAATTAAAATTTCAATGAAATGAATTTGTACTATTACATTCAAGAGATTAGTCTAGAGATTAAAGTCTTCAGTCAGTGGACTCATTTCAGCTCTTTTGACTTACAGAAAATGAATAATTTGAAGTATAGTTTCCACCTCAAAATATATATAAATACAATTAAGACCAGTGCTCCAGATAACTTTTTGACATGTGGGGTTTTCAGAAAATGAATAATTTGAAGTATAGTTTCCACCTCAAAATATATATAAATACAATTAAGACCAGTGCTCCAGATAACTTTTTGACATGTGGGGTTTTCACTCCTACCTTTATAAATTGAGGGGTTTTTTCACCCCTGCCTTCAACAAGTGTATGGGTTTTTCCATATTAGGGTAACACTGAATTTGTAAACATTTTTGACAGCGCCATATTTGCTATGCGACTGGTTTATAATCACGATCAAGAAAGCGCTTGTTACGAGTTTCGTTTACTTGATAAGTGTCTGTTTGACTTAGATTATTGAGTTTTCTAACTACGTAATATTGGAGCCGGACATTGACGCAGAGTCCGGATTTCGCACGGGTTAATGACGCAAATCTGATTTTTTTCCTAGCGTGAAATTAGAAATATTGTGCGTGAAAACGCATTCACACAGGCTATCTGGAGCACTGAAGACTTTGTAAGATTTTCCGTTTTCCTCTCAGTAATTGGGAAGAGTAAAATTCTTGACTTGCTGTTACGACAACAAGGCGTAATGAAATCACAATCAAGGGCTGACAATTTCCGCTTGGGTAGAGAAAAAATCCAAATAGCTGAGACTATAATTAGGTGACCTATACTCTCTGTACTTCTATTTATAGTTTTTACAGAATTCGGAAAACACTTTCTTGTCATAACTTTATATCAGTAATTGTGAGAATATGTCTCTATTTTCAGACAAAGTCACAAAGTGAATAGCTGAAACATTTCAATGAGGATGAGGGAGGTGTTAAAGGTATAGTATTGACCTGGAAACATTTATTGTATGGTAAAACAAACGGCTTCCATATCATAATACCATCATCTCTCTCTCACAAAAATTCAAATGTTGCTTGTAGTGAAATGCGTTAATGTGTTAATGAACACCTCTTTGTAATAATTGTTCGACACAATCTTAAAATTAGGTACCTGATACATATTTGACATGAGACCAAATAAATACACATGCAGCATTTTTCACCGCATGAAGTATTCAGATGTGCTCAGCTTTAAAATCTGTTGAAAGTATGTCATCTGTGGTTTGTCCTTTGTCTTCATTCATTGTATGTCCTTTAAAAAATCACTCCTGGAACTCATAAATGCTATGAAGAATGTTGGTGGTATATGAAGTAAACACTTCTTGAAACTTGTCACAAGAATTGTTTACAGACAGATAATGAATCTTTCAGCTTGATAAACTCAGACTGTTTATGAATGTTATATGTAAGTTATAGTTTCAACAAAAGTTGTTGACTAAGTGTTCTGTTGTAGCCACTTCCTGATGATAATATACTGACGGTGACATGTGGAAACCTGGTTGGAAGTCTTCACAGAGACAAGTTTTTCTGTCCAGGTATACACCGCGAATGTATCGAGATCAACGGCATGTTTGTCACCCCAAAACGATTCTCAGTGATGGGAGAAAAGGCAAGATTAAAGGATTGGAAAAATGCTGTGCGACTCAATGGATTCCAGTTAAGGTAAGGAAATAGTCCTGGACTCTCTATGTTTCATGCTGAGAAATAACTTACATTATCAACTCATATTAATCATCCAAAATTATCTATCAATGTCATCTTGGCACATTTCTTGGTCCTGTCTACTGTCTAGTGATTGAGTTAGTTACTAGAAGAGATGGTGTAACACAGTAGGCGTAAACACACGTACTTGTTTGTAATAGCCATGTTTATTACATGTTGAATAATAATAATGTTACATGTACAATAGCAACATCTTATCCACATACAGAGTTCATATACTAGTACTTCACATTGTGTCTTGTATCAGAACTGTCCATCTGGTGGGCTCACCCAAGGCTGTCTCTGACCGTGCAGTCAGGTGTCCAAACCCCTTCTCTCCCTATCCCCAGAATCTAGCTTCTATTTATCTCCTCTTGACCGATTCTGTCCCGCTATCCCCTTATATGGACTTCATTTGTTACTAGATGATACAATTGCTGAAGTATAGCCACCTGTACTCGAGGTCCAAGGTTGAGATTCCCCCTGCTAATTTGTTACTTGAAATATACCCTTATAATTACTCCACCACTAGGTGGCCACTGTCCGAGCGGTGAATTACATAAGTTTAATTATCAAGGAAGTGGGGATAGTCTCTAATCAATTAACTGGCCAAAGCTGTACACCCACTGATACGATTCTCGATTCTTGGGGCCAAGACTACACCAACCTAAGTGTATATATGCAAGTAATTATCCACACCCCTGTGTACTACCTACATGTGCCTTATTGATATACTATTGAACATTAAACGAACTATTGTTTAAGCTAACTTATTTCAACCAATCCCATATGAAAATCCAGATGTGTTACGCTAAACCCTATTTTGTTACAATGGAAATAAAATGAATCAATTGATTATTTTGCTGATCAAGTAATCATGATGTTTCTGTATGATGTATATGGTAGTGTGTTTACCTGTGCATACTTCTTCATCATGCTGTGATGCTTCATGTTGATCACGTCATTTGAAATAAGAATTGTTACTCCCGTTACTCAGATGATACAATTTCTTCATAAAGGTGACAATTCGTGTTATTTGACAATTCATGGTATTTGACAACTCTGTTGATCAGAACATCACTACATATTTACCAGATAGGAATTATTCTATTTTTTTTTTCTTCAGGTGTTGTAATAAAGTATAAGGTTCTAATTTCCGAGGAAAATTTGTTTACCATTCTTGGAAATATATTGAATCAGAACTTATCTTTTTTGTTAACTTGACAGGAAATACATTGATTCTGTTTGACAGCAAGTACATTGATTCTGTTTGACAGAAAGTACATTGATTCTCTCTAACAGGAAATACATTGCTTCTGTTTGACAGGAAGCACATTGATTCTCTCTAACAGGAAATACATTGCTTCTGTTTGACAGGAAGTACATTGATTCTCTTTGACAGGAAACATTGCTTCTGTTTGACAGGAAGTACATTGATTCTGTTTGACAGGAAGTGCATTGATTCTCTCTAACAGGAAATACATTGCTTCTGTTTGACAGGAAACATTGATTCTCTTTGACAGGAAATACATTGATTCTGTTTGACAGGAAGTACATTGCTTCTGTTTGACAGAAAGTACATTGATTCTCTCTAACAGGAAATACATTGCTTCTGTTTGACAGGAAGCACATTGATTCTCTCTAACAGGAAATACATTGCTTCTGTTTGACAGGAAGTACATTGATTCTCTTTGACAGGAAACATTGCTTCTGTTTGACAGGAAGTACATTGATTCTGTTTGACAGGAAGTGCATTGATTCTCTCTAACAGGAAATACATTGCTTCTGTTTGACAGGAAACATTGATTCTCTTTGACAGGAAACATTGCTTCTGTTTGACAGGAAATACATTGATTCTGTTTGACAGGAAGTACATTGCTTCTGTTTGACAGAAAGTACATTGATTCTGTTTGACAGGAAGTACATTGATTCTGGTATCCTGAAGTTCAGTAACCATGAAAGCATGTGTACAGGGCGTTGTATTGCAAGGGCACCTGGGGCCAGGTCGGGACCAGCAGCAGATACCCTATTGCCACCTGACTCCAAGCCTGGTCTTCCACGTCCACTGGGTATGTTCACCACATTATCAGGGAATAACATAATGAAGATAGAAAAAGTCCGAACAGATGACCAGTGGTCAAACGGTGAAATGGAGGAAGATGTGAAACCAGATGTCAATCAACTACAGCTACAGATGCTCCAGGCCCAGAATTTGTCAGTCAGCAAGGCCAATGCATATGCACAGTCCAGTCCCTCATCAAGGATAGCAAAGACTATGGTACCACACATTTACCCCACACACATAACTCCAGCCATTCCCATGGTACCTCCAGATGAGGGAACAGAGGACATCACAGAGGAAGGTAGGCTGCAATTAGAATGATTTAGAAATGCACTGCTTTTACTCTCTACCTCTTTATGCTTGATGTTGAATGTAGTCTGGTTGAAAATTCTGGAATTATAGAGCCCCATAGTTATTGAAACAGAAGTAATGTTCAATTGATGAAGACATGTTGTAATAATATTCCACTCTTTCTTATTAAATACTTAATGTGGTATTGCTATGTCGTGGAATATTGTGCCAGATTTTATAAATATTTAGTGCCTAGGCCAAAAAGTCTTAGCCAAGGATTGAACTAAGTACATAATGATAAAATAGCATGGTTGTACTTAACTAAACAGGCGTGGGGATACTGCCTACAGTACCTAAACTACACTTTGTATACAACTTTGGAATTTCTTACCTAAAACCAGGTACATTTGAACTACAATTGATAATATTGTCACAGATTGTGAAGACCGTCTGCTCTGGAAGGGGATTGTAGAGCTTGGTCTTGTTGATGAATTCTTCAGAGAAATAAAGGCATCACTGGACGTGCTGAAAAATGGAATGATCAAACGGCAGGTGCCTTTAGCAGGTAAATGGCCGCCATTCTTACTTTTGGTTTTCCATTGATGTTAAAAATGACTTTCTAACTTAAGTTTTATTATTTTTTTTTTTCTTGTGTCTTTAAGTTATTTGCGTCCAATACACCAAACAATGGTTATACGATATAAAGTTGACGTGTTTATTTTCCAAAAGATTGATCCCAGAGAATTACTGCTTTTAAGTAACAAGTATGCAGTAGTGATCAACACCTGCAAATTCTTCCCAAAAGATAAAGTATTGATAGTAACAAAGATTTTATTGATTTGGCGAGGATTACTATGTATAAATGATCATTATTTTGACAGACTCTCGGAAAATCTCGGTGATTGTAAAACAATTAGGTTTAATGCAGAAACTGAAGTATAAACTGGAGGCACATCAAACAGATATGGAACGTCAAAGACAGAAACTTGATCGGGAGATGGAAGGTATTTCAGATATTCAATAAAGTTTTGTTGATAAGTTCTTTCATATAGACTAACTTTGATTATCTCCAAAAAATAGTGACCATCACAAACACAAGTGGAGAGATTATCTACTAAAATAGTGACCATCACAAACACAAGTGGAGAGATTATCTACTAAAATAGTGACCATCACAAACAGTAGTGGAGATATTATCTACTAAAACAGTGACCATCACAAACAGTAGTGAAGAGATTATATCCAAAAATAGTGACCATCACAAACACTAGTGAAGAGATTATATCCAAAAATAGTGACCATCACAAACAGTAGTGAAGAGATTATATCCAAAAATAGTGACCATCACAAACACTAGTGAAGAGATTATCTACAAAAATAGTGACCATCACAAACACTAGTGAAGAGATTATATCCAAAAATAGTGACCATCACAAACAGTAGTGAAGAGATTATATCCAAAAATAGTGACCATCACAAACAGTAGTGGAGAGATTATATCCAAAAATAGTGACCATCACAAACACTAGTGAAGAGATTATATCCAAAAATAGTGACCATCACAAACACTAGTGAAGAGATTATATCCAAAAATAGTGACCATCACAAACAGTAGTGAAGAGATTATATCCAAAAATAGTGACCATCACAAACACTAGTGAAGAGATTATCTACAAAAATAGTGACCATCACTAGTGAAGAGATTATATCCACTCACAAACAGTAGTGAAGAGATTATCTCCAAAAATAGTGACCATCACAAACAGTAGTGGAGAGATTATCTCCAAAAATAGTGACCATCACAAACAGTAGTGAAGAGATTATCTCCAAAAATAGTGACCATCACAAACAGTAGTGGAGAGATTATATCCAAAAATAGTGACCATCACAAACACTAGTGAAGAGATTATATCCAAAAATAGTGACCATCACAAACAGTAGTGAAGAGATTATATCCAAAAATAGTGACCATCACAAACAGTAGTGGAGAGATTATATCCAAAAATAGTGACCATCACAAACACTAGTGAAGAGATTATCTACAAAAATAGTGACCATCACAAACAGTAGTGGAGAGATTATCTCCAAAAATAGTGACCATCACAAACACTAGTGAAGAGATTATCTACAAAAATAGTGACCATCACAAACAGTAGTGGAGAGATTATCTCCAAAAATAGTGACCATCACAAACGCTAGTGGAGAGATTATCTCCAAAAATAGTGACCATCACAAACAGTAGTGGAGAGATTATCTACAAAAATAGTGACTATCACAAACACTAGTGAAGAGATTATATCCAAAAATAGTGACCATCACAAACAGTAGTGGAGAGATTATCTACAAAAATAGTGACCATCACAAACAGTAGTGGAGAGATTATCTACAAAAATAGTGACCATCACAAACACTAGTGGAGAGATTATCTCCAAAAATAGTGACCATCACAAACAGTAGTGGAGAGATTATCTCCAAAAATAGTGACCACCACAAACACAAGTGAAGGGATTATCTCCAAAAATAGTTACTCCTTGAACAGTAGTGGAGAGATCTGTTTTAAATTTTCAATACAAGTATGTACTAGGTTTTTCTTTGACTGAAATAACGCATATTACATTTTAGAAGTTGTCAGAAAGACTTGAGGGATATCTTTGAATTACAATTATATGTTATTACTTCAGTCTCTCATGAAATACTGATGTATCTTTGAGATATATGCTGGCTTCTGTTGGTACTACATATTCAATACAATTAAGGACTAAATGTTTATATATGAAATATGGTCCATTTTTGGTCATATAGCCTGAATGGTCAGGATCACTTATTACTATCACAATCTATCTGTTGTTGTGCACTATATGGTGTCTGTAAACTTTTTAACATTTTCTCCATACCTCAATCAAATCCACTGAATTGATTTTAGTGAAATTTCGCTAAAAGCTTCAGTGGCATTAAATGAATCTAAGTTGTAAATTATATGGTCCCCGCCCCTCTTGGCCTTGAAGGGCAGGGTCAAACCTGGTCAAATTAGCTGAAATTTCAACAATCTTCTTCTTCAGACCCAAAATATCAGAATCTTTTGGTCTCTTGAAGTGGGAAAGTCTTCAAGTGCTTTATCACATCTGAAATTGATAAACCTGAGGCATCTCGTTTCCCCCCTGGAAGGGAGTGAAGTTTACTATAGATCATATGAAAAAATTATGTTTTTGGCTATATTTTGTTTTTTATTCTGTTGAAATCCAACTGCATGAAATTATCAGGATAGATGTCAATGTGATGAGATAGAGGACATTTAATAGTGTCTTCAGTAATAACGAAAAATATTTCCCAACTGTGTCAAATATTATAGTATCTTTCACGAATGCACAGCACATTATGTGCTGTATATAAACTTTTCATATTTTGAAAAACTTCTGCTCAAGGTCCACCTGTGGGATTAAGCTGAAACTTAAATGATCCTAAAATGGTACATGTACTAAAGACCAAGTGTTCCTTTTTTGGGTCAGTTCAAAATTCACTTAAAATCCAGCCATGACCACCATAATCTACTTGAGTTCCACTGATGCCATTGAGGTGAAAATTGGCTTGGGTTGTAAGGAAGGCCTTCTGGAAAGTTCAATATGGCAAACATGCATAGCAGCCATTTTTATTCAGCTGAAATTTGTCTAAAATCATCTAAAGATAGTATTTACCAAATGTTGTTGTTTTTCAGATCAGTCCAAAATCCAATATGGCTGCTATCTTTCTTATGTTCCCGTGGTGCATTTGAGCTGAAATTTTTGTGAATGTTGAGAAACATGATTGAGGAGTGTTTTTAGCCCTTACAGCTAAAGTGTTCCAAACTATTTTAATCATTTAGTAACTGTTCCTACTACTTCTACTGCTGTTTTATGTATGTGTGTCTCCATAGTCTGATGACTGTTAAGCCTCATGGGCCTCTCTTTTTAGGTCATCTGACCTGAAGGGTCGAGATGACCTATAGCCGTCGTGCTTCGGCCGTCGTCGTGCGCCATCCGCTGTGTGTCATCCATAAACTTTTCATTCAAAAAACTTCTTCTCAAATACTGGAAGGCCTAGGGGGCTAATACTTGGCCCATAGCATCCTGGCATAGAGCCCTACAAAGTTTGTTCAAATTAATGACCTTGACCCACTTTCAAGGTCACAGGGGTCAAATATGTTAAAATATACAAACGACTTCTTCTCAATAAGCAAAAGTCCATGAGTGCTGATATTGGGCCTGTAGGATGCTTGGAGGAAAGGCTACCAAGATTGTTCAAATGAATGACCTTGACCCATTTTCAAGGTCACAGGGGTCAAATATGTTAAAATATACAAACAACTTCTTCTCAACAACCAAAAGGCTCAGAATGCTGATATTGGGTCTGTAGCATGCTGGGATGAAGGGCTACCAAGTTTGTTCAAATAAATGACCTTGACCCACTTTCAAGGTCACAGGGGTCACATATATCAAAATATACAAACGACTTCTTCTCAATAAGCAAAAGTCAAAGAGTGCTGATAATGGACCTGTAGGATGCATGGATGACATGCTACCAAGTTTGTTCAAATGAATGACCTTGACCCACTTTCTAGGTCACAGGGGTCAAATATGTTGAAATATACAAACAACTTCTCTTCAATAAGCAAAAGTCCAAGAGTGCTGATAATGGACCTGTAGGATGCTGGGATGACATGCTACCAAATTTGTTCAAATGAATGACCTTGACCCACTTTCAAGGTCACAAGGGTTAAATATGTTAAAATACGCAATTGACTTCTCAATAACCAAAATGATTAGAGTGCTGATATTGGGCCTGTAGGATGCTTTGAGGAAGGGCTAGCAAATGTGTTCAAGTGAATGACCTTGACACACTTTCAAGATCACAGGGTTCAAATATGTTAAAATCTGTAAACGACTTCTTCTCAGTAACCAAAAGGCTCAGAGTGCTGATGTTGGGGAAGGGCTACCAAGTTTATTCAAATGAATAAAGCCCACTGTTTTAGCGGCAGACTCAATTTTGTTCGAGTTTGGCTTGCTTTTTGTCAGATGACCGTTAAGGCCCATGGGTCTCTTGTTTTATTATTATTTAATGAAATTGTATCAAGTGTTGTAACATGACATTTTTTTTTGCTACAGAGTTACAGAGAAAGGTACGAGAATTTGAAGCAAAAAAAGCGCTACTGAAAAGGAAGTCTGAGTGTTTTGAGCAGTTACTGGATATTACAGCTCCAAAGACAGAATCAGTTTGGGGAGAAGGATCAGGTTCTCCATCTGAGTATCGATCTCCATCTACATATAAAAGAGCTGGTATCAGTCAGACTGAAAATGAACCTGGACAACTGAGTGTGGTGTTTCCTCCACAGCAGATGTCCTCTGTACTCAACACAGACATCACAAATATGTCTGCAAATACTGTTTTAGCAGAGGAGTCTGCCACTGAGGACAGCGGCACTCACTTCATAGTCAACATCAATGAGTCTGCTACATCAGCCAATAGTTATCCAGAAGATCTCTCTAAATCTGCCTCACAAAGTGCAGTGCCTAGTAATACCGACACGGCCATGGATTATATCATTACGTCTGCAGAGGACCTGTCAAAGTCGGCTATATCTGGTGAGTCAGCAGAGGCCGCAAATGGAGAAAGCGAGAAGACAAAGTACGCAGTAATGAAAGAACCTTCCACTGACGTGCAAGGGGATGGTGACCCAAATGATGAGGCAAAATTCACAGGCATTAAGCTGAAAGTCCGCAGAGGACGTAAACGCAAACCAAGGGAAATCCCAAGAACAGATCCTTCAGAAGAATATGTCATTAAGATGGAACAAGCAATGACAGAGGAAGGAGAAACAGCTCTGAATTGTGTGACAGGGTCCAATGATTCTGTTTGTGATTATTCTAATGATTATGAGGAAGGCAATAGTACAGACATTGCAAAAGACATAGAACCAGAAAAATCAGGAAACATTGAAGGCAAGACTGATCCAGGGTCACAGGAAGAGGACACGTCCACTCTTCATGAGGAACAGAAGATCTCTGAGGGAGACGGGGAGGATTTGACAAACGGGACCAGTGTTAGACAAGACAATGAACAAATCACCCAAAGCCCATGCAAAATCAGTTTTGATTTCACTGGTATCAAAGTGAGTCGTAGAGGGAGAAAAAGGAAATCCAGAGAGTACACAACAGAGGAATCAGAAAGACTAGTTACGTCATAATACCTTGTGAGGTCCAAGAACAGGAAATCACTGCTGGACACAATCCTTTGGTCTGATGATAAGACAGCACGCTGGTCCTGTCCAAAGCTAAGCTGATTAGACCAGATAACTTGAATGTTGAATTAAACAAGCCTCACAAAATTTTCACAGTGACGTAAAATTGTGAAAGTGTCTTAAATGTTTCAAGACCCTCTCAGAAGTGGCAGTAGCAAGTGAGATATAATGTTTTTAATCTTATGTCATATGCATATCAGTGCTCCAGATAACTTTTTGACATGTGGGGTTTTCACTCCTACCTTTATGAATTGAGGGGTTTTTTCACCCCTGCCTTCATCAAGTGTATGGGTTTTTCCATATTAGGGTAACACTGAATTTGTAAACATTTTTGACAGCGCCATATTTGCTATGCGACTGGTTTATAATCACGATCAAGAAAGCGCTTGTTACGAGTTTCGTTTACTTGATAAGTGTCTGTTTGACTTAGATTATTGAGTTTTCTAACTACGTAATATTGGAGCCGGACATTGACGCAGAGTCCGGATTTCGCACGGGTTAATGACGCAAATCTGATTTTTTTCCTAGCGTGAAATTAGAAATATTGTGCGTGAAAACGCATTCACGCAGGCTATCTGGAGCACTGCATATAACAGATTTCAATGAGATTGACAAACAAGGCTTATGAAGGTAGAGAATAGAATTACATCAATCAAATCATTGAAATACATTTGCTAATTATCTAACAGTAGTCCCATGTTGGATAATAAGTCCATCCTTATGTAATTCAGTCATGTAGAAATGCTAACACAAATTATGTCATTGTCTTGTAGTAAGCCCACTCTCTAACTCCGAGTCAGTTTAGCTGTAAAGCTCTGGGGCTTGTTGGTGAGTGATGACAGTGTTACATTATATTTCACCTGGTAACACAGTTCATGTTGTAAATTCTCTAGAAATGATTACAGTGGAATATTGATTTATTTGATACATTTTTCACTTCAATGAATTTCTCTAACATACTAACAAACTCCCATTCTATTCCTCAAAAGTATCTGTTTTCAATACTGAAAAAAAAGAGCATGGAATTTGTGTCATGTAATGCACATCTAAATGCTATTGTATCAACTTCTATTTCACATTTAGAGTTCAGAAAGCAAGTCCAAACAAATTTAAACGAGAAAAAAAATGAATAAATAACCCTTTTTATCTCCTAAGCAAAGTTACTTGTAAATATGTAAGTTTTTATTTATGTCAATCATGATGTCATCTGGGCTTGATTCATGTCTTTTCTCTACATTGGGAAATTGGAAACTGTGGTTAGCAAGTATGTGACATTGTTATATATTTCAGAACATTTTCTTAGGTTGGTAAAGTCAATAGAATAGAAAGTCTTATAACACAACCAATAGAAGTCCTGAACTGGGACAGGACAGGAGGGGGGCAAAGACTTTAACATGTCTATGTCCAAGTGTTAAACAAAATGTATCAGAATTGACTACAGTACATTGTTACAATCTTGTTTATTTTTCATTACCATATCACCACACTATTATCTACCTTAGTGTACATAGGATTATTGTACAGTCAAGAAATATTTTTGATTCCTTTTCATCTTGTACACTACACACGTCAGTGCTAGTAAGCTTCACACAGGTCGTTCCTGTGGTGAAGGTGAAAAATCAAATCTTCAATAGGTTATGTAATGAGAACTTTTATTCCATTGTTTTATCATTCTTGATGTCACAATTGGTATAAAGTCATAGTTTCACATAATCCAAAATAGGACCAGGATGTAATCACTAGGAAGAGAATTGTTATATTTACTTTCTTGGCAATATTAAAAAGTCTGTGAAGTTTTATTTAAAAGTAACAAATCAATGAAATAATGCATTCCAATTTGCAATCAAAGAAAAAAAACCCTACAAAACAACTTGTGGTATAAACGTAAGGAAACACAAACATCACATTTACATTTTGAAAACATTGTATTATATCCATGCTATAGTGAATACCTCTGGATGAATGGACGTGTTCTGGCAATGAATTTCTTTATTGAATTATGATTGGAGTGTTTCCAGATGATTTTCCGTTGGCACTTTTCTGTTTTGTTTGTTTGACATATTTGTAAAGGAATGTGTTGTCATTAATCGAATGTCTAACATTAGAACAGATCATTAGTTTTCATCAATATGATATACTTCCTTGATATTATTCATTAAGGCTGTATAAAGCACTATCACTATTTTGAATGTCTGAAGAAATTTTTGATATTACAAATTCATGGCAGGAAAAAACGGTCAGAGTTTGTATGATTATGATGTTATGCAAAAAGAATCTCATTTTTCTAGTTTCATTAGTTTGTTTTTTTCTGAAATTCATTGAACCCAATTCAGTTAAATCTGTATAATAATCCATCACTTAAAATAAGGTTAGTATACATATTTTTTCTCAAGAAAACAAAAGAAAAAAATGCATTTTCTTGAAAATGGTAGTAGATTTTAAGCAAGCAAGTATACTAAGGTATTTTTTTTCTTTACAAAATTGTGTATTAATTAATTGAAATCCAATTTTAGCACCTGAAATCCATGATTATTCAATGTGTTGAAAGGTTTATTGACAAGATTTTGTTATAGTATTATAAATTTATATTAGAGTTGATATATCTTATTAGGGGAGTCAAAGGCCAAGACGTTTTTTTGGTTTTTTTGGCTTATATCTTTAGTATCAATTAACAGGAATAATCTGGATGCCATCACAGCTGGCAACTACAATGGTGACTACTTATTCTGAACCAATGATTTCTAAGTAATATTATCAATGACTGTCCATTCAATGTCATCACTGTAGCACATTAGGGATTTTAATCAAAGTAAGGTTGATTAGGTGCTAAGGTCAACCCCATCACACCCTATTTGCATGGAAAACGGGTTTTCATGTTTTTTAAACAATTTTCTAGTTGATGTGTAAAATGGTTTTGAAGAACTTCATCCTGCAGGTAAGTGCTTGTTGACTCCATAAGCTGTATATACATGATTTCGTAATTCAATATATTTTGGAGGACATTTTGACATGCGGGAAATGTAACATATCTGACATGTCACCAATAGCTGTCATGTCAACTTTTGGATACATGTATTTTCTAATTCTGCTGAAATTATTAGTACATATACCTTGGTTCAAACTCAAAGGGAAAAAGTTTAAACTCATCTTTTTTTTTCAGATTTTTTTTGTAAACTTTACATGACAAGGACTTTGTGGAATGAAGAAGAATTTGCTAAATCTGATATGAAACTACTAAATGTGCTAAAATTTGTTAATTTTTTTCTGGTTGTTTATCTTCCATACAAACCAGTGTAAATACAAACTTGTTTTTCCATACAAGCTAGAAAGGGCCAGAATATATTGAACAGCCTGTGTTTCCCAAGCTGAGTTTCAACTACAGGGTACTTTTCTGATAAAGCTGGTGTTTAATTTGACTTACAAACCTGATAATACAACAGTAATGCTCATTGTGTGAGAACAGGATATCCTTTAATTTAAAACTCCTGTAAGTTAAACTAGTTTTAGACACATTTTATAATCAACATCTATCAATGGATAGAACAGTAAAAAATGTATATTTTGCAATGTGCTGGGCACTTGCTTAGTTTCCCCCATAAAGACGTGGAATACTGAATATCAAAATGTCGATAAACTGATAGAATACTTGTACCTATTGCTTGTTTTGTGTTTCTATAACTAATGCAATCTTGTGCTTTTATTGTTTGAAATGTGACTTTCAGAAAACTTGTCGGTATACTTTTGGAAGTCCAACAATATCAATGTTGTATTGCAATGAAATAATTCATGAAATCATGTAATGTTGTGTTGTATTTACAAAGGTCTGCTGTATCAGGTGTGTGTATTTTGGTTTTCTAAATATTGAAAGCTCAGTGGCGATTCACAACCAATCACTTCTCAAATTGTCTCCTTCATTTAAAAGGAAATCAATGGTTTTTTCTGTCAGTTGATTACACTTTCAGTATCATCGTATGTCTTAAACCATACTTTTCCTCATGTTTGACAGGGACGAATGGAGGCATACTGAAAGATACTGGCTCTGACTGAAATATTATTGAGACTGGAATTTCAGGAATAACAATTGGTTAAAACTTTGTTAGTGTTTCATACAGCAATAAGGTTTTCACTTAAATTTTGCTCCGATTTTGTAAGAATTTTTGTATTATTAAATTTTCTATTTTTCTTACATGGATATATGTACATTCTCATGGATTTTTGACCTTTGTGAAGATCAATCTCATTAGGATATATCACTGTATGATACTCTTTTGTCCCATTGGTTGTTTATGTGCAAAATTATCATTAGAATTACCTACAAGTCGCTCAACAACTGCAGCATTAAGTGAGGTACACCATTTATCTCAACACTGTAAAACAAATTTTCATGTAACTGTACACCTTCCATCACAGTAGTAACTCTTCATGTAACTGTACTGTACACCTTCCATCACAGTAGTAGCTCTTTATGTGTCTGTACTGTACACCTTCCATCACAGTTGTAGCTCTTTATGTGTCTGTACTGTACACCTTCCATCACAGTAGTAGCTCTTTATGTGTCTATAGGACTCCTTCCATCACAGTTGTAGCTCTTTATGTGTCTGTACTGTACACCTTCCATCACAGTTGTAGCTCTTTATGTGTCTATAGGACTCCTTCCATCACAGTTGTAGCTCTTTATGTGTCTATAGGACTCCTTCCATCACAGTTGTAGCTCTTTATGTGTCTGTACTGTACACCTTCCATCACAGTAGTAGCTCTTTATGTGTCTATAGGACTCCTTCCATCACAGTTGTAGCTCTTTATGTGTCTGTACTGTACACCTTCCATCACAGTTGTAGCTCTTTATGTGTCTATAGGACTCCTTCCATCACAGTTGTAGCTCTTTATGTGTCTGTACTGTACACCTTCCATCACAGTTGTAGCTCTTTATGTGTCTATAGGACTCCTTCCATCACAGTTGTAGCTCTTTATGTGTCTATAGGACTCCTTCCATCACAGTTGTAGCTCTTTATGTGTCTATAGGACTCCTTCCATCACAGTAGTAGCTCTTTATGTGTCTATAGGACTCCTTCCATCACAGTTGTAGCTCTTTATGTGTCTATAGGACTCCTTCCATCACAGTTGTAGCTCTTTATGTGTCTATA